ATACTTATCCAAAGCATAATTTTGGAGTCCACTCCTGTCAGGCCTACTGTGTGATAACAGCGTTCCAAGCTTTGTAAGCTTCGTTGAGTTTTGGGAAGCCTGTTTGAGCATTGTCCGTCCTTAAAAAAAGGCATTTAAAACTGAATGCAAAGCTTTGAAATCTTCCAAGACAATGAAGCTGGATGGATTCCCTGAAGTCATAAATGATCTCACAGCACTTTTAAATACAGCAACAATAAGCATGGAACTGAACTGAACCCTGTAAAACATAGGTCCAAAAAGACACTCAAGAACTGACAGGTAAGAATGGATAAAGTTTCTTGCTGGATTTAATTAAGAGTTCTGTTTCTGCTAAGAAATTAAACAAATCCAAGCTTGAATTGTCTTTTTTAAAAAAGAATTCTCCTTATTCATTCCAGAATTCTAGATGAGGTGCTAGATTGTTGCAAAGTGTCCTGTGGCAGCTTAAATATTGAATAACGTATTGTGAAATGAGCTTTTATGAGATGTAGCCACAGAATCGTAGCGTTGGAAGGTACTCCAAGGGTCATCTAGTCCAACCCCCTGCAATGCAGGAATCTCAGTCTACTACTTCATCATAACAACAAACAACAACAACAACAACAACAACAACACCACACACAAAAACCTGGTAGTCTTAGGGTTAAACTAGATCTGACATGGAGGATATATGAATGCATCCTCAATAGCTTAAGAAGGGGTAGACAACATAGGGGGGCAATATGCATTGGGGAATTAGTGTAGAAGAAAACGATTAGACCGACTCCCAATGCCATAGTCCCTATTCAAATAACAGAGCTGCTTTTAGCCACACACAGAGATGTTGGAAGATGCATTCATGCGTCTTCAACATCATGTCAAGTTTGGCCCACGTGTACGTTAGTGGAGAAACCTTTCCAGCACTGCATATCAAAGCATTTCTTTCACTGTATCTAAAAACTTAGCAAGATTCATATTGGATGAAGCTGAAGTAACGTATGAAGGTTCATGGTACCGTAACTCAGTAATCCTATCCAGGTTTAGTCAGAAGTATGTACCACAATGCTAAGTGAGGCTTACTCCCAGGTAAGTATGCATAGGATTGTAGCCTAACTTTGTTCCTGTCTTATTTCTATTCCACAATTCCTCCAAATTCCTCTTTTTACCTTTACAGTAATTCTGGAAATAATTCTGGTTGGCCGAGGGATAAGGACCAGTCAAGGTCACCTGCTGAGTGGTGTTATGATCTTGCATCAGACCTTCCAGGTACAAGGAATTCTCACAGTGGAGCTCACTAACCACATTGGCTTCGGCTACTGCAGCCATAACAAAGATAAGGGAGAAGGACTGTTTCAAAGTTTTTACTGAGGCTGAACAGGCCAGCTTGCCTATTTTACAGATGAACAAGGACAGTAAAAAATAAATAAGAAGATTTTGCTTGTCATCTAGTTAAGAATTCTAACTTTTCCTCACTCCCATGGATTTACGCGTAGGGGAAAACATATTCTTTCACAATGATCTCAAAACAAACAAGCTTGTAATTTTAAATAATCTAAGCAGGAGGTCTTCAAATATGTATGACTTTTCTAATACATTGCATTCTTTTTTTTCCATTTCCTTTCATTTCAACCATCTTGCAGTTTTTAGCACAGGCCCAGAACTCCTGAGCCTATTCACTTGCATTTCTTGTCAACAGTTGAAAACCAGCAGCTGGGAAAGAAACAGTCAATCTTTAACACAGCACTGGAGGATTAGACATGCAGCTTCTGTTCCTAAAAAGAGCCATGTTCATAATGCTTAGTATGCCACACGGACATTTTATTCAACAGGGAGTCTGGAAGTCAAAACAATTGGGGTTTTTTAATGTTCTTCTATAAAACCAGAAGAGCAAGAGCAACAGTTGTGATATTGCTATAAATGCTGCAGTGTTTAAAGAGTTCCATTAAAAAGACAGTAAGGTTTGGAAACCTTACTGATTGCCATGTCTGCCCTGAAAATCTATTTGTTGTTGTTACAAACCATTAGTTTAATTGTTGACTGTGTGTTGTTTTTTAATTAAACAGACAAACAAAAACCCCCACTAACACCTCTGTGCAGGTACTCTGGCATAATGTCTCAGCAAACATTAAGCAGGTAATATTGAAAATACCTATTCTTCTTTCTTTTTTGCAACCAAACTGTATATTTCTCTAACACTATGCAGGAAGGCTACTGCTCCTTTTGCCCTGGACAAATATTGGGTGCCACAGCTAAACACATATAGGTGGAACTGGATCCAGACAACACAGAGTTTATGCTGGTATAAAAACTTAAGAAATAAATATGTCTGCCATTGAATGGGTTAAAATATCTCTATTGAAGCAGGTTTGAAGCCAAGGGTTTCTCTCCTAGATCAGGGGTAGGGGGTCATTTTCAATCTGAGGGCCCACATTGCCTTGTGGGATCATGAGAAACAGTTATCACAGTTATCCCTGCAGTATTTAAATTCGAATCAGGCTCTACTGTATGTATACTCCCAGTACATTTGATTAGAATATCTACCACCAGGACCATAGATTTTAAAATAATTTCCCCAAAGGTTACATAACTAGTATTCCTCACTGTGATGGGAGGCTATTTGCATATTTTGAAAAGGTTGTAAGAGTCTCCCCCCCCCCTTTGGTCTTAATGAGCCTTTGGTGAGTCTGCTTAATTTTGCCCACCTGCATACTGAATTTGGTTCAATTTGTTGATCCTTGCTGCCTGATGTTCCAGCTTATTGTTTTATTACATTTTGCATTTATTTTATGTATGTAAGCAACTCCTTTGAGTAAGTTGCATAACAGTTCAATTAAGCAGCATGATATTACAACTTTGGAGCTATTCTCTGCAGAGGCAAAAAACAAAAACAAATAAACAGGGTTGTCTAACCTCATTGCAAAATTATATTGGAAGAAACAGAATGATGGAGCGGTTCGAATGTTGGACTAACGTAAGAAGATAAAGTGTCTGCTGGATCAGGCCAGTGGCCCATCTAATCCAATATCCTGTTCTCACAGTGACCAATCAGGTGCCTGAGGAACCCAGTGTTACAGGAAAATGAGTGAATTCATTCATTACTCCCATTCAGGAGCATGTTCCAAACCCAGATAGTAATTTACCCCCAGAATCAGAATCCATATGCAACAGTAGATACTAAAAACGTCAATGGAATGTGCAACTATTTATTCCTTGTTGGTTCAAGGTGCAGACAGTTGCCAACAAACTCCTCGTATAGAATGAGAGTTGTGGTAAAGGGACCCCAGACCATTAGGTCCAGTCATGACCGACTCTGGGGTTGCGGCGCTCATCTCTCTTTATTGGCCGAGGGAGCCAACGTACAGCTTCTGGGTCATGTGGCCAGCATGACTAAGCCCCTTCTGGCGAACCAGAGCAGCACACGGAAACGCCGTTTATCTTCCCGCCAGAGCAGTACCTATTTATCTACTTGCACTTTGACGTGCTTTCGAACTGCTAGGTTGGCAGAAGAAGGGACAGAGCAACGGGAGCTCACCCTGTCGCGGGGATTCAAACAGCTGCCCTTCTGATTAGCAAGTCCTAGGCTCTGTGGTTTAACCCACAGCGCCACCCGTTGTGGTAGGGAGTGCTATATCTCAAGGGAATTGCACATGTTTTGAATGGAAAGGATCCCTGTTTCAATCCGCAGAATTTTCAGTTAAAAATGGATCTAGGATAACAAAACTGGGAAATACCTCTGACAATCAGCACTGTACTCGGCTAAAAGGACCAAGGGTCTGATTCAGCATGTGGAAGGCTCATATTATCTCTATACAAGACCAGTTTCATAGTATCTTAGACACACTGGGCCATTAGCAGCATACAGTATATAAAACCTGGTGCTGACTAGGAACTTAGGAAAATGCCTTACAATCAATCCTTCTTGCACAGTGTAGTCAACTGAACTGGCACCAGCACTCTAGGAATTTAAACATATAATTCGTTTTTTGGAGATGCTGCAGGATTTAATTTTGTGCATGCAAGCAATGTGCTTTACCACTGAGCTATAGTCCTTACTACATGCAAACTAATTAACCACACACCATTTTTAAAAAAGAATTGTTTTTTAGTTTTAAATGAATACTACCAATAAAATTGTAAGCTTTATTATGCATGTATGCGTTTTGCATATCCTCCTTATATATCCATAAATAATTGATCAAAGGGAAATGTAACATCTGTTCTCTATCTGTTAACCTTCAGATACACATTTAAGCATATTTATAAAAATCTAGCACTTACTCTTTTCATACACGATCCCACCTTTTTATATTAACTTTTGGAATTAAAATCAGCATTATAGGTGATTCTGACTACATCCTTGGACCTAAACATTTGCTGCTTCTTTTTTGCTTGCTAGAGCAAGTAATTTTGCTCTTGCCTCATTTTGTCTGTGAGTTATGTTGTAGTATGCGTCAATATTTGCCCAGTGTCTCATCAAAATGCATATTTTCAAATTGATATTCACTTCAGCAAATAATTGTGAACGCTACTTTCCTTCCTCTGCTTTGTTAGGTACAATTGACAGATAAGAAGTTTGTCTATCCCCAAATATAAAAATGCACTGCATGTTTAATACGCTTAAGCTTTTCTGACTAATTGTAGCCACCTCTCTCTTACTGGTTACATACACAGCAATTCATTTTTAATTAGATATATTTATATCTTTACCCTGATGCCAGAATTTCTTATAAACTGATTGTTAGAGGAGGTAGGTAAGCTTCAGTGGAAAACATAATACAGCTGCAAGCATTCCCTTGCTGCTGATTCAAGACATATGTTCTCTTCTCATACAGCAGACTCCAATTTCTGCTAATGGGGCACGGCTACTTCTCCAGGCATTGTATGAAAATAATCAAGTAGTGAGTGAACTACAGATTAAACCTTTGTGAGCCTTTTATCACAATTTAGCCCCAGACCTAGAATTCAGAACCTGTAAGTATACCAACACAGTAAAAAAATTCCTTCCAGTAGCACCTTAGAGACCAACTAAGTTTGTTATTCATATGAGCTTCCGTGTGAAGAAGTGTGCATACACACGAAAGCTCATACCAGTAACAAACTTAGTTGGTCTCTAAGGTGCTACTGGAGGGAATTTTTTTATTTAGTTTCGACTACGGCAGACCAACACGGCTACCTACCTGTAACTATACCAACATAGACATTGTAGAGTTCCTCACTGTTTTGTTTGAAATGTGCATGTTTTCCTCTGAAATAAATATTTCTCAAGCCGATCAATGGTCTTTAAATTTTATTAATAACTAAATTCAGGCTTTTTTGGGGGGGGGGAGTAGGGAAACAGTAGGGGCACATGCCCAGGGCTCACACATGCAGAGAGAAACGTAAGTACTGACAAAAAGTCCATTTTAACTCGGAAGAAAAGGACAGGGCAGAGTCAAATGGACAGAACAGGGGCAGCCACAGAAAGCTCTGCTCCAAGATATCGTGGAGTAGACCTGATATTTTGGGGACTTTAAGGAGAAACTCTCCTGTAGAACATAGTGACGTACTGAGTACAGTGGTACCTCGGGTTACATACACTTCAGGTTACATACGCTTCAAGTTACAGACTCCGCTAACCCAGAAATAGTACCTCAGGTTAAGAACTTTGCTTCAAGATGAGAACAGAAATCGCACGGCGGCAGCAGGAGACCCCTTTAGCTAAAGTGGTGCTTCAGGTTAAGAACAGTTTCAGGTTAAGAACGGACCTCCGGAATGAATTAAGTACTTAACCCGAGGTACCACTGTATATAAAGGACAAGACAGTCTCTCAAGTAACCTAGCCCTGAGGTGTATAGGGCCTATTATTATTATTATTAAATTGAATACCGCCCTATACTTGCAGGTCTCAGGGCGGTTTACAGAATAAAATCATATGTCAGTACCAAAACCTTGAATTTGATTTCGTAGAAGATTGGTAAGCAGTGGAAGTCCCACAAACAAAATGTTATGTGCTAGGAGTAGTTTACCCTCTCAGGCAACCTAGCAGCCATGTTCTGCACCAACAGCAACCTCCAGACCAACCTCAAAGGTAGCCCCACAAAGAAGGCATTGCAGCGGCCTAGTTGACATGCTCTATATTAGGAGTGGGGAACCTGAGGTCTAAGAGCCTAATGAGGCCCTCGAGGACTCCCTCCAGGCCAGCCCCCTCACCAGCCTCTTCAGAATCCTCTTCATGTGCTTCTGCCTGACTGAACTATGATCTGTCCATTTGTTTGCTTTAAATCCATCACCAAACTACTTAACAGATAAAAATACTGAACAATAAACAGTACAATAAAAACAGAGATACAGTAAACAGTATTATATGAACGGGGGGGGGGATTTCCCAAAATCTTTTGCTTGCCTAGATGGAGATGTGGGTGCAGAAACCTCTGACCAGATGTAACCTACTGTGGAAAATTCAGCTTCCTAGCTCCACCCATGTTTGCCTCTGCCCCCACCCACCACTGGAAGGTTCCTCACAAGGAATAAAAAGGTTTCCCAGCCCTGCTTTATGTTCCCGAACTTCTCTCTCTTTTGCCATCCTTGAACTGTTTCTTCTTCACGCCACAGTTCCTGGCTTTGCAACTTCAGTTGGTCCCTGACAACAAACCAGAAAGTGTTACTCTCTTCTATGAACTATGTTGAAAGAGAAAGATGCTCATCAACTTTATGCTTAAGACTGGAGAAAGAATGCACACTTCCAGAATGAGATTAAAGCTGGTGGAGACATCACGTCTTTATAATAAATAGAAGTACACACACACACATCTATATAAACACACACATATACATATATGCAAACATACGCACAAACACCAAAGGTATGGCAAGGGAACTACTATATTCTCCAGACAGCTGTAGAAATGTTATGACTGAGTTGCTGGGGTTGCCATGATATTGGTAACCTTCTTTTGCGTAAGGTCAGACAGCAGTCTGACTTCGAGGCTTGACACAAGACTAAGCACATTACATCCAGTCGTCATCAAAGCCCCACAGGCCTAGTGCTATGTTCGACACACTAAATAAGTCAAGTCAAGATCATGACCGAAATACCAGCTGTAACATGCCTGGACTTGTTGGGAGTTAAGAGCACTGACATTGCAGTCTGAGAGGAAAGATTGACAGGGTTGGTGAGGCCTTTGTTTTTATTCCTCCCCCTGCCCCACCCTGTCCCGGGAGGAATCCGAAGCCCATCTATAACATTGAGAGAAACTGTAAGGAGCAGTTTCAGAGACATGGTGCTATAAGGCCAGTGTACTTGTGTAGAAATATAGAGCTGAAATTACATGGCCTCAGAATTCTTCAGCCTGTGATATATTTCAAAGACTCTCTGCTAGCAAGAAAACAAGCCTTCGAAAGGTACTTAAAAAACTAATCATCCCTGTGGACCATGGGGAACGGTAAACGAGAAGACCTCAGCCTAACAGCACAGAGGGAAATAATTAGTGAAACTGAAACAAAAACATACAGAGGCCGGGATCCAAAGAACTACTTGAAAGCATGCCCAGCAAGAGGCTTTTCTTCTCCTTTGAACAGTAGATCTCAAACATTATCTGATAAAACTGCTTTTGAAAGCCCTCTCAGAATTAGAGGGACATTGATAATGTACTGCACTCCTTGGATGTCCTACTTTCCTAGCCTAGGGCCAGCCCAATAATTTAATTTTACTGCCCAAAGTGAAGGACAAGACAGCACCCCACACTCAGTGTTCAGCCCCCAGTTAGACTTTGAAACACTGGTGAGGAGACAGCATTTTCCATCACATTTGAGAGCAGCAAACTACCTTAGCAGGTACAGGGCAAACTGCATGGCAAACACAGCTCCAACAACTCACTGCTGTTCGCCACCCAGCATCCACTACTTCAGATGGTCACCTCACTGTGCCTAACCCAGACTACTTTAGTCAGCAAAGGAAGCAGGGATATCATGGTCAGGCTAGTCCATCACTCAGAGATTATTAAGGCTTCATACAGAAAAAATAATTTGGGTTGTCCATAATGGAAACCCACAACAGTGGTGGAAATTATGAGGGTGAATGTTGTCTGCAGCAGCAGAGGCCCTAGTGATGGGGAAGAAACTTGGTTCAGTTTGCAATTTCATGTGTGCCTACCTAATCTGCATGAACCAAAACAGGACATGCAGTGCAGCCAACTTTAGAAATTCACACTTTCCCCAATTTTGTGATGCAACTCTGTGAGGTCAAAAAGGGGTCTCCAAGCAACTCTCAGCAACTGTAAGAAACAACTGCGACCTGGATCTGTTGGCTGTTCAGAGTGGCATGATACCACTTTAAATCTATACAGTGGTACCTCAGGTTAAGAACTTAATTCGTTCTGGAGGTCCGTTCTTAACCTGAAACTGTTCTTAACCTGAAGCACCACTTTAGCTAATGGGGCCTCCTGCTGCTGCTGCGCCGCTGCTGTGCAATTTCTGTTCTCATCCTGAAGCAAAGTTCTTAACCTGAGGTACTACTTCCGGGTTAGCGGAGTCTGTAACCTGAAGCGTCTGTAACCTGAAGCGTCTGTAACCCAAGGTACCACTGTAGTGCAAATAGGGTCAAGATGGAATAAATGTGCACCAGACAGCTATGGAGTGCCAGGCAACAACTTACTCTGAAGGATTCCTTGAGATGTATGGGAATATCTTCTAATGGAAAAAACAGCCTTTTAAAGTAAAATAGCAAAAAGAGAGAGAGGCCCAAACAGAAACTGTGTAATAATGTCTTATTTTCCCCATTTTTCTTTCTGCCTAGTGATGGGGGCGGGGAGTTTACAGCCAAAACCTGTATCTACCAATTCTTTGCCATATGATATAACAAAATTTGTGGTTTTCCTATTCAAAATGTGCCATTAAAATGGCATTTTTGCCTATTAGCATCAGCCTTCTACCACGGAGCCAAATAATCTATTTTTTTGTTGTTTTTTAAAAAAATACTGCTGAAAAAAATGTAATCACCTGTATACACATATATTCACCATCCTTGCAATTATTGAAAATCAGGAAAGAATGAAATGCTTTAGTGAGTAATAATGAGTAATAGTTAATTCAACTGACAGATACAACAGTCAAGTACACAGCCATGTATTTTAAGATGAGGGGACAATTTCCTAGTAAGCATTATTTATAACAAGAGACTGGACCATCTTTCATGTTTAAAAATAAGGATTAGGGTTCTTGCCCACACCGATGCTGGATTCACAGCTCACACAAAGAAAGAGTGCTAAACCTGTAAACCACAACTGGGAATAATCTTTTTAGCAATTTACTATGTTTAGGCTTAATGCTGTTAAGTGAGGTCTGTGCTTTCTTAACATACAGAGAAGAATCAAAAAGAGCTTAATGTTTTATGGAAATATTTAAGTTAAACATATGTAATTTAGGGAGCAAGAGGGCAATCTCTAATCAAACATTTGATACTTGGGACATTTGGATACAGTTAAGGACAGTAACCTTGATGTGGGGAACACATATGGAGCTAAGTAGTAAGGAACTTCTTAAGGCTCCAATAAACTCTCACTCATGACTTACTAGTGGGATTTCTCTATTTGCAAGATGCTGACTGGAGGGGCAACATCCATTTGATCCCCATAAACAGTCCTCTATCCATCATTAGTCAGATTTTTTCCAACCAAGAACTGGTCAAATGAAAGAGCATTAATTAGTGTTTCATATCACTAGTTAAGAGAAAAGAAAGGGATTTGGGTGAAACATGAGGTAGATGAAGCAGACAGGAATTCTAGTGTGTCCTAAAGACACTGAAATCTGTGAGATTAAATTCTTGTATGTTTGTGTATATATACGGGTATATGAGGGTTTTGTTTTTGTTTTTTGACTGTTATTTCTTCGTATGTGTAGATATGCAGTCAGGGAAAAAAGAAAGTACACCCTCTCTGAATTCTGTGGTTTTACATATCAGGACATAATAACAATCACCCGTTCCTTAGCAGGTCTTAAAATTAGGTAAATACAACCTCAGATGCACAACAACACATATTACACCGTGTAAAAAAATAAATTGTTAAAACATTGCAAATGTCATCCTAGTAAACTCATATCTGGTTTGTACTTATACAAACTTAACGTTGGCACATTAAGAACAGCATGTAGAGAATTTGTGAGAACACTCATGTTTTGAAGTTTACATAACTTTTATTTACTACTGATGTTTATAAATGAAGTAATTTATAATTAAGACATGTGCTGCTTACAGTACTTGACAAAATGTATTTTTAAAAGACCAGTATTTGCAACATATTAGCTGTTTCTGAACTTATAGCCTCAACTGCACTGTAACTCCATCAACTGAAGAACCTATTATAAGTCAATAAGAATCTGATTCTAGTGATTTGACCAACTCCGAATCAGGTGTGAAAGTATCCGAGGATTTTCCACATCCATGCTCATCTCCGTGTGAAGCATTCTTGCATCAGGAATGTATTTTTTTTATGGATAAAATGATGTGTTACCTGGAATCCATATGCACCTGCAGCTTCCCAGAAACTGCTTCTGTGACCATATCAGCTGAAAAGTCTGCTGCTGTGAAAATGGAAAGTACCATCGCAATATCCCAGGACAAATATTATGTTTTTCCAGGGACAGGTGGGACACTGAAAGTTTAGTAAGGTAAAGGTAAAGGGACCCCTGACCATTAGGTCCAGTCGTGACCGACTCTGGGGTTGTGCGCTCATCTCGCTCTATAGGCCGAGGGAGCCGGTGTTTGTCCGCAGACAGCTTCCGAGTCATGTGGCCAGCATGACTAAGCTGCTTCTGGCGAACCAGAGCAGCACACGGAAATGCCGTTTACCTTCCCACCGGAGTGGTACCTATTTATCTACTTGCACTTGGTGACGTGCTTTCGAACTGCTAGGTTGGCAGGAGCAAGGACCGAACAACGGGAACTCACCCCGTTGTGGGGATTCGAACCGCCGACCTTCTGATCGGCAAGTCCTAGGCTCTGTGGTTTAACCCACAGCGCCACCCGCGTCCCGAAAGAACAGTAACTAAGTATAAAAACATGAGCAGACATGGTAAGCCAAGATAGATTTTTCTTTCTCTTTATGATCCTTTCAGAAACCTATTTTATCAGCAGACGTGTGGGGTAGTTATCACTAACCACAACTACTGAATCAAACGTGGTCCAGAGGGCTCTAGTTAGTTTATGATCCCTAACTAGGGAGCGTGTGGTGCTGTGGTCTAAACCACTGAGTCTCTTGGGCTTGCCGATCAGAAGGTCGGCAGTTTGAATCCCTGTGATGGGGTGAGCTCCCATTGCTCTGTCCCAGCTCCTGCCAACCTAGCAGCTCGAAAGCACGCCAGAGCAAGTAGATAAATAGGTACAGCTGCAGCGGGAAGGTAAATGGCATTTCTGTGTGTCACAGTGTTCCGCTGAACCAGAAGCGGTTTAGTCATGCTGGCCACATGACCCAGAAAGCTGTCTGTGGACAAACGCTGGCTCCCTCGGCCTGAAAGTGAGATGAGCGCCACAACCCCAGTCACCTTTGACTAGACTTAACTGTCCGGGGTCCGTTATCTTTTACCTTTATGATCCTTAACACTTTGCAGTGCCAGGGAGAGGTACCCAGAGATGGCCCTTGAGCATTAATGGCATCCCAGACAAGGAGCATCTTTGGTATCTGTACTTTATTTGACTATCTTTTGACTATCTTAATCCCCCCCCCAAATATCAAGCTCATTTCATCACCCTGAAACTCAATCTGCATGCATGATTTATCTCTGTCCTGTAAGATGACAAATTGACAAGCCTGGATCTGATCACAACCACTCACACATGTACAGAGTTTGTTGAATGGACACCAATATAAGAATCTCCCCCCGGCCCCAATAGTAACAAACAGAACATTAAGGGAACACTGGTCCCATGAGTTAGTCTGCCAGCTTTGCATGAGAAGATAAACTGGCTGAGTTCTTTGTTTCAGCAGTTAAGTGAACAGGTAACTGTTCCTAAATCTGGTCATGGAGTTAATCCTTCAAATTATAATTAAACAGAGTATCTATCCAAGAAGGTACATAAGAAATGGTGTGAATTCAGGCAATAATTTACCAATTGGAAATTTTATAATCATCGGGTAAGCCAGCAGAAATTCACTATTTCTCATTTTCTGTAGATATCTGGAAATGCAGTAGATTTCTCACCATCCCTTTGGCAAGATACGGCTGACAAACAGCTTACCGCATGTCAAGTTATAATTTGGTACATGGCCATCTGTATCCAACCATCACCACCAGATGTTAAACAAGCAGCAAAAAGGCAAAACATCTGAGAGCTCCAAACAGAGGGCAGCTAAAAGCTGCATTTTTCTCACATCTGGCACTCATTTATATTTCCTGTTGGTTTTTGTCACAAAGAAGCTGAAAAAGTGGATTTTACAAGTTCATCTTAATACCCATACTTCCTTTTTTAGCATGACCAACTAGTAGTGAACTATATGCGCTTACCCTAGATAGGTACTTATGGCAGCCATTTGGAAGTATAATAACTATGCTTCTACATACTGTTCACAGGACATGGGATTCAGTTGTAAATATTGTTAGTGGATCATCATGAACGACAGTCACCAGTTTAAAAAAATATTTTAAATTTACTGAAAAACCTGCATGTGGAATCAACATTATCTCAACATAGGACAGGTGAATATATATTTTTGTGTATGAACTTTTTGACAAGCGAAATGATTCCCCAGTGATATAATAATAATAATAATAATAATATCTATACCCCGCCCATCTGGCTGGGTTTCCCCAGCCACTCTGAGCAGCTTCCAACAAAATACTAAAAATACAATAAAACATCAAACATTTAAAACTTCCCTAAATTTTCCACAATGGTGCAAGGACTTGATTTAGGGATGCAAAAGCATTAATATTTGAATTAAAAAAAATATCAGAGTACCAATGAAATATCTCCCAATTAGCCCTGCAAACTTCACACACACACACACACACACACACACACACACACCCTGCACAAGAACGGATCACATAATTTTGGATACATCATGTTCTGTATGTCTATGCGTCTTAGTTTACTTTTCAAATTCAAACTTCAGGTAAATATCAATTTGACACTGATATCAATTTGACAGTTATGCAGTTACACCTTAAGTTACACTTCACCTTTTGTTATTTAACAAACGGACTTGAGGATAATTTTGCTGCAGCTGTTCAACTTATTCATATGAAACTGACAAAAGAACAAGACAGTGCATAACTCAAAGAAAGATAACTATGAAAAGAGTTAAATAAACTGCTTGTAAAAAAAACCCCAAACCTGAACAATTAACAGGACTTTGAAAACACAAGAAATCAAGTTACAGCTTTAGAAGTTGTCCAAAGGACTTGAGTAAGACATGTAGACTTTCATGTTTAGGGCTGCTTTCACTTTTCTCTCTTTTTAAAAATATAGTTATGCAGGATTGTACAATGAAATTTTAGCAGGAGGACTTATTATGGAGATACTCTAGTCCCTGCCCCCCTACATTTGTAGTTGCAAGAGTCAAACAGGAAAAAGCCTATGAGTAAGATAAAAACTGAAGATACTGCAACCAAGCCACAACAGAGGAAACATATATTCTCTTTACCAGCCTTTCTACAGTTCTGTTGCACAGAATTTCATAGTACCTTTAGCCTGGCTCCAACTGGAGGATTATGGTCTGTTTTTGTATCAAGCTTAAAAACTGTATTGTTCTACAGATTATTTTCATAAGTGGTGAGGCTGCTGTATAGTTATGGTGTTTTGGTTAGATATGATTAATGTAATTAAAGATGCATCTAGCTTTGACCCTTTGACCATTTTGCTGGGTTTTGTAATTTTATGTTTTCAAGCAAGATATGAAATTGATAACAAGTTTCCTTGTAACTGCCAGGGTAGGGTTAGCATCTGCATCAAAATCAGGTGACTAGTTAGATTTTTTTAAAAGCACAGAACATATTGTTAACATTAAGTTGTGGGAAAGAAGACAAAAAATAAATAGCTTCCAGGAAAAAAATGGTTTTGTTTTTGTGGTCAGAACGCATATTTTGAATTACTGCATTATTAAGGTTTCAGTGGAGTTAATATTGTACTATGTTTTGTTTATGTTTTGGATGTCTTTCATCTCCTTGCTCTTAAGGAAGCACATATATTACTAGTACTTATCATTTCACAAAGCACACTGCAAATCAAGAATCTGAACTGTTTATTTTTCACAATAACAGAGCCAGACAAGTTACAGTTGGGTGATTAGAGCTGAAAGACATTTGATTGGTCCAAGGCCACAGCAGATGGTCAATGGGAGAGATGAGACTTGTTGAGGGTTTTCAGGATTAGATGCCATTTTCTCAATAATAGCTAAAACGTTGGCATGCAAAGATAGATGTATTAAGAAAAAATACTGTATTTTTTTTTAACGAGAGAGATCCCTGATGGCTGACTGCCTTGTGGTGGTAGACTTCCCCCATTCATTCAGTCCGCTCTACATTTTGCCCTGTTGTTGCCACCATAAAGTCCACTGGGTTCATATACTAGGGCTGCAAAGAGGGGGCAATACTGGGAAATGTGCGTACACATCAGCACTCTGTCCACAGGTGGATGCCTGGGAGCTGTGTATGCACACGTCCAACCAGAACCACTTTCCACAGATCTAGCATGTGAAACCCAGCCAGCTTTGGCAGCAAAGTATCATCAATGGGAGAAATGCAGGGGGGCTGACCCAGATGAGGTGCAGGTAAAGGCAGCTGCCAGGTGACGTCAGTGCAGGTGGTGCTGTTTGCCGTGGGATTGTGAATGAATGAACGAATGAGAAGCAGGAACTTGAGGAAGATGCCACAGCTGTGTAGCAACTGTTTATTTCAAGTCTTGTAGAAAGGTCATCAACGAGTAACACAATATTACAATGACTGAAACTGAAGTCATGGTGGGTGTGAGGATAATTTCCAGCACTTGTGTTATTTCGCACTATTGTCAGCGAATTGTGATTGCTACATTTTACTAATCTGCTGCCTCTTCTGCTTATCCCAGGAAAATATTGTTACTGGCCACCCCAATCTCTGCCAAGTGGTCTTAGCACTCAATCAGGGTTTGGGTTTCCTTTGGGAAAATGAGGCACAGCAGTTTCTGCAGTGTCTTTAGGAGGTGTGGTTTATTCACACATATATACACCTGAGGTTTATGGAGAGAGAGTTCACAGCATTCACATCTAAAGGGGCTTGTCCTTCCCAGCTGTGCAGTCTTGGATTCAGAGGCATCCTAAGCATCATCCCCATGTCTCTCTGTAACAACCTGCTTCAGCCAACCAGGATGGCTCATGCCCTTCAGCCCCCATGGATTTCTCCCCACTTCCTCCTCCTTCTTCCCAACAGCACTTGGGAGAAAACAACAACTCCCCTTCTGCTTCCAGCATCGTCCCCCACTCAGTCACCCTGGCAAGCTGTTTCTCAAGCCCTTAGCAAAATGGGCAGAGTCTGATGTTTTCCTGATGACTTACCTTTATCAAAGGCCTTTTTAAGTCTTTCGTTTCTTCAACAACACAGCTGAATTCATGAATTTGCTCAAATTCTAACCCGTCACTGAATGTAGAGATTATGGGGGGTCTGGTTCCCCCACCCCAAATTTTAACAATCTCTTCAGGATCATGTACAGCCCCATTATGCCTTTTATTTGGGTCTACCTGGTTTTTCAAAATTGCTCAGTGATCCTAGACCATAGCTTAGGAAATCTGACTAAACCATCAAGAGATTACTCCAGCCTGCTTCCTGGAGCGCCGGGCGCACTGAAGCAGAGCGCCCTGCCCGCCGGACAGACATCGGCCAGCCCCACAAGCTCGGGGGACAGCAAGGAGGCGCAGCGCCGCCATCCCGCTGTTCCTCGACCTGGTTCGGTTTCCCCGACCTGGTTTTGGGGGGAAATAAAGGGGGGGATTTTCTTTATTTCCCCCCCAAAAAACTAGGTGCGTCCTATGGGATGGAGCGTCCTATGGGACAAAAAATACGGTAACTGCATTGCCTATTCTTTGCGCATATCTAGTGCACTGCATGAAATGAATATAGCTGTTCTTTCATATCTTCCCCCAAAACTTTTAATTACAGATGTAATTTATTTCACCGCCTTATTTATTTTCCAGCATAAAACACGGTTTCCAGTTTCTCTCACCCACGTTTTTGGCCTAGGCCGCAACACTTTCTGACATAATGCAACTAGCAAAATGGACATTATAGCATCTACCTTAATAATAGATTATAATTAGCTCTCATTTTGCATTGCAGGAGGTTGGACTAGTTGACCCTTGGGGTCCCTTCCAAGTCTGCAATTCTATGATTCTATGAGATAAAATTACTGGGTCACAGAGTGAAAGCAAAAATATATTTTCAATATATTTTCAGATTTTATTAACCAAAATACAAATAATGGTAAAAGAAAAAGAAACTTCGGAATGAAAACAAAATCTCTTGAACAATATTAAATTACTTGCCATTCTTACTAAACCTTTCTAATTGATGTAGTCAAAGTCTTCAGGAATGCCAAATGTTTTGTCAATTTTGCTCTCTTCAAATGCAAACTTCCGTTTGGCCCAAGATTTTGCTGCAAAGATATTATCTGTGGACAAAATAGGGGTGGGGAAAAAAAATTAAATAAGATGGGTTTTTGTTTTCAAGAAATGAAGTTTTTAGAATGGAGAGTTCCATTCCATAATTTCAATCATCAGGGCTTTCTATTCTATTTTTTTTAAAGAAGACCCACTGCCAGTGTGAAACAGCAGGGCCAGTCTACACATTACCATTCCATGCCAAGGTCTTCCTCAAAGTGATTTTTCTGCCTTTCTGTTGCAACACCTAACACTGGTTACCATGAACTTGTCTGTATGTTACCCATAGAGATTCTTCACCAGTCTCAAACCTCCAACAGGACATCTGATGGGAGGAAACTCTCCACAACAGGAGTTGTCAAGTGGTAACTGGTATCAGATCTTGCAACAGAACTGGAAAATCACAAGGAAGGGGACCAGGGCAAATTAGTAGTCAACACATATCCAGTTCTTAAAACAGCATTGCTTGCAAACACTTAAAGCGGCGTAACAGAGCAGCTCAACAAAAAACAAGCAAAAAGGAGATTTGTTATTTTTATCCTGCCCTTCAGCATTGCTGCTCTGAAGGTGGTTTTAAAAGGTCTAGGAAAATAAACAAAGAGTTGATGCCTGCTAAGCTTTCCTGGCAAGGACATTCCAAAAAGTGGAATGGCCATTCTCCAAGAGCCACCTGCCTAACTTCTGATGGTGGGGGCAGGGGGCAGCTGGAGAAGGGCTTTGGAAGATAATCATAAAAGAGAACTTTATGTGGGATAAGGCAATCCATCATATTTAGTTATACTTTGCACCTTCTGTGATGCATGTTCAATAGATCAATTTAGTGAGTGGAATGTGCATGTTTTATTTTCTACTGGACTTTATCAGGGTGAAGAAGTGATGCAGCTGAATCCTAGACAAACATCAATTACTTTAGACCTGATAACAAGGTGTCATGTGAAGCAGTTGCGAAGTGCAAAATTCCATTTATATGGTATCGTTGATCCCCATAAACGTGGATATCTGGTGATAACGAATAAGAAGAGCTTGCTGTAATCTAAGATATGCTGTGGAATCAAATTTAAGACACAATTGTGTCCTCCAGGCTCACTGCATCAGTCTTTTACTGGCTGAAAGTCAAGCAGTTTGCTAGTTTGCAGAGAAAGAAAGCCCCCCGTTATAGGCTGTGCAGAAATGAAATGCAAAGAACAAATTCTCCTACTGCGCATGTTATTTGCAGACTGGGTTTGCTTAACATATACAGTGATTTGAAACTGAACAAAAATGATAATGATATGTGGCAATGACTGCAGCTGTTAAGAACACATGAAATAAATTTATAATGATGCATTCATGAGAAGTAGCATTCATGTGCAGTATTTTCCTGAGCAATGGCAAACACTACCAGTTAAATAATATTTTATGAATTGTATAGCAGCTCTGGTAAGAGCTAACAAATTGCAAGTTTTATGAATGATTGCTTCTTCTCTTGAGTTTATTTTTCCTCAAGGAAGGGACAGGGATGTTGCTAAGGAATGCAAATGCAGACACACCAGTCCATCTGTTGGCTGCTTCCTTAGCCACTTTATTTGCTTGACCTGGAAAAAAAAAACAAGAAACAACAGGAAATCAATACCAGCAATTCCTACTCATGTAATGCAACAGCCTTAAGGGGTTAAAATGGCATTTAAAAGTGGTTTTGTGAGCACACAGCACAATTCTTATTTTGCAACAGCTTGAAAATGTTTTACTTTTGAACTTATTATTCCACCAAACCTTCAAATAAGATTAACATAGCTATATCAAACTGAATCAGCATGTTAAATATGTGGTTTCTACAAGTATGCTAAAAAATGTCACGTAGCAACTTTAGAACTGCAACTTGCTATCATGCACCAGAAATGGCTCTGCACACAGGTTGGGAAAAATTGGGCTCAATAAGATTGGGATCTAACTGTTCACATCCCTCTTGCAGTTCTGTTGACCACATCCCCACCTGCTTGCTCAACTTGCTTTTAGGACCACATATTTGTGGCCCTCAACACATCCTATTCCAGAATCATGGCACCTGACTTTTGTGGTGCATCACTAGAAATGTCTGCATCATCATCTCTCTTGATACAGCCAAAGAAAATTATACAGTTGAAAAAGGGAAATCATCCACGTGGTTTCTCTCTCTCTCTCTCACACACACACACACACCACACATTCACACAAAAAGAAAACATGGACAAATTAGAGATTCTTTCACCTCCTGGCGAAATTTCTCTTTCTTTCTTTTTAAGTGATTGGAGTGACCTTGCTCATGGGCCACTTCACATGTTCTTTCCAATCACCTTCCTCACTCATGAGGGCAATTTATTCAAGTGACCAGCATTATACGGGAACCAGTTGCTATCAACAGCAAGCACTGCAACTTTCATAACGGAAGAACATGCTTCCTAGACTGAGATTTATAAGTTCCATGCTGACACAATAGCCTGCTTGTGCAAGCAGACAACTTGTGGAAGTAAGGCAAGCACTCCAAGGAATGTATAAAACAGTAGCTTAAACATTTACCCAAATAATCCTTTTAAAATAGTCTTAAAATCAGTCCACAAACACTGTGAAGCGGGATGGTGGTGGGGAACTGTATACAAAGCAAACAACTCTCTTTCAGATCTTTCAGCTTTCCCCCTCTGGAGTGTATACAGATGCAGACTCAGATTCCCATACTGAAAGCCTGAAAGAGCTGTCATGTTTCTCACACCCACACACACCCCTCTGTCTTGCCAGTGCTTGCCTATATTATTTATTGGCAGTGGTCAATGCACAGCCTACAGCTTGTCTCTAGGGACGCTGAGAAATTAAAGCAACATAAAATGTCTCATTGTTATGATGTTTGTACTGTAGGCAAGGCTTACTCAACTTGCAAAATGAGCTGCCGTCAAACTCAAGAGGAAGGCTAATGTACATTATCTGAGTCTAAGTACTGTTCTTAGCTCGGTTCATAAGGTATTTGCATTTTTTATTTCTTAAAAAACACAATGAAAATGGGCCCCTGCCCTTTTGTGTTTTCTGTGACATAGAAATAGGAAGTTTAGATTATCTTTTTACATTTTTTATTTTAATTTTTTTAAAATAAATAAATAAATAAAATAAGCTCAATATAAAGAGCATAAGGAAATACTGTTTCAGCACGTTGAAAGCAACATAAGGTTGCACTCATCAGACTTGTTGTTTCAAAACATTGATTTTGTTCCCAAACATTTTCTTTTAAATCAACTTTTTTTTTTAACCAACACTTGTTTTAAGTTTTCAGAGAGGGCATACAATAAGCTTACTTTTTAATGATGCTGCAAAACATTAAAAAGTCTCCCAGTAGGCCTTTATTTTCAATGTGATTATTAGATAAGAAGGTGGTACAGTGTGGGTCCACAACTGAATCTGACAAAGAGTATAATTATGCACTGCAACTGTCTTTAGGGACATGCGGAATCTACAAAGACAATACTTTACCCCAAGTATTTCACACGGAGGTTTTTGTTGCACCCCAAACTGCTTTAATAGGAAAAAATATTAAATGATTTTGTGACTCTCTAGTCTAAATAAGGTTCTAAGAGCCACTGGAGTTTTAACTATGTTTACCTAGTTGTTATCTTACAAGTTTGGAGACATGGAAAGTATCAAACCTTTTCACATGCTGCTGCCAAAACAGTGACATCTCTTTGTAGTCTTCACTCCCTATATTTTACACAAGCTCCCATAATTCTCTTCCCTACATACACACCATTGTCTTATATGCATCAATTTTCTCCCTATGCCTGGAAGAACATTTTTCATTGCCAAGAGCAGCTTTTTATTGGCCTTAAGCTCCATCCTGGTCTTGTCTGTAAGCCAGATGTGGCTAAGCTTTGGTCCTCCAAATGTTGCTGGACTAGAACTCCTATCACCCACCAACTCAGGGGTGCCCAAACTTTTTTCAAAGAGGGACAGATTTGATGAAGTGAACATGCATGAGGGCTGACCAGAGTTGCTGAGCTTTTAAAAGGATTTAATCCCAGGACATATACTGCCACAGGGGCCGGATTAAGCCCCCAAAATGGACTTTGGATATGCTTGCACTAACTGAAGGGCAGTTGTGGTCCAACAACATCTTGAGGGCCACAAGTTTCTCAACCCTGCCATAAGCTACAAACCAGGCAGAGAGCCTTCTCGGTAGTGGCGCCTGCCTTGTAGAATGCCCTCCCATTAGATGTCAAGGAAATAAACAACTATCTGACCTCTAGAAGACATCGGAAAGCAGCCCTGTTTAGGGAAGTTTTTAAAGATCATATTTTTAATATTCTGTTGGGAAACCCAGCCAGATGGGGGGGGGAGATAAATAGATAGATGATAGATAGATAGATAGATAGATAGATACAACATTGCTACTATTTTCTACACCTAGTCTGGAACAAACACTGCCAGCAAAACATTATCTGTACTACTCCAAGGCACACCTGCAACTTCAGAGAAAAGTCTTGATTCAAAGAAAAGATTGTCTAGGGCACAGATGGAATCACTGCCTGCAAATGTGGACAGGATGGAGTAGCAGACACCGAACTCAATAGAGCAGGAATGGGGAACCTGTAGTCCCCCAAAGGCTGTTCGATAACACATCCCACCATACTTAACCATGCTGGCTGGAGCTGATGGGAGCTGGAATCCAATAACATTTAAAGAGCCACAGGTCAGTCATCTCTGCATTAGAAACTGAGAGTACTTCTGTACAGGGTGTTTCCAGGTTCACATCATTTGGTGGAGCTTAATGGGAAGTTGCTTGTAAATGGCCTTTTGCAAACTTAAGGGATGTAAATTCTGGGATTGGACTGGGATAATTGCTGAGAGTAAAGCAGTAAGCATTTCGCAAGATCTAAGAACTGGATACCTTGGAGTAAGATCATGTCTCAAACTATTTGTAGAGTTGATATAAAAGATCAGAAGAAAATATTGGGAAAAGTTCAATAATCAACGGTTATGAACAATGATAGGACTCTTAATCCTCAGTAACCTTATTACCCCGCGTTGAGGATTTGGCAGCCTGGGTTTTTGCATAGTCCTACTAACAGCAAGCATCATTTGAATTTTCAGCAAGAAGTATCTGCAAACAATACTGGCCCTTTCATCTTTTAAGGCAACTTGACAAGATGTAAAATGAAACCTTTTCGAAAACAGGAACCTCAAGTTCTTGACCCTGAAAAAAGCATCAAGTATGTTCAGATAGAAAGAGTATCTAAATTTACAAAACAAGAAGTGGCTTCCGGCCAGTGTAAGCTATCAAGTTTCAAATATCTACCAGCAAGCGGGATTTATGGATTTCTTTTAGCCAGCAATGGTCCAATCTCCTAGGAGACTTTCAGATTAGTTACTGTTAAAATAGCACATAGTAACTCACATTTTTACTCTGATATTCCTGAACAATTACTTCAGCAACACTTGCAAATGCTGGAATGACTGTATTCCAGCACCATTTGAAATCAGGGTAGAAGCTCTAAAATTGCTGCTGTACAGTTCTACTGAATCATGCTTTGTACTTAAATAGTGAGATGATTATAGTAAAAAGCAAAGAATGTTCCGCAAATCATGAGAACATAACCTACTCTACAGGCCATCACTAACTTCTGAAACAGAGAAATTACTACAGCAATTCTAGAGCAGAACATTTTTCACTTTGAGTTACTTATACATTCACTCAATATATGCCTACTTGACTGCTTCAATCTGAGGAACTGGCATTGTTACAAGTGCCACATAATACTTGTTCCACACTTGGAAGATTTTCTCTCTTTTTAGCTTGGCAGCACCTACACTTTGGAAAATTTTGCCTATTGACATCAGATAGGCACCTTGGCTGCACACTTTTTGGTGTCTACTAAAAAATAAATTGTGCAGACAAACCTATCCAGACAAGTAGAAGTTAGCATGTGTTTTAATTATATTCTGGTTTTTTAAGAATACATTTGTCTTTTATTGACAATTTCAGTGTGTGGCTGTTTTTTTTGTAAACTACTTTGATGTTCTATTTACAGTAATAAACTTTGTTAAATAAAAAATAAAGGTGTAAAATGTGTTTCCTTGACAGCGTTCTTCAGATCCACCGAAATTATTGAACCTAAATTAGTCATATACATCAACTTAAACAGGTCCAACTTGGAGTGGAGCTAGCACTGGCTCTACCACTGCCAAATAACATGTGACAATACAAAACAACATGTGATAATAGCTGTACTACTACATCTCTGCTTTTGGAGAGAGCTCTTTCATGACTCCACACCCACTTGAGACATACTCTGCTTAGGAAGGAATCAACTTTCTATGCCAATCTGCAGTGAGGCTTGTTTGCACACATTCGGATAGTTACCACAGTACAGCATTTTCTAATCTGGGGTCTTAAGTGCCTGCTCTTTGTTTCTGTTACAGTGGTACCTCGGGTTGCATACGTTTCAGGTTACATATGTTTCAGGTTACAGATTCTGCTACCCCAGAAATATTGCTTCAGGTTAAGAACTTTGCTTCAGGATGAGAACAGAAATCGTGTTCCAGTGGCGCGGCAGCAGCGGGAGGCCCCATTAGCTAAAGTGGTGCTTCAGGTTAAGAACAGTTTCAGGTTAAGTACAGACCTCCAGAACGAATTAAGTACTTAACCCGAGGTACCACTGTATATATTATGCTACATACATCTTATACTACTCAAATGTGATGTTAACTCTATCCTTTTGGTAGCTAGGTGAAGCACCAAGTTTCTTAAATATCAAAAATTAAGAAAGAAAAGAAATGACTAAATTCTGCATCAGGGTCAAATTCTGTTACAGGAAAAAGAAATATGCAGACCATGCCAATATATGCAAATATGTTTTGCATCATTCTACAATAGCATGAAAACAACAAACTGAAAAGACCTACTCTGACTGCTAACATGTCACTAAACATGCACATAACTTTATCTTTACACAGGAAATAGGAACCTTTAAAAATGAAAACCACTATTTTTAGGATGCTAAATTCTTTGACAATACCAAGTGCGGTCATAAAACATGCAATGGCTAGATCAGGGATGAGGAAACTGTGGCCCTCCAGATGTTGTTGGACTCCAACCCCCATCATTCCTGACAAGACCAAGAAAGACCTTTCTTCCTGCCCTCTTCCATTGTGGGATGACCAAGAGGCAAAGCCAACTTATGCTCTCTGTCCAGTTGTTCTGCTGTCTACACAACAGAAAAATCTGAGAAGCGGCTACGTGAAGACAACTGGGAACTGCTGTGGTGGGGGAGAGCCTCAAACTACAAACAGCAGATTTTCAGCCCATCTTCTAGTGCTGACTGTGGAGCTGAGTTATGAGCAAAAAGCTCTTTTATTTCAAGAGCGAGAAAGAAACCCCAAATAGGTCAATAGTGTGTGGGCAGTACAACTAAGCCTAGCGTATGGTTGTAGACAATGTATTTGTGTGGAGTTGACAGAAGTCTTTTGTTACATAGTCCTGACAAACCCTATCAGACACTTTTGGGAGAGACAGTACTTCTGTACTGATGAGATTTGACAGTCTGACCTTTCCATAAGGGACATGGGAAGCCTGCATTGATGGGACTTGACAGATTTCTTTTTTAAAAAAATTAAAAAAACAGTTCACAAAGATCTAATGCTTTAACAATGCAGCCCCACAAAGGCACAGCTAGCACAGTAGTCTTTAATATGCACTGTTCTTAAGTGTAAAGGCAGATGCGACATTGTTTTATGCACTTCCTTAGCTTTGCAGAAGGCCTCTACAGATGTTGGGTCAAAGGAAATGCATAATTAATGTGCACAATGACATTTGTTCAAGGATTTAACTAAGACACAGTCGCAACAGAGATCCTCCAAAATTTGCATTGCACAAAAAGCTTTATCGCACTGCAGAAGCGGAAGCAGCCCTCACTCGAAAGGGCAGGTCAATTTACTCACATGCTGGATCAATGCAGGAGGTACATTTTAAATGGTCAACTCATGGACTTTGTGTCTGTCCAGAAGACCACACCATGGGTATTTTGTCTGCATCATACCATGCTGGCAGGAAGGATGTGTGTTATCAGCATTCCCTCCATTTCTGACATTCGTTTCCGAACCTCGATACTTATGTAGCCAAAACAGCACCACCAACATGCAACAGGGAGGCATCAGCATCCTCATGAGAATCGAGAGGTTTGCAAAAGTAAAAAAAAAAAAATAATGTATTTTTAAAAACAGCTTTTGGAAAAAACCAAAGCGAAGAGTGTGAAAGTGTATATGAGTAATCTGCAGGGTGGGGACAGAAAGAGAATGCAGATAACTATCGCTCTTCAAATGGTGTGGCTTTCCTGCTCTGAGCAACCGGACTACTTTGAAGATGCAGATTCTATCACCTGACAGCCAACCTGATCTGCATTTTCAAGGTCTTCCAGGTGTTCCCATTCAGGAACACCAGCTGCCTTTCTTTCTGATAAGGGAGAACTTTGAAGCCCGCCCCCCCCCCCCCCCCGCAACAAGTTGTTGCTGGGCCCCATTATTGAATAATATTCTGTATTATTCAAATACAGAAGCATCTGTGTATAACCATTACCACCTTCCTGCTATGAGGAAATTTAAACCTTCAGACCAGGGTTTCCCAAACTGTGGGCCACAAGCTTCATTCAGGTGGTCCACAGCATGCCTGTGGATGTTGAAGATGGGAGACAGCACATACATTGCCCTGAATATTCATATTGATTTCTAATTGTATTTCTATTGCTTCTTTTAGTTCTTATATTGTATTTCACTTGAATTCTGTGGAATTAACAATTGCTACAGCAGGCAGAAAAATTGTTATATGGTTCGCTAAGACCCTCAGCAATTTTCATGTGGTTCACGGGGGGAAATGTTTGGGCCACTAATCTAAACAAGCAAAGTAAAAATAGGGATGGGCAGAAGTAAAGAAAGACAACAGTTGTGGAAAAAACAAAAAACTAAACTCCAACAAAATATGGCAACTAGGGAATGTGCCAAAGAGCAAATTCTTTTCTGAGATACATGAACAAACACTGAATCTTGTGCTTTCCTATTCAGTAACTATTATTTGTCTCCTCTCCTTCTACCAAAGAACTGAAAGCAACATTTTTATCTGTACCACTAGCCTGTAAGACAGGTTAGGCTGAAAGAAAGTGACTTCCCTAGGACTACCCAACAAGTTTAAGAGATGAAATATCTTGTTTTTAAATCCAAATCTACTCTTCTACTAACTGTACCATATTGGTTCACACACATATTCAAGCAAAAAGTTCAAAATATATGTACACACTCACAGAGTCTGAACTGGTGGTGATTGACTAACAGGAAAGGGTCTACCCTTTCTACTAAACAGGAAAGGATCAATTAAGTAGGTCTACCAACAGATAATTTGGCTACACAACAGAACTTTTCTGTTTTCTCTTTGGCCTTTGCCCCCAACCATAACCCCTATATCTGTTCAAGGGGTTCCTCCCAACCCTAAGGAGCAGATTTTTTTTTTAAGTGACAACGCAGCAGAAATATATTATATAAGATTATAAAATTATTCAAGGAACTGAGTAAGTGGCAAGAGAGAATTTTGTCACTCTCATTCATGATACTAACATTTGTGGACATCCAATAAATTGATCAGCAACAGTCTCAGGAGGGAAAAAAAGCAAAGTACTGTATTTTTCGCTCTATAAGACGCACTTCCCCCTCCTAAAAAGTAAGGGGAAATGTGTGTGCATCTTATGGAGCGAATGCAGGCGGGAGGCTCTACTCGGCGCTCCCTTTAAAGAGCAGCGTGGAGCGTGTGTGCGGCTCTTGCGGGCTTTTCCCCGAGGAGGGAGAAGGGCTGCCCTTCTCCCTCCTTGGGGAAAAGCCTGCAAGCGCCGCACGCACGCTCTGCGCTGCTTGTGAAAGGGAGCGCTGAACAGAGCCTGGGATTAATACAGGCTCTGCTCAGCGCTCCCTTTAAATAATACTTTTTTCCTTGCATTCCCCCTCTGGAAACTAGGTGCATCTTATGGTCAAGTGTGTCTTATGGGGTGAAGAATACAGTACTTCTTCACACAGCCCATAAGCAGTTCATGGCACTCACTGCCACAGGACGTGACAGTGACCACTAGCTTAGATAGCTTTCAAGGGGATTAAACAAAACATATGGAATCTTCCAACAGTTGTTAGGACAACATGCTGCGTGCCACTGAATATCAGCTGCTGGGGAGCAACAGTAGGAGAGGGACATTGTCTTCATACCGATTGTGAGCTTTTTAGAAGATCTGGCTGCTCAGTGTGGGAAACAAGATGCTGAACCAAATGAACTTTTGGCTTGATCCAGCAGGACATAATCTTATTTTCATTTCTATAGCGCTTTCCCTTCCTTTCCCATTTCACAGTCCGCTCATACTATGTCTACAATATTTATCACCCAGCTACCTGTAAGTTACTTATCTAGATTACTCATAGTGAGCCATTTTTAGTGGCCTGCCAACCTCTTTAAACAAGGCACTTCTTACTCTTTGAAAATCACCACGTCTCACCCTGGTGTGGTGCCATTGTTAGGTCTTCGAGAGAAAACAGGAAGGAGTGCTGATAGGCAGCCACCAATATCACACTTATTTCCTAAACAACCCCCCTGCTCTGCTGAGTGTGCATGTGCATCTGCCTGCCTGGTGAGCATGTGTGCACATGTGCAAGTGAGCATGTGCTGGCAGTCGCGGTCACCACTGGAGGGGTGGCCAACCCGCAATGCAGAACTTGGGCTGAGTAAGGTTACCCACCCGTTATCTAGACATTAGTTTCCCTGCCATTGACAAGCTAACTGAGTTATTTAAAAGTTTTGCTAATGACTGAGGTTTCAGACGACACACCTGATATGTTCCAAAATTTCAGTTACTACACAGTGCTAAAATAACTCTAGACACAACTTACGGATTTCTTCAACAATATCCGGATCACATTCTTTGTATTTATCTATTTCTGCCTTTAATTGGTCTCTCTTCTGACGGAGGGCAGTAAGTTCCTTTATGAGTGCCGCACGTTCTGCCTGTGTTCAAAAATTAACCAGTATTCTTAAAAGGTGTCAATTACAACCTAAGTGTTGCGCTCTACCCTCTTTTCTCTCTAAGGATGCTAGCACCAGATCTAGAGCTATGACACTGAATCAACGAACCAGACTTTATACATATTTGGGCTAAGTGGCATTGCCTGTAAAAAGTTCAAGCAGTTTTCAGTACAGTAAGGTCGTATCTTAAGTGTGATTACCGTATTTTTCACTCCATAAGACGCACTTTTCCCCCTCCAAAAATTAAGGGGAAATGTGTGCACATCTTATGGAGTGAATGCAGGCTCCATGGCTTCAGCGATAGCAACACGAAGCCTCCGAAGTGCAGTGGGGGCGCTCCCGCCGCGCTCCAGAGGCTTCGCGTTGCTTTCACTGAAGCCTGGATAGGGATAGGGATAGCCTGGATAGGGATAGCCGCCTGAAGCCTCCGGAGGCTTCGGGTTCCTTTTGCTAAAGCCAGGAGAGCAAGACTCTCCTGGCTTCAGGATAGCCACCCGAAGCCTCCGGAGCGCCGCGGGAACTCCCGCTGCACTCCGGAGGCTTCGGGTTGCTTTCGCTGAAGCCAGAAGAGCAAGAGGGATCAGTGCACACCGATCCCTCTTGCTCTCCTGGCTTTGCTTCGCTGGAGAGGCGCTTCACAGCTTTCCCTCTCTGCGCAGCGTACCTTCAGCGAAGCAGGAGGAGAAATGGAAGGGGCTCCGTTTCTCCTGCCGCTTCGCTGAAGGGGCGCTGCGCAGAGAGGGAGAGATTTTTTTTTCTTGTTCTCCCCCTCTAAAACTAGGTGCGTCCTATGGTCGGGTGCTTCCTATAGAGTGAAAAATATGGTGACTTGTCTGATTTCAGCCTTGCATGGCTGAAATCCCAGTGATTAACCGAATGCAAAGGTGGAAAACTTAAAAGCTCCTTTTGAGCTGGGTTTTCCCAGCACAGAAAGAGCCTTCCAGATGGTCACACAGGGGTGGGTCCAAGGCAGTGGTTCAGGTATACATGATTTTGCATATATGTGCCAACCCCGGAACCTAACTCCAATGCAAGACATGATCGTACTGTATTATACTGCTGCATTTGGCAGCAACGTTGAAATAGCATCTAATAACATCATAGTTGCAAAAATGTTCTGGTGCAGAAGTAGGCATGTCCTGCCCTGAACATTTAACTTTTATTTGCAAGTGCAGTAAGCCTTAGTAAGAAAAGCATTTTAAAAAAATAATAAGAACAATATAAGACTTTCCCCCCCTTTCTTCCTATGCTTCTGCCCCCAATACAATACGAAGTTTTGCCTATGCCACCTGCTGCCACAAATGCATCCCAATTTTAAAAATAACATCCACCTTTAACACCCCAAAGTTTTCAGATTATGTTTTATTGTGGATACTTCAAATTCAGTAAAACTTACAGTGTCTTGGCGCCCAATTTTTGATTTCTCAATGCTTTCTTGTAAGCTTTTTTTCTTTTGGCTATATTCTGAGAACTGAAGGGAGAGAAGAAATAGAAGTCAAAACAATTTATTTTTAGTAAAAACCTCTTCATCTTTATATTTGACTGTACTGTTACAATTTTTCAGCTCAAGAAATAACAGAGTAAGTCTGCTACAGGCCTAACCTTCAATGATAAATCAGGATTCTGACCAAGACATGACTATTTCATAAACTCTCTTTATTCCTGAAGCATTTTAAATAGCAAAATAGGGTACAGGGAACATGGCCAACTTCTTTTTACACCCTCCTAAGGGAAAAGGCAGGGATATTAAATGGGTTAATTTGATGCACACCTAGTGTCAAGAAACAAGACTAGATAATCTCAAATTCAAAACACCCATCCTAGAGCTTGAGGAGCACTTCATTTCTTATAGATCACTTTCAGTATTTTGTCCTAGTTCTCACAAACAGATGAGGAAGGAAATCTAATTCTGGACTGTAGCACTTCAGACCGCAAGTGCATCTTTAAGTATCCAAGCATGCAACATCAAGTATCTTGCCGTGGTGGCGGTGGGATACCCTCATCTGCTTCAGATCAAGTGGTGGATCCTGTAGAGATTTGCCATAACAATTTCTTTTCATGAAAACTCCAATATGGGGGGGGGGGGTTGCCTCTCCCACAATGTGAAATTTGCACATATAACCATTTATAGACATGACAGATCTGCTACATTGAAGCAACACATTTGTTCTGGGTGAAACAACAAAAATACCTACATATCAAAGGGGTACAACAACTGAATCACCAAGCTGAATACAACCCACCAGCCATGTACTGGGGCCAGTGAGCTTTTAAACTTCTTGTTATGGTATCTTCAAAACTGCATCAAGGTGGTTTATGAAACCACTGAAAGGTCGCCATAAACAGCTGGTGGGTGTCAAGTTGTGCAGGCCTTCCAGATACCATGCATCAAAGACAGACGGGGGATTTAATGAAATGAACAGCAACTATATTTATTATGAATTCAAGTAGAGTTCATGTGAACACACTTACACAGCTCTTTCCAACATTAAAAAAAGACTAGATGGGATTCCAATGCACATTCATAGTTTATTAGCAGCTACTGTCAAAAAAGCACCGTTGGCTAAGCAGTAACCTTACATGCTCCTAGGTTGCCCAGCAATTCAATTATCAACAAAATATAGTGCATATAATACTTATAATGCAGAGGCTATTGTGTTTCTAAGGTCTCAAGAAATCCTGCTTACATAGCACTTTTTCAGATTCATTCTTCCAGCACAAGAGTAAGAACAGTTCACAACACATTATTCAAATGACATTGCTAAGGTTCTCTTTTGTTGACTCACTGACAAGTACTTACAGCTCCCACTCTATCCACATCGCCTTTTATGGTGAAGCCTTTTAAAAAGGTGTCCTTCCACTGCAAAGATTTGCAGACCTCATCTCCTGTTTTTTTTTCTAGTCAAATGCAGAAACTCAGATACCCGCTTTCTGGATTCCAAAACTTTAAAGCAGACTAACATGAAATCTTCCCTTAAACTTGTTTTACAACTCTGCTTAGTAGTACAGTGGAACCTTGGTTGTCGAACTTAATCTGTTCGACTCCTGGAACCGTTCAAAAACCAAGACGCGGCTTCCAATTGGCCGCAGGAGCTTCCTGCACTCAAGCGGAAGCCGCGTTGGAAGTTCGGCTTCCAAAAAAAGTTCGCAAACCAGAACACTTACTTCCGGGTTTGCGGTGTTCAGGAGCCGATTTGTTCGGGAGCCAAGCCGTTCGACAACCAAGGTACCACTGTAGTAGAAAAGTTTCTACAAACCTCACTGCAGTGCTAAGAACACATATTAGAAGAAGAAAGTTGTGATGAAATCAATGACCCTTTCTCCCAGATAGCCTTGTTTACGATCATGGTGTTGCTCACGCAAATGAAAGCCCTAAGTGCAGCCACTGAATAGTATTCCCTGCTATAATGACCTTTTAAAGCTGTAACACACTTAATATTTTATAGCCAGGAAAACAATGTAAATATGGCATAAGGACATATTAAAACACACACAAACTGCAATGCTAAAGTAATCACAGCTGAGTTCTGACCACTGCTTTTTTTCTCCAGGGGGTACTCAAGGCTATGCAGTACCGGAACTCCCCCCCCCCCCTAAAATAAAAGCTCTGGTTAAAAGTGTGGCATTTATTATAACAACTTCATGGTGAGTACTGGCACCTTTTTTTCTAGAAGAAAAGCACTGGTTCTGACCACCATACAAATCCTATGTTCTTAACCACTTATAATTGTTTGCATACCTGCAATCTAGGAAGGCATGCACACATGCATACATCATAGAAATAAAATTAAAAAACTGACTGTTATGCCATGAATCTGGCCACATCCTCAGGAACAGGGAAATGTTAGTAGCCTGGTTTACACATTAAATCTAAACCACAGATAAAGCAAACTGGTTTAAAGTGAACACACAGGGAAACAAGCCAGAATCTGGTTTATCATGATGTCCAAACGTACTCCTAGTTTGTTTCTCTCCAAATAAACCATGAACGTTGCCAAGGTTTGTTCTTGGCTTAATGTTTGTGGTTTGTTTGGGGGAAACAAACCAGAAGCCCAGGTTCCAATGTCACAACAAGCCAGACTCTGGCTTGCGTCCTGGAATTCCAGCAGGAGCAGGGAAGGACACATGCAACAAGTCTTGGTGCAACCCAAATAGCATCTAAGAGAGTTTCATTTTCATGTCCGCTGCTACTTTCCCTTTCCAGCAGACTCCACGACTTCAGTGTCAGTCAAAATCCCTCACCCCATTGGCTTCGGTTTATGTTCTATCTAGCCAGCTAATGCATTCTGGAGAACTCAAAAGCTTGCACACTATTTGTAACATTTTGGTTGCCCTAATAATGGTAATGCCCTACTATGTATTCCAGAAAAGAACCTGGCTTCAGCATTTAAATGCTAGTTGGTAAATGTAATCTAATTTACAAGGAACTGTCTGGATCTATTGGGAAGAATTCAGTGCATTCATTTCATCAGCACAAGGACTTTTGGCTGCAGAACAGAACCTTCCCCCTCTCTCCTCTTCTCTCCCCCCCCTTAATCTGTTCTGTTTTGGGGGGTTCTCAAGCCTCTGGAGCAGATTATGGGAGGTTGCACATGGAGAGAGCAAAATAAAGGAAGTTCCTGTTACACAAACAGAAATCCTTGTGGCAATGGAAAAAGTACACTGGATACCACCCGTAGTTCTGCAAGCAACTCTTAGACACCAGCTGCCCTCTACTTGTAGCAAGCAGACAATAACATCCAGATTAATACACTGGATTTGATGAGCGGTTCTGTCATAACTGCAGTAATATTTTTGATTAACTATATAGCGATATTCTACAACTGATCATTTTATCAGTGCAGTGTATCTCTTATTTTCTTATTTAATTAATTCTGCTCATGGCAATATATATGCAATTGCAAAAAGTGTCTGTGTGTGTGTTTTGCTTTGCCAGTTAGAAAACCTTACAGCTAGCAAACAAAAACTAATTAATTCAGGCAAAGTATTGCTTTTTATAGTAAGACAAAATTGGAACGGGAACATTTTTGTATATTGAAAAGGCAGAGCAAAGCCTCAGTGCCTCATAACTGAGCTCTCTGGCTTGGCCTGAGGGACAGATGGTTGGCTGTGAATTCTACATACACCAATTCACTTTTAAAAGAGGCAGCAGAGAATAAAAAGGAGAGCTTTAACTGCATCTACCCAAAATCTGCAACCATGTGTGATTTTGCATATCCATAATCCTCCCACATGCTTTACCTGGCACCAAATCCCATTTAGCATTTTGATGAGCTATTTTCTGTTCACTAGAGTTCCATAATCACCAGTCCATCTCCTCAGAAGTAAATCCAACTCAAGCTGCTATGGACTTACAACTGAAGACATTTTTGTTTCAACAACCTTTTTTCAGCTGGATTGGGGGGGAGAATGTTGTTTTAAAACCTATTTCAGTTGTTTTTATTGTAAATCACCTTGAAATCTATATATGAAATGTGATTCATAAAATCATCACCATCACCATGAGGATGGCAGGCTAGTTCTTAAAACTATGCATTGGAGCAGAGGTCTAAGTCACAAGAGGTCTTAATGTTAGGAGCAAAGTGAAGAGGTGTAGAACCTAAGCAATAGATATTATGCTAGAGTTTTGTTAGGGGAAGTCACCCTTGTCTAGGATTATCAGTCGCTCTACAGTATGTACCCAATCTACCAAGCAACCTGGAATGCAGACTGTGAATGAATTAAGCAATGTCTTCTAGCTCATACTGACAGCTGCAAACATGATGGAATTCTGCAATCCTAACTCAAAACTGACTATTCACAGTACAACTATTACAGAACAACTAAACAGAAAGGTTTCCTATACTCTTGGGCTTGCTGCTTTCAACATTCTAGACATTCTGGCCCAGTTTAAAGCCCCCTTGGGAGTAAAAAAAGAGAAACAAGTCAGAGATTCCTCCATCTTGTATGTGAATTAGGCAAGCACCACGAACGCAAATGTTAGCTGCCCAGCTGTCATCTAGCTTGAGCTTCAGTTCCCATGTCCTCCTGTGCATCATCTTCTCTGTGTCTTTCACTGTTTGGCCGCAGTGCTCCTGATCTCCCCGTTTATGGTTCATTTTCCCACTGGTGTACCTGCTTCTACTGAAAATGTACTTGCTACCCTGCACCCCAAACCTACAGCTAATCAGTTCACTCAAGGCTGTTCATGTGCTGGCTAGCCTCAGCACAGTCTGCTGTTAACTCCAAATGCCTAGGGGCAGCCCTCCTTTTCCACTTGCAAACTTTTTTTTTCTGGCAAAGCTCCTGTGCTTTGAGAACTACAATGCAGGCAGAAATCCCACAATTAAACCTGTTCCCAGCACGAAGAAGCTATGACTGGATAAACATGACCTGCAAAATGTATGCCTGCGATGCAAGTGTTAAAAGCACAGAAACGGTGCGAAATCAACGACTGACAATACATTTTGGCATCTGAGGTGAACCACAAAATGGTCTTAGAATTAAACCCCAAAGTATAATTCTAAGACCCAAACAGGGCATGATCGGGTCTGTAGGGGTGTTTTTTAAAATATATATATATTTTACTCTACTTTAATTTGGCTGTTGGCCAGCGATCTACACTGATTACAGTATGTCGTCATTCAAAAGTAGAATAATCCTAGGTTTTGTCTGGTCTTGGGTGGAATTGTGTTGAAGTATCTCATCTGCCAAAGGCTCAGGAAGGATGATTTGAGCTTAGTCACTTTCAGTCTCAGTTTCCTGTAAACGAAAGTGATTGTAATGTTTCTGAATACTCTTGAGAAGAGAGGCAAGATAAAGGTCTGAAAAACACATTTGTAACAAAAGTTCCATGTAAATTAATTAAAATGGATGGATGTTGTGGTTTAGTCATTTAGTCGTGTCCGATTCTTCGTGACCCCATGGACCAGAGCACACCAGGCACTCCTCTCTTCCACTGCCTCCCGCAGTTTGGTCAAACTCATGCTGGTAGCTTCGAGAACACTGTCCAACCATCTCGTCCTCTGTCATCCCCTTCTTCTTGTGCCTTCAATCTTTCCCAACATCAGGGTCTTTTCCAGGGAGTCTTCTCTTCTCATGAGGTAGCCAAAGTATTGGAGCCTCAGCTTCACGATCTGTCCTTCCAGTGAGCACTCAGGGCTGATTTCCTTAAGAATGGATAGGTTTGATCTTCTTGCAGTCCATGGGACTCTCAAGAGTCTCCTCCAGCACCATAATTCAAAAGCATCAATTCTTCGGTGATCAGCCTTCTTTATGGTCCAGCTCTCACTTCCATACATCACTACTTGGAAAACCATAGCTTTGACTATACGGACCTTTGTTGGCAAGGTGATGTCTCTGCTTTATGGGTGGATAGGGTGCTATATTTCTAGAGTAAGGCTCACTAATTACCAGAAACACACAAATCAGGTGTTTTTGCTATTACCTTCCACATCACAGATGGCTTGATATAGGACATAATGCTCCAAAAATTGTGATTCTCCAGGAATATAGGGGGCCATTTCACTAAGTCAGAATGCACCCAGGTTTAGTCATACTGTTAAAAATTCCAAGGAGCAGAAAAAGTCTTGTTTTCCTGGTTGGGTGCAGATGAGTCAGACACCACTGCTGGTCCAAAATGTGCTGGGTGTGGTTCAGCAATTCCTCAAAGGCTAAAAAAATGTAGGGTTTTATAACAGCAGTTGCTGAATGGGTGTCTTTGAATACTGACAGAACTTTCTTTTGAGGGGAGTAAATCTTCCCAGTCTATGTATAAAGCATGAATTTGGTTGCATGTGGATAAAAACACATTTTAGCACATGTATCTTCTAAACCAAAGGCAACACAGAAATTTGTTGGTATGCCAAGCAGAACATTAAGGCCCAATTCAAATGCGGGAAATTTTTATTTTATTTTATTTTATTTTGCATATTGTACAGTCCTTTTTGGACTGCCACTTCTGACTGCGAACTGCAAAATCACATGTTTGAAAACTTCCTTACGAAAACGATTCCCTGTTTGTTGAAAGCTTGCACATCAGGGCAAAACGAGGCCAAGGGAATCTCTGACCAGACACTTTGGGAGTTTAAATATTTCAGCCCCACGCCCCCAAACTCCTTGGAGCCAGTTTGAAACCTTCTCTGTAGTTTAGGCCCAGTTTGGTTTGCCAAGTCTGCAGCTCTCCTGGCTCTTGAGCCCACTAAATAGCATTTCCATATTTTCCTACATCCCAAGGCCTCGTGCACAGCAGCAGCATCTCATGTGCCTGAACCTCTGCAAAATGTACCTCCAAGGGCTCCTGGGTGTTTACTAGTGTTGTCAGGAATTCTGGTGCTTGGGATTTTGCACCAGTGTTCTAGGACAGCATAGAGACAATGCTGCAAGGCTCTTCCAAGCTCCTGTTTGGACTACTGAAATGCACTGCAGGTGGGACTACCATTGAAGGCTGCTGACAAACTTCAATTATTTCAAAACAGAGCTTTGATTTTGCTAATTGGGACTGGAAAGTAAGAGTATTTATCAACTTCACTACTCCCACTCCACTTCCAGGCCCAATTTAACAGACTAGCTTTGACCTTTAATGCTTTGGGGGAGGGCCATAGGTCAGTGATATTCACCAGCAACTTCAAGTAGGCCTGGGAATGTCTTCTGGATGAAATCGCAACATCAATACAAGGAACACTGATCTAGAGCAGGCATGTCCAACCGGTCGATCACTATCTTGGTTGATCACGGGGCATCCCTGGTCGACTGTGTGCTCCAGATCAATTGGCCAAAAAAAAGGTCAACAACTGTAGGAGTAGATCGCAGTCTCTTGGGAGTTGGACATACCTGATCTAGAGAGACTAATCGGTCTGATTCCGTATAAAGCAGCTGCCCGTGTGACAAAGGTACCTTAAAGATCACCTGTCTCCACCTAATCTTCTGTTTAGCGAAGTTTTTTAATGTTTGATGTTTTATCACATTTTTAATATTCTGTTGGCAGCGGCCCAGAGTGGCTGGGGAAACCCAACCAGATGGGTGGAGTATTATTATTATTATTATTATTATTATTATTATTATATTTTTACTGAGGTCCTTCTCCAGGTGCCATCAATGGATGACAATTGGTATAAGACCCTTTTTAGTGGTGGTACTTTGAGTTTACTTTGTTGTCATTTCAGCACCAGGTAATTTTATTCCAGCCCAGGTTTCTATTTCCTGATTTTTTAAAAAATAAATTGTTTTACCAGAGCCCATTCCAAATTGACCTGTGAGAAGGAGGGTGATTTAAGCACGCCTGGTTATAGAAACTGGTTATCAACTGACATTTATTCTGATATCAATTTACTATGACAGCACACTTCAATAAAGACACAACCAGCATACTAGGTTGCTTGTTATGTCAACATGCATTGCTTTAAACTCTCACTCCTGCCTCTGTGACTCATACACAGCTGTCCCCACTCCTAAGAAAAGTTCCTTTTTCTGTCCTTTAAGCAGTGCCCTATGAGTAGAGACTAGATTGCATTCTGTGTTCTGTACAGCATGTTGTTTATGAAAAGAAGTGGTAAATAATAAAAGCTGCAACAACGGAATCTTTGGGGGCACCTGTGCCATAAATCCAATAAGCATCAAATAGAAAATAACACAGTCACTGACATCTCATTAGACTATTTTACAATCCTGTAAGCCATACTCAAATGAGGCACACAATTAAGTTACTTTTCTGAAGAATTACATTGTGAGCCTGCAGGCAACACCAGTTGTAAAATTCTTTTTGTACAAGGCTTCGTTAGAGCCCATATATAAATATTATGACAATATCCTCCCCCACACTAGTAACTAATAGGTATACCTTAAACCTTATGTAACCTGATAAAAACATACTTAAGAAATGTTGTAACAGTCCTGTCTTCTTGAACTCTGCAGGATAACAGAGGTAGGTGGGGGTAGCCAACTGTTCTAACACAACTCACTATTCACAGTGAACAAATCCTATATGCATGAATCTAATACAGGTTTTGCAGGAGCTTAAGGAAACCTTTAATCAAGAGAAACAGCAATATTAAAACAACAATGACACATTGGTCGGAACATTTACTCTTGAAGCTATAGCTGATCAGGCTGATCCACAACCTGCTGAAACTAATAGCTGAGTACCTAGTCCTGTTCTGTTAAATAAAATAACTTGAAGCATATACAAAGTAACGCATAAATGTATTTGGCACGTATTTAAAAAGCACCTGCCACATTAATATTCTCCAACATTAAAGAATGATTAGCCATGACACCCCACGGTTGGTACCCTATCCCAGGCATAGGCAAACTCAGCCCTCCAGATGTTTTGGGACTACAACTCCCATCATCCCTAGCTAACAGGACCAGTGGTCAGGGATGGTGGGAGTTGTAGTCCCAAAACATCTGGAGGGCCAAGTTTGCCTGTGCCTGCCCTATCCCCACACAATCTGAAAGCATGCAAGATTGTAAGGGAGCAAAAGAAGAGCCTTGCTGGATTAAACCAATGGCACCATCTAGTCCAGTATCCTGTTCTCACAGTTGCCAATCTGTTGTCTACAGGAAGCCACAAACAGAACACCAAGACCAAAGTACCCTCCTCATTTGTCTTCCCCGGTTCCTGGTATTCAGTCATACTGCTTCCAAAACTGGATGCAGTACACAGCTATCATGGCTTGCCTTATCTTCTCTGAACTTGCCCAATACATTTTTAAAGCCATCTAAGTTGGTGGCCATCAGTACATCTGACGGGACTGGATGCCGGACGTTAACTTTGCACTGTCTGAAGAAGTGCTTTCTTTTGCCTGTCCTGAATCTTTAATTTGTCTGTCCTGTATATATTTCAACATTCATGGAATTTTATTTTTTGTTGCAGTGGCTGCACACTACCTTGACATTTTCATTGGGCAGCCACCATGATCCCAACATCTCTTTCTTGGTGCAGTCATGATCAGGATAGGTTTTATGGGATGTAAAGTTCAAAGATTTGCAGCAAAAACGCACTACAGCAAACACAGTGTCAGGGAACTGCCATCGGTTCAGGAGGGAGAGAGGAAAAGCCGAACGGATTATAGAGAGCCTCCAAGGATCGTGGGAAGCAGCTCCTCCTCAGCGGAGGAGAGTAACCACGCCTCCAGTGGAGAGGAGCTGCAGGGCTTGGAGGAGGCGAGGCGGTGCCAGGACACCTTGCCTGGGCAAAGCGGGGAGGAGAGGGGTCCTCTGTTACCCACGCCCTACTTGCGCAGTAAGCATCCGCGCAGAGAGGGGAGGCGCAGAGAGGGCGTCAAGAAATTGCTTTGCTGGGGGAAATTTAGGAACCGCCCACTCACGGATTCTGCCAGCAATTGAGTCAGCCACGGGAGAGTGGTGCTCCGCACAGATAAGGTTAATTTTTGCAGCAAAAGCAAGGCTTCTGAGCCGAGCAGGGAGATATTTGCCTGCTTGCTCTCGAGCAACCCCTTGGAAACCTAACACATGGCAACACCTTCATCAAATTCAATCAGTTGAATTTAAATCTGTCACTTTTTAACAATTAGTCAACTAAAGCTTTACATTTAATCAAACAACCACCACGAAGCTTTTTATATCCAATAATCCTGTAAAAGAAGACTGGAAAGTGGAATAATTGTAGGCTACAGGATGGTGGTCTCTTCCCCCACTCACAGAGAACAAGAAGAAAGACCCCTAAAGCATATTTTCCTCCAGGTTCAGAGCACTAAACAGATCCTCGCCTCCCTGTGACCAGTATCCCTTTCCTCATTTTGCCACAGACAGTACAATGAACTGCTGTTAACGTATAGAAAGAAAATTCAGATTTTTTTTTCATTTCTGAAGTCACAAGAGATTTCTAAGTTGTTAGGAAGTAGTTTGAGCAAGCACTTAAAATGCCCCATTCTACAAGGCATTCATTCACTGAAAAATTAACTGCATTCATTCCATATGAATCTTAGAATTTCATTTCCTTAAAGGAACCAATACATCCCTGTATATTTTTCACTAGATTTCTGTGATAGTGGTGCTTTGTAATTACCAAAGTAATTTGGCTTAAGCTATCAGTGCTTTACTTTAGCTTGACTGGATTGCACACTATCCACGGCAGGGGAAAATACGAGTTTGAGATCATTTCCCAGAGAGAGGAATATTTCAATTTAATAATTATTTTATTGAAGAATCAACTAATTCTGTAGAAGGCTCAGCACAGATGGAACACACTGTTGTTCCTTTACAGTAGTAAAGAAATCAAGAACAGACCATGGGATTGTGTATTTCCTCCAACCTTCCTGTCAGGGAACTGCCATCAGTGCCGGAGGGAGAGAGCAAAATCCAGAGGGATTCCAGAGAGCGTCCCGGGATTGGGAGAGGCAGCCCATCAGCGTAGCACCAGTGGAGAAGGGGGGCAGATGGGGGAAGCGGCAAGGCGGTCCCATGACTCCTTGCCGGGGACCAGCGGGGAGAGTAGAGGTCCTCCGCTGCCTACGCCCTCCTTGCGCAGAAGGCTTTCGCGCAGAGAGAGTAGGAGGAGACTAGGCGTCAAAGAGCTTCTTTGCTGGAAGAAGTTTAAGAAACGCCCACTGACGGATTCTGCCAGCGATTGAGACAGCCACGGGTGAGTGGCTGTCCGGACAGAAAAGGTTCACTCAGGCAACCCAGCCAGGTGTTTGCACCGGCTTACGCACGAGCAACCCCTAGAACCACTACACTTCCCTAAGGCACAAACTCTGCTTTTTGAAAAGAGACCATACATTGGATTATTCCTCCACCCCACACCCTGCTGCCCTTAACTATGTATGCATCTAAGTTAATCATAGTTAAGACTATGAATGCTGAGGTCATAATCTAGAATTTAAACATCTTGGATGCAAAATGATTATTATGCCCAGTAAATATTTTAAGTGCTATCTATTAAGCATACAGCTCGAAACATATGCCTAGGGCCAAAGAACTAGGTTACATGCAGAGACATTCTGAAAGTCTTTGTGCCCTAAAGAACGGATTATAAATAGTTGTAATGAATAAATATTTGAGAGAAAAGGCCAGTGGCTTCAAATTATGTAACAGGCCAGGTTTACAACCACCAACATGTTGGTTTATTAACTGCGAGAATAGAAGAGGGGGAAATGTTACTTGAAATTATGCTGGCCTTCAGGCATCCCTCCATCCATGTGTGGTGGATGGCAGGTAGACTACAAACCTTGAATTACCTGATTCTGCAGTTCCTCCAGTTTACGCTTTCTTGCATGAAGAGCTTTACTTGGAAAAGCCCAAAAATAATTTGAAGTCCCAATCCTGTCCGTGTCCACCATACTATCATCGACTAAGCTCTGTAAGACCTCCTTCACCGACATAGCAGCTGTCAAGGACAAAAACACTGCATTAGAACACTTTTACTGGACATTGAGAACTCTGGCTAATTCTGAAACTATACTATATACTACAAATATGGTACTTGGGCAAATTCTGCCAGTCACTGCAGGACAGTATGGATTAAATTAGGCTTGCTGAGCATTAGCAAGTCCAGGCCCTACTCTTGAGCTTCCCATAGACTGGCAACTGTGAGAACAGGATGCTGGCCACTGACCTGACCCAGGAAGCTCATATTGCACTTTTAAGAGAATCTCTGCCACAAGGCATGAAAATTGTAATGTGATGGGAAGATAGTCATGTGACATATTCCTCAGAAGGTGACATAAGACTCTACTCTAGCGGAATAACTGAGGGTGGTTCTATAGGGTATGCTACTGTCAGTACCAGTACAGTGGTACCTCGGGTTACATATGCTTCAGGTTACAGACGCTTCAGGTTACAGATGCCGCTAACCCAGAAATAGTACCTCGGGTTAAGAAATTTGCTTCAGGATAAGAACTGAAATCGTGCTCCGGCAGTGTGGCAGCAGTGGGAGGCCCCATTAGCTAAAGTGGTGCTTCAGGTTAAAAACAGTTTCAGGTTAAGAACGGACCTCCAGAACGAATTAAGTTCTTAACCCGAGGTACCACTGTACCTTCTTTTTAAATTAATTTTTATTAAAGATTTCTTAGTGTACAAAAATATGTGCATTGTCTCTTTTTTCAAGTTGTGTTTTCTACAGATCACTTACATTTGTTGTGAGACATTAGTGTTGCATGCAGTATTTAGGTTGGGAAGAAAAGAGGGGGGAAAGAGGGGGAGGGAGCATAGGGTGGAGTGGAGTGGCAATGCTTCTATTTTTCTACTTAGTGTATGTGTGGATTCTGTGTCAGCGTCATGTGTGCCTGTTCTCCTTCTGGGCATTGTTGTCTTGGAAGATGTTTAGTAGGGCCAATTCTGGGGTGATGTCTATTACTTGCTTAGTTATTTTACATATTTCTTGTATGGCTGTTGTCCAGAATAGTTGGATTTTGGGACACTCCCACCACATGTGGAGGTATGTGCCTGTGGAGGTGCACCCTCTCCAGCATTTTGGTGAGGTTCCTGGGTGTATTAGCGCTAGTTTCCTTGGTGTTAGGTACCACCTGTAGGTGAGTTTCAGTGTGAGTTCTTTTCTTTTCGTTGATATGGATTTAAAGGGGGTTTAGACCACAGTCTGGTCCATTGAGTGGGGTTAATCTCATAGCCTATGTCATTCTCCCATTGTTTTTTGATTGCATCTAGGGATTTGCGGGATTTTGGAGTAGTATTTTGTATATTGCGGATACCGTCCCTTTACCGTTTCCCTTTGTTGTTAGGAGGAGGTTTTCGAAGGTTGTCAGGGGCCTAGTTGCTGCTGATTTTACTGTTGGGTTGTTTAAGAGGGCATGAAGTTGGTGTTGTGTTAACCAGGGCATTTGGGTGTCTTCTAGTTTGTCTTGTATTTCTTGTGTTGACAAGGGTTTGTTATTTTTATAAAAGTCTATTAGGCGATATAAGCCTTTGGTTCGCCAGGTTTTTATCTTGAGGTTTTGTGCTGCACGGTGGAATAATGGGTGGTACGCCAGGGGATTAGTGGGGATGGGGTTGGGGATAGTTTGCCTATTTGTGTTTTCCATGCTTTGAGCATGGTCTGTGTGTACCTGTTAAGTGTTGTGGGAATTTTCTTTAGTTTGTTTGGGAGGAGTGGGTATGTTGTGGTGCAGGTGTTTTCAATTGTGTCCCTCTCTAGGTGTACCCATTGTTTTGTCTCATCTTCTAGTATATATGGGATTATGTGGCATATTTGGTTGGCATTGTAATATGCTTCTATGTTGGGGATTCCCCATCCTCCTTCGGAGGTGGGGAGGTGCAGGTATTTGGGGCTTATTCTTGGTTTTTATGTGAGAAGATGAAAGAGTGTAGTTTTCTCTGCCAACTGCGAAGTTGGGTTGAGGGGATCCAGATTGGGAGGGTTTGGAATAGGTAGGTTAGTTTTGGGAGTGTGATCATTTTGATCATGGCTATTTTGTCTGAGAGAGTGAAGTTCATGTTATTCCATCTCTTTAGGTCTTTGTTAATTTGTCGCCACAGGGGCTTGTAGTTGTGGAGGTACAATTTATTGAGGTTTCTGGTTATTTGTACCCCTAGGTATCTGAACTTGGTGTGGCAAAGTTTTATTTTGGTGACCTTCGTGAGTTCTTTTTGGGTGTGAGGAGGGGTGTTGAAGCACATAGCTTCTGACTTTGTAAAATTTACCTGTAGGCCCGACACCATTGCAAATGTGTTGAGTTCTCTGATTAGGGAGGTTGCTGTGCTTATGGGGTCTGGTGTTGTGACCATTAGGTCATCTGCAAAGAGCCCTAATTTATAGGTTCTGCCTTTTATTTCAACTCCCTTGATGTCTGTGGCTGCTCGGATGCGGATTGCTAGGGGTTCCAGAGCCAGGATAAATAAGAAGGGAGACAGTGGGCATCCTTGTTTCGTGCCTCTTTGGATAGCTATAGTGTTAGAATCCATATTGTTAGTTCTGCATTTTGCTGAGGCTTGGGAGTATATTTGTTTGAGGATTTGTAGGAAGTTGGGGCCAAATTTCATGTTAGTTAGTACTGCTAATATGTATTTCCACTCCAAGCAATCAAAGGCTTTGAGGATGTCTAGGGACATAATTGTCAATGGGAGTTTGGTTGCCTTGCTGTGTTCGATCAGGTTCAGTAGTTTCCTGATGGGGTCTGTTATATTGCGGCCAGGGACAAAGCCAGTCTGGTCTGGGGCTATTAACTTGTGTAGGAAGATTTTTAGGCGGTTGGCCAAGATTGATGTGAATATCTTGTAGTCTTGGTTTATTAATGAGATTGGGCGGTATGATTCTACTTTGAGGCTGTCTTTTAGTGGTTTTGGGATGGAGACTATTTTGGAGTGGGTCCAGGTTTTGGGGATGGGGCCCCTTTTATGATGTCGTTGAATAGGCGGGTCATGTAGGGCATCAAGGGTTCTTTGAATTTCTTATAGAATTCTGCTGTGAAGCCGTCTGGGCCTGGGGCTTTGTGTGGTTTCAGGTTTTTGAGGACCGCATCTATTTCCTCTGGGGTGATAGGGCTGTCCATGAATTCCTGTTCCTCATTAGTTAGGGTAGGCATGGTCAGTCCTGCTAGAAATGTTCTGATTTCCTTCTCTGGTGGGTTATGGGAGGTGTATAGGTTGGAGTAGAATTCTGCAAATTCTGAGGTTATTTCTTTGGGGGAGAATGTTATGTTGCCGTCTTTTTGGTGATGCAGTGTATTCTTGTTTTGAGTGCTTTTTTCCTACATCTATTTGCTAGTAATCTGGAGTTTTTCCTCCATATTCGTAGAAACGTTGTTTAGAGTATAGAATGTTGATCATTGTTTTGTTAATTTCTAGGGAGTCTAGTTCTCTCCTTTTTTGTTCTATAAGTTTGAGGAGTTTTTAGATCCTGTTTGTTTGTAGCGTGATGAGAGGGCTGTGATGTCTTGTTCTATTTTGCTAATTTTTGAGGAGGTTTGTTTTTTAAGGAATGTTTTCTCTTTTATGCAAGCTCCTCTGGTGACCGCTTTCATTGCGTCCCATAGGAGGGGGGTTGTTATATTGTTTACATCGTTTTCTTTGAAGTAATTTTGGAGGGTTTTTGTGAGACTCTCTCTAATTTGTTTGTTTGTAGTTAGGATGGGACTGAAGGACCATGATGGGGTGGTTTGTGTTCCTTCTCCTATTTTAACAATGACTTCTACTGGGGCGTGGTCTGTGATTTTAATGTTACCTATGTTTGTTGATTCTACTGAGGGATCAGACCCTGTGTGAGTAGAATGCTGTCCAGTCTGGACACTGTATCATGGCGTCCCGATTGGAATGTATGGCTGATGTCTCCCGGGTTCTGCTCACCCCAAATGTCGTAGAGACCCCTGTTTTTAGCATTTTTAGTAACTTGTAAGAGTTCCTGGTTGTTGGGGGTTTCCTTCGGAGGAAGGTTGCCCATGGGGTTGTGGGGTGGATATCTTTCAGCGATATACCTTTCATATTTAGATTGAGGTCCCCTCCTAGGATTGCTTCCCCTTCGGAGAAGGAGAGGAATTTGTTTAGTGTCTTCTGGAAGAATTCTAATTGTTTCGTGTTTGGGGCATATATGGAGCCAATTGTCAGTTTGATTTTGCCATCTAGTGTCCCTTTAGCGAAAATGAATCTGCCTTTTTGTCCTTGAGGACTGTTGTGGCAGTGAAGTTCAGGTCTCTACTGAGTATTATGGCTACACCACGAGCTTTCCCTGAGCCTTGTGCGACCCACTGTTGACTGAAGCGGGGTCGCTCAGGAGTTTGCTGCCTTTGGGTGGGTTGTGTATTTCTTGTAGGAAGGTGATGTGTGGTTTCATGGTGTTTATGTATGAGGTGATGCGTTTTCTTTGATGGGGTTTCCCAGCCCCCTCACGTTTAATGTAATTGCTTTTAGGTTAGCCATCTTGCTTATCTATTATGTGGGGCAATTCCCTGCCAACCCATTCGGGTTGTCTTGTGTCTCTCTCTTCGTGTTGTTTAAAAAAGTGGGGTTGCGCTGACCTAGGGTGTGGTGGGTGGGGGAATAATGGGATTAGAGTAAGATTTGGGTTAAAGAGTAGGGGGTAAGTTGTAGAGAGTTTCCTATATGTAGTCATATAGGTGTTTGTTTGGGGTATTTTAGGCCATCTGGCATTTAGCCAGTTGGTCCTAGGTCTCAGCTGGTGTGGAAGGCCGTGTTCAAGGACAGGCCATCCCCCCTGTTGTTTGCGATAGGGGGTGATCAGTGAGACAGTCTGTTCTCCTTCTATTCACCTGTTATATTTCCTTGGTGGTGAGAAAGGTTGGGGTGGCCTAGGGTGTGCTTGGTTGTCTTTGGTTGGCTGTAGTGAGATTTGTTTATGTGTGTGAGTGTGTGGGTTTTTGGGTCAGGCTAGACATATTGATTTGTATGCTGTCAGCGGTTTATTGTTGTTGTCTTGTTGGGCTATGTATGTGATAAAGGGGAACCCAACCAGGGTGAAGGTGTCTTCTTCTATTTGTCCCCATGTCAGGTTCAGTTTATTGGTTAATTTTTCTTCTAGTAAGGCTATTTCCTATACTATTTGATACCATCGGACCATGTTTACTCCTGGCAGGTCTCTCCAGTCTGGCTATGATGCTTCTGGTTGCTGAGAGTAGGTAGGCTATGAGCTCTTTATAATGTGAGTGGGCATTATTATCTTGGAAGATGTCAAGTGGCCACGTCCGTAGAGTTTCCAAGGGACTTATTGAACTCATTCAACAGCCATCGTTGCTAGGTCATGGTATTATTATTATTACTATTACTATTATTATTTATTAAATTAAACTGGAAGGGGTATTGTTTTTATATTCTACCTGTTCCAAGATAATTCTGAATAGTAGCATGATGCAAGTTTTATTTATTTGGGTATCTAGCCCTTGCCATCTTAAATCTCACAGCTCATTATGATTTATAAAATAAGCTAGTCAAAAGGAAATGCACACAAAGTCTGGGGCCTCTTGACATCCTAGCTCTAGTCTCCAAAATCAGCCCCAATTAAAAGTTATTTAGTGTATTGAATCAAGTTGTACTCTGGGTTGCCCACTAAAATGAATGATTCTACGTTAGTAATTTCTAATAATGTCAATTGGATACAACTCATCATATCTAGAGCAGGTATGGAGAATTTCTGGCTCTTGAAATGTTGTTGGCATACAATTCCCATCATCTCTGACTACTAGCCATGCAATTCCTGATTTAGATGTTGTTCAGAGTACAGAAAATTTGTAGAGTAAACAAATTTAAGACTTGTTTAAGCATTGCTGAAATTACCTCTCTATGTCCCCCTGCTGCGCAAATCTGGCACACAGATGACATAACCACAGCTGACATATTGCAGAGGGACACAGGGAATAGAATGGTCTCTTTGGCAGGTATGTCAGAAACAATTATATGCAACATACTTTGAATTCCTAAAATGGCTACAGAACCAAAAAAATTTAAGCATTCGCCTTTCATTTTTTAAAAAAATCACTTGTCTGGCCAAAGAAGAAAACAACTCCCTTTCCCCAAAGCCCATTTTTAGCATTTCAATTATATATTAATTATGGAGCAAGAAGTGTTATATGTGTGTAGAAATTCCACACCAACAACAAGGTCAGTATGTTTTGCTTCTCCCTTGTCCCTCCCTTACAGCAACTATGGGGAACTATCCAGCTTGCAGGCCTAATTCAGTCCACTGGGTCTCTCCATTTGGTCCATCAGGCTGTTCTAGCCAAGCCACACCCACATCAGGTGTGAGGCATGCAAATAAGTGGTTGGGCCAAAGGGAGTCTGCAAGCACCACAGACCAGCCGATTGGCAACTCCTGCAAATACCTGTGCATAGCTTTCTGCAAGCACTGACAACCAGGTAAGTGTCAAGGCTTGCATAACTCCATACGTGGTGCTGTAAAAATCACACCACTCAGCTAACTGACACCAAGACAAAAATGGGTTCCCTGGTGTGATTGTGAAAACAGGTGATTGATATGTGGGCACCCCCATCTACCTGCCAAACTTGGCCCATGTGGCAAGGGGTGGAAGGGAGAAGTAAGGATCTGCCTGATGATCAGATCCAGTTCGCTACCCCTCACCTACACCATGAAGAGCACAGCACTCGTATAGTTCCTTACAATACTGCTATTTAGATCACGTTCTTAAAGTTTATGCGTGAACAGGATGTGATACATAGCTGTCAACGTTTTCCCTTTTTTAAGGGAAATTTCCTTATTCCAAATAGGATTCCTTGCAAGAAAAGGGAAAAGTTGACAGCTATGATGTGATACCCTTGTAAAACTGTTTGCTATTATGAGTAAAAGGTTGGTGGGAAATAAGTCTAGGTACTCACTGATTCCTTTCTCTTTTGGAGCAATTTTCTCAATGTCTTTTAGTTGGAATACATCTTTCTGTCACAAATAAAATAAAAATAACATACACATCATCCATAATCACACAATGACTCTGAAATTCCTTCAATTAATCTAAGGGCTTGTGGTTTTAAGAGTAACATTTATGACTCAGTGCGCTTTGCAGCTTACATAAGTTACTGCACCACATTACTGCTTTCACATATGGGAACTGGCTATCCTTCTGATTAATTTCCTACCTGCGCCTTTCTGGGAGCAACAGAAGCTCCCAGGAATTATCTAAGGTCATATTCCATACCGTACTGTACATTGAAAGCACTCTCATACCATTTTAGCAGTCATAGCTTTTCCCCAAAGAACCTTGAGAACTGTAGTTTGTCAAGGGTTCTAGGAAATGTAGTTCTTTGAGGGTAAATTACAGTTACCAGGCCTCCTAGGAGAAGACATGACTGTTAAAGCGGTATTAATGTAGTTTAAATGTATGGTGTGAATGTGATCTAAAACCACCTTACTTATTGGTGATCAAGACAAGCCTACACTTGCTACTGGGCAAATTGGAAACAGTAAATTATCCATACACACACACACACACACATTTCATATATATATATATATGTGTGTGTGTGTGTGTGTGTGTGTGTGTGTGTGTATATATATATACATATATATATATATATATACATATATATATACATATATATATACATATATATATATATATATGAAGTCTCAAGCATGAAGACATTTCTGCATTTTGGACAAACACCGACTCCCTTGGCCTAAAAAGTAAGATTAGCGCCGCACCCCATAGTCACCTTTGACTGGACTTAACCGTCTAGGGGTCATTTAGGTTTATGCAATTCAGAGCTACATACAGATTGATTTCTGAAAACATCTTGGAACATCTTACTTTAAAGAAAGAATGGAAAAGCTGCATCCCTTCAAAATGCTGCTGTACTCCAATTCCCACCAGCCTGTCAGCATGGCTAATGGTTGGGGATGCTGGGAGCTGTAGTCCAAGAATGTGTGGGGTTTAAACATCTCTGCTTTAATTAATGCAGTCCTGGTTGTCAACCACACAGGTAGCCAACTTTAATAGGTGCTCACCATACCAGAAGGAGAATGCAGGTCAAAGGCTCTCATACTGGTTTTGGTACAGCCAGCTCTCTGTGCAAGCTGAGAGTACACCCCACTGTAGTACACATCCTTTCTGACATTATGGGGGCTTCTGGCACAAGCATTCAGTTTGCAGCAATCAGTTCTGGGCCAGCCCTACACACATTTGGCAACTGCATGTTTCAATTCTGGGTCAATACATGCTCACTGTGAAACATTCATAATGTTACCTACAACAACAAAGTATTACTTACTGTTTCAAAAAATATTTCCATCATCCGTGTTCTCTTCTCTTCAACACTCAGCCCCCTTTTCTTTGACTGAATAGGGGGGAAAACATGTTATGTTGTCGTTTATATAAACAGAGTGCTTTGGCTCAAAAGCCCCCAAAGCAGGGAATAGAATATAAATACAAAAGAAAGATACAATAAAAAACAACAATCGAACTGCTCAGTAATACACATTAACTTCCTATGCCTCCCATATGGACTGTAAGTAGTGTTTTAGTTTGGGTTATAGTTATAAGCCTACTATGCAAGAACCTTCCACCTTGGCTTGAATCCAAATGAGTGAATTGGCTAAATCTCTGCTGGAAGGATAAAGGTCATAAATGGTGCTGAATTAAAAGATGGGAAAGAAAGGTGGCATGATACGTTATGAGGTCACGGTGTTACACCTGGTGTGGGTCTGACAACATAAGTCCATTAAGACTTTAATTGGTATTATTAGATTATATTGATTTTGGCCTATGTAGTCGATGAACTACTAAGACCTAATTACCAGGATATGCAGAATCAGTTTCTGTTCATGTTCAGCCCTTCAGAAGAAAAGCCTGCTGTGACAACCCCCCTTGAATAAAAATTGCATGCAATTCTGAGAATATGAGTGGGAATGCACATTCAGAGCGATCTCCTGGGTTTTATTTGCAGCAGTTGTTGGCACTTTTAATTTTTTTAAAGAAGCTTAGCAATTAGCTGTTACAGGGAAAGTCAAGGGTCGGAGGGGAACCCATAATGGTATGCCCAGGACTCTTGCTGCAAACTACATAACCTCTCCTTCCAAATACATTTGAATGAATCCTAAATATTCCTAGCCTGCCCTACACTGCAAACCTATACATGTCTATTCTGAATTCAGTGGGACACTCTTTCAGGTAAGCATATGATTCCACCATTCATTATGCACCACAAGCATTATCAAGCATGATGACCCATATTCAGAATATTGGCAGGCAGCACATTTAGGATGAGTAACAACATTTGAAACAATGACTAACACCACCTGCAATATAAGCTTCTTCTTTTTAAGTAAACTACCACAGAAGTAATTGTTTGCTTACTCCAAGCCTCTCTTCCCTTGCCTTTCTCATCTATGCCATGCCAAGAGATGGCATACAATAGGAAAATCTGAGACTTCCCAGAATAATCAATACATTTTGAATACTTGATACTTTTGCATCTACACGTCTCCTTAGAAGTCACACTTCCTTCAGTTGGATATATTCCAAATTAAGCATGCACAGGGTTGCTATGCACAGCTCATTTCCAGTACAGTGGTACCTCTGTTTAGAACTTAATTTGTTCCGGAGGTCTGTTCTTAACCTGAAACCGTTCTTAACCTGAGGCACCACTTTAGCTAATAGGGCCTTCCGCGGCCGCCACACCGCCGGTGTGTGATTTCTGTTCTCATCCTGAGGTAAAGTTCTTAACCCGAGGTATTACTTCCGGGTTAGCGGAGTCTGTAACCTGAAGTGTTTGTAACCCGAAGCGTTTGTAACCCATTGTACCACTGTAATAGAATGCATATTTTTTAAGCAAGAGGGCTGCTCCCCCCTCCCCCAGCAGCAACATCCTCAGTAATACATAAATGTGTGTCACAGTGGCCTTGTAAATGAGACCACAATATACTTGCCAGCAAACAAAACAAACCATAGCCCTGAAAGAGCTTGTATAGTCTGTGTTTCCATCCTGGTTGCAGAGTAGGTGGAATCCCTTCTCTGTGACCAGCGTGGAAACACAAAATAATGGCCTTGGCTATTTTTTTATTTTTTAAAAAAGCTTTTTCTTAAATAGGCTTGGAGAAAAGACATAGTCAAGTTTACTTAATCCACAGAAACCAAGTGGACTGGAGGAGAAGAAATGGAGAGAGATCTACCCCTCTTCCATCAGCCAATTCATTCACCTGCACAAAATTCCTACCAGGCAAAATATTAAATACATGGCCGGGACACATGCTCTGTTATATGTGTTATATCTGGGGAGCATTAACACAAAGACTAAAATGTACGTGGGAGACATATTGCATAAAAAAGTCTCAAGCCACAGTGTGGAAAAAAAATCCTTTCAATCTCTTGGGGAAGCAAGTTAGGTAAGCATGCCAGGACATGGGTTTTCAACCCAAAGCAGTGACAAGATGCAATATTAAGTTTCTGTCCTACAGAGAGTTCTGTTATACTTGCCTGGAAATGCTGACATCTACATGCTCTTTAACCCAGCGTGGTTTTACTTGTGATTCTCAGAATGTGTGAGAAGCAACAGAAGAAGAAGAAGAGTTTGGATTTGATATCCCACTTTATCACTACCCTAAGGAGTCTCAAAGCGGCTAACATTCTCCTTTCCCTTCCTCCCCCACAACAAACACTCTGTGAGTTGAGTGGGGCTGAGAGACTTCAAAGAAGTGTGACTGGCCCAAGGTCACCCAGCAGCTGCATGTGGAGGAGCGGAGACGTGAACCCGGTTCCCCAGATTACGGATCTACCGCTCTTAACCACTACACCACACTGGCTCTCAGGTGTTATAAGTGTTAAAAACTCAGCAGCATGAGAACTTAAGCGGAGCTGCTGGCAGCAAGACCGAAGAGAGGTTGTGGTAACTGACCTGCTCAACCCAAACAGAGGTTTTTAACCCCTCATTTCATTTACTGAGCGGCGCTAGTCTGCAAGGTATTTCCTGCAGGTTTGTGGCACTGCAGTGTGGATAAGCAGCTGCATCTCTACTAGTTGTGCACATGAAAGCCTACTATTTGCAAACCAGACAAAGAATAAGAATTAAAGTTTATCATATAGGATGCTGGTATTGTAAGTCAGCTTCCCACATCTTCCTGCGTGTCTTCCTTTTCATTGAAACTTACTTGTTGAGTATGTGCACTATAATCAAAGGCTATGGAGAAATGACCAACTGGTCATTCAAACTTATGCTATAGTCCACGCACAAAGACCAGGAGCTTGCTGCCTTTCGCTAGTATGCAAGCAGGTTTTGGGGGGAAATTTAAATATTTAGCCCACTCCCATCTCAAAAGCTTAACGTGAAAATATCATTAGAAATCCATACGAACATTTCACGCATTGGATGAGTAGTCTTCCAGCCATAAATCCACAGACCTTCCGGGGTCCCTCCGAATGAAACTCACTGACTGCTGGTGGTCCCCTGACCCCTTATACCTTGTCTGGTATAAACCACTATGAATGCCTCAATGGCACACTGCTGAATACAACTACAAAAAGGACACCTATCTCACCTGTTTATCTAGCTAATGTTTGCTTATCTCCCATCAAAATCAATGGCTGTCTTCAGAGAGACGTCACCCCCCCCGCCATTCTGACCGCAGGCACAATGACACAATTCACTGTCACTTTCGGCCCTAGCCTACCTCGAAGGGTTGTTGAGAGGACAACATGGAAGATAGTTCGGGGGGCTATCTTGGAAGAAGGGTGGGACATATATAGAGAGAGGGGGAGAGAGTAAAGGGACCCCTGACCATTAGGTCCAGTCATGACCGACTCTGGGGTTGCGGCACTCATCTCGCTTTACTGGCCGAGGGAGCTGGCGTACAGCTTCCGGGTCATGTGGCCAGCATGACTAAGCCGCTTCTGGCAAACCAGAGCAGCGCACGGAAATGCTGTTTACCTTCCTGCCAGAGTGGTACCTATTTATCTCCTTGCACTTTGACGTGCTTTCAAACTGCTAGGTGGGCAGGAGCTGGAACGGAGCAACAGGAGCTCACCCCATCGTGAGGATTCGAACTGCCGACCTTCTGATCGGCAAGTCCTAGGTTCTGCGGTTTAAACTACAGCGCCACCCACATCCCTGCACACCAACCTAGATTGGTTTAAAAAAAGATTGGACAAATTCGTGGAGGAGGAGAGGGCTATCAATGACTACTAGCCACAATGGCTGTGCTCTGCCTCCCGGTATTCAGAAGCATGACTATTCAGGGACAGAGCAACGGGAGCTCACGATCGGCAAATCCTAGGCTCTGTGGTTTAACCCACAGCGCCACCTGCATCCCTTATATATACAGAGTATATATATATATATAATGTGTGTGTGTGTGTACACACACACACACACACACTATATATGGGAAAGATGTCCCACAAATATATGGGAAATAAGTCCATTAATGTGGACTTTTTCTGAGGCAGCTGGGCTCTCATATAAAGCAAGGGAGCAGGAGAGCTACTTTAAAGGGTCGCCCCCTCCTCGCTGCGCCTGCCGAATAGCCGCCTGCGCCGACCCCGCGAGCAGCGCATTCCCCCCGCTCCACTGCAACCTGAACCCGCCCTCAGCCACAGCATCCCCGCCGCACAGGGCACCGGTTGGCAGCGCGGGAGGAGCCCGGCAAGAGCGCGGAGAGCCCAAGAGGCGGCGGCGGCGGCGCTAGCTTACCATGTCTCTTCCTTCCCTCCCCGGATGGCGGGAATTTGAGTTTGAGGGGGAAGAGACGCCGACGCTGCTCCGCCCCCTCCCTCCCTGGTACGCTACCGCCACCTGGCGCCTTTAACGAGGTACTGCAGCCCCGCCGAGCCGGCCCTGCCCTTTATAACTCGCCACCGCCTCTCTCGCTCCACCCTTATCTCCATAGAGCTAGGAGGGAGAAAAGTGGGAGAGGCGCGCGCCAGAGAACACACTTCCGGGAACGTTTTCGCCGGCTTCCCTTAATCCCCCGCCCTCCCAAAATGGACGTCGCTGTAGCCAAGCTCTTGGCATCTCAGTTGCTGGGTTTGGATTGCAGATACGTTTGCTTGCTTGTTTTCCGTGGAGGGTTTCGGGGTTTTTTCCCCCCGTTGTTTATTTGCTCTTCATTTGTTATTACGTTTTTAATGACCGCTGTTGGAACACAGTATCTTCCAAACTCGCAGTTAGTTAGTTAGTTAGCTAGCGAGCTATCTAAATAAAGTTATTAATAAGCCCACAATATAGACGTCTGAAACAAGGAACAAACGCGCAGCAAGATAAAACAGTAGCGCGTTTTCAGTCTGGAAAATAAAAGGACCACGCTTCAGCCGGCTTCCGGGACTCTAATCTAACCTCCCCCCACCCCAAGTCTATGTTCCGCAGCACTTTTTTGCACGGTGGTTTCTCCCTGCTCCTTACTCTACATCTGACAAGAGCGAGAAAACCTATCTGCAGTATTCTGCTATGCCTCCTGTGCAATCCCGCATAAGTAGTATGTCTACCTGCAAAGATTATGAAACACAGTTAATTCACACGAGAACCTTTGAAAGGATGTGGTGCTTCTTTTATTTAAAGATATTTATATACCACTTCACTGTAAATAAAGCCTCTAAACAGCCGCAAACGCAGCTTGCGTCACTACCACAAATCATGCAGTAGGTGTTTCTGCATTTGGAGAATCGAAGGGGTCGTTTAGTCAGAATTAGCAATAGTGCTATCTACAGCATAAAAGTATGTTTGTTTCCACTACATACTTCTTGTACATTGGTAAACCAACATAGTAATCCTAAAAGTCTCAAGTGCTACTTTACTCTTATAAAGAAAACTGGACTCTTACAGACTTTTCGCTACTTGGGCAAACAGGACACATAAAAACACTATCAGCTACTTACTGTACTATAAACCTCCAGTAGGTGCACTAGTAGCAGAGTTTCTCAGCCAGTTCACAGCTCCTATTTCAAATTTCATGCCGAACATGTGGATATCAGGGCCTGAAGTGGTGATCTTAGCACACCCTCTATGCCTTGGGTGTACATATGTGTGGAGACGACCTAATGTTCATTAGAATGCCTTCCCCTCTGCTTCTTTGTATATGTGTTATAAAATTATGTTCTTCAGTATACTGTATATTCTTCTTCTGCCCTATTAACAAGAAGTGCTCAACAAAACAATGCAAACAAATCAATACAACATTGTAAAAAAAAAAAAAGGAAACACACATTATTCATTTATTTTTATTTCTGGGGTTTGTGCATGATAAAAGGTACACATTTGACTGAATTTTCCTATTGTTCCAACACAAGGTATTTTCTTTTCAGCTTTCTCTGTTAGATAAAGCATAAAAATACCATGGCATACACAAAGCTAAACCTACACACAAACACTCTTCAATGAACACCTTTCATCCTCAGCCTTAACTAGACATAGTTTATATTTCTTCTCAACAAGAGAGGATGCATGGCTGTGGTGGGGAAAAAAAAAAATGACTTAAGATACTTCAGCGTCGTTTTCAGAGAGTGCAAGACTTTATAGCATTCTTTAAACAAAACATATGAAACTGGCTTACAAAGCTGGAATGTACAAAAAAAGTCGTTCACTCCAAGGACTGGAAAGGTACAACATTATTGAACAATTCAGTTTCTAGCGCAGGGAGATTACAATACACGATGCACATTATGGAACATTCCCATGTCATAAAGCAAGAAAGCAAACCACCAGGGTTAAGGCTGTGTTGCTCACAAACATCCACTTAAGCGTGGTACATTCATCGGAAACTACCACCATTTTGGAATCATCCTATGCTAAATACAAACATCTTCCATACATTCTCCAAACACAGACCTTGAAAATCATTGCTCACAGTTCATCTTCAACAGCATTTTCAATGGACATTAACATTTTGTTTCTTACTGTCATCCATTAAAAAGAAAATTAAAAAATTCATTTCCTCACACAACAAGCATAACTTAATGGGCACTTGTTTTCATTATGGCAACACTAGATCCTTAGTCATCAAAGAAAAAAATCAGCTGTAAAGTTGAAAGCCCTGTAATGTTTACGAAGGACAACAACAATAGACAATATTTTTCTTGCTACTTTGCTGAAACTTTAAATCAGTGTAAAAACTTTACTAGTATTTATCAGTTTTCCTTTTTTACAGTTTAAAAAAATCATTCAATGTACAGTTTGCAAGTTTATTGAAAAATGAACTGACAACATTTTTAGGCTTATTTTTAGCAAGTGTTTACCTTAATTAAACACATGTACTTGCACTGCTCGTGATGCATTTACTACTTATTACTCTACCTTTGGGTACCACTTGACAGAAGATGGACACTGCAAACATAAACCAGAATCACCAAAAAAACACCATGGGGCAACCTTTTACTACCAATCCATTTTAAGTCTGTAGTGCAGATGTGTCCTAGGCTGTGGGTTTGGCAGTGTAAGTGGGGGTGGGTCATGCCTTAGATCAGGGATTGGGAATGTGTGGCCCTTCATATGTTGCAATACAGATTCCATCATCTCTGATCACTGGCCCATGGGGCTGATTGAAGTTAAGAGTCCAACAATATCAGCAGAGCCACAGGTGCCTTACCCCTGCCTTTGTAAACTCTAATTCTGGCAAATGTTTGTCCGGCCCCCCCAAAAATGACTTAAAAAAAAGAAGTTACATTTATACAATGGTTATTTTTTCATTTCTTCAATCAGCTAACCAGGTAAAGGGCAACAATTGTGAACAACTGGAAATTGGTGAGCAAGAAACATTTTGATTATTGCTAGCTAATTTTCAAACGCTCATTTTGCCCCCTGCTCAGTTAGCTGATGTTGCTAAGCTTTCAAAATATCATCTGGCAAAAACATGAAATTCAACAATGCTCCAGACTAGCACCAGTTTGTAAATAGTGTGCATCACCAACAGATTATAAATCTTAACAATTCATCAAGGAAGAACCAGGATCTTTAAAATTTTAAAAAAAGTTAGATATTGAGGGAAAGGCCACATTACCCTTAACATATGTTAGCTTTGTTGTAAAGGAAATAAGCAATAATTAAAATTTGAGTTGGTAGTACATACAACATTACTAAGGTATTATTTACTAGGATTAAGAAACAATTACTTTAGGAAAGCATTTGAAGGACAATGTCCGCATGCATGAAATGGTCTCCAAGTGTGAATTTATAACAATTTAAACTTGTATGCTTCCCTAATTCAATTCACTGGGAAGGGCTCCTACAAAAATTCCATTGAGATGTAAGCACAGATCTTCACTTGAAGTGAGAAGGTATTATGATGGACAGTTGTGCTCCTAGATCCAGTTTAAGAAATTGCCGAACTAAGAACAGTAACATTCAAGTGAATATTTCCTTTTGTCACAAGAACATGTTTATAAAAGCATAAGCATCTAAAATTTTAAGCCAGATTGGTTTGACAATATGTTGTGAATTACGTCTATAGTAATAACATACTTAACAGTTTGTGAGTTCCTTTATATTAAAAGTTCAATAACAATTACGAGACAGCTTAAGGTTTTTTTGTTTTGTTTTTGCTTGCATGGCTTAATAAATACATATAAAATTGTAAATAGGATATCCCTTTTCACAAAGAATTTAAATAGATTTCAAGGTGGTTCAGTGTCTGAGACTAACAGCATGCAGTGTCTGTCTATTGCCTTTGCAGACACTCAAAAATATTAATCCAGGAACCATAAATTTAGATTCTTAACATTACTCATTTAAGTTTATTTTATAACAGTAAGTGAGAAGGAGTATAAGCCTTTAAACAGTGCTTATCTATTCCTTAGTTTGAAACAACCAACTTTTTAGCTACTGTATTGTGGGCAAAGTAGGTAATAATCTTCATTTTTGCAAGTCTTCTCATTATTTAAATGTTTTAAGGCTCTACCCACCCCAAAAGTGCAGGCTGGCTGATATTAAGATTCCACCCTGACAGGTCAAACTAAAGATCAAGAAGAAAAACGTAAAATTTGGGATTCACGAACCACACCATCAGGAATCTTCTTGCGTAAGGCCGGAGGCAATTCGTGACCCCACACTGCTGTCAAATGTATTTTTCTTCTCACTTGATGTAACAACGTAGGCAAAAGTGTATTTGATGGAAATAACTTAAGCAAAAGGAGAAAACACATTGCAAGCACTGAGGTGAATCTGATAATTATAAGTTGCAAGACTTGTATGTGGGAAGGGGAAGAGAGGGAAATAGACCCTTTCAGAACATTCTCTCATACACAGGGTTATGCACATTCCTGTTTGTTATCACCTACATTTATGCTCCTTGTTCTTTTGTTCCCCACACTACATGCACATATGAGGGAGGAAGTCATGAACAGTTTTTGAAATCCCTTTGTAGAACACTCTCGCACTCATAAGGATCTTCCAAGACTTGTTCAATTAATTCTGATGCTCAGTCTTTCTGGAATTCAAACAAATGCACACCTGCTTTGGTAACCCTTGGTTTTACCCAAAATGAAACAAACAAACAAACAAACAAACTGTCGACCACCAAACTCTCCTTTGGTTGCACAAGGCAGGCCCTCAGATGTGGTACATGTGTGGCTTATTATCCTATGTGAAAATGGGCAACTGGAACAAAGCAGATTGCTTTCATAAACCATAGCAAGAACCTGTCTGAAACACGGGTGTCAGGTGTGAAGCTAGCGAGGTTGACATAATGGCAATTAACTTCCTAATGAATCAGTACAGCGCTAATAGGAAACTGATTTTATGAAGTGCCAGCAGTAATCTATCCCTATTGGAATATATTCCCATATCTTTTTAGAAGTTTCAGGTTTCCGGAAAAATCCCTACAACACACACTGACTGAGCAGTAGGAAAATTGATAAACATGTACATCAATCCCACAGAGGGCAAGAAGTTTGCATTGATTTTTATAGTGCTAGAAGTTAAGCTGTGTTAGGTCTGACAGGAAGGGCTAACCATATCTCTTTACTAAAAGAAACTACTCATTACAGTTACTAAGACTGAAGAATGTTACAAGTGTAATACTTACTAGTGCTATGCGATCTAGAAGACTCCCAGACTTCCTGCTGGGTTAAATAATGCTCTACAGTAACAATTTCCAAAAATGGAAGCTTTAAACAAGTGCTCCCATTCACATGTTAAATAAACGCTTTAGATCATGTTACTTTTAAAATTCTTTTCCCTCCTTCAGAACCTCACCCCCCCCCAAGTCAATTACATGAACGCCTGATCTACAAGCCGCAGTTCACATGTCTAGTATCCCATTGTCTCTAAATTCGGTGGGGAGGGAAGAGGGTCTTATTTATTAATCCTTATAATCAGTTCAGTGCGTAACGTATGAGGTGCAAGTCCTATGTAAACAAGGTAGGTTTGGAAATTAAAAACAAAACAAAACTGGAGACTCCTTCAGTATTAAAATTGAAATATTTAAGAAGTAGACATCCTACACACACAAAAAGATCTATGTTGGCCCTCAGAGGCTAGTAACTTCTTGAGCAGGAGCCGCCGCAGCTGTTACTGTAAGTATCGATAGACTTTGAAGCAGTGATTGCCAGAGTCTGCAACTACAACATGACCATCTGAAGTAAGGGCCAAACCTTGAGGACCATAAAGTGGATCGGCGGATGTGTTAATATAGGATAAAAAGGATCCACTCCCATCAAAAACCTGCGAAAAAGGCAAAGAGAGAATGTCAGCCAAAGACAGTGAACTGTGGATACCTAGAAGCTAATATGCATAAATGCAGGCAGCCACGCAGATTCACATGAAGTAAATAGAATTGTAGAAGGTGGCAAAGTCACCAGCTACGACCCTATCTGCTGAAAGTCTGCCATGGTCACACCCAGACTAGACTGACATAATTTAATCTGCCTGAGGCTGTATTTAGAGATAGTTCACAGCCACCCAGAGTGGCTGGGGAAACCCAGTCAGATGGGCGGGTATAACAACCACCACCACCACCACCACAGGAATGCAGCTGCAAGGATGCTTGCTGGGACCTAGGCTCAGAGCATAGACACACCAATACTTTCGAATCATTTTCAGGCTTAATTTAAAGCACTGGCATTGCTCTTTAAAGCTCTAAACATTTTGGGAACAGGTTACCTGAAGGGCTGTCTGCACCCATAGAAAACTCTCAGACCTGCCTTTAAGAGCCACCAGACTGGTGGGCATCAGAGACAGAGCCTTTTCAACAGTGGCCCAAATAACCTTGGAATTCTCTCCCAGTACGTATGGCCCATCTTAATATAAATTTTAAAAAACTGTTTTGAACTCCATTCTCTTAAAAGTGCCCTGGGTTGGGTACTAAATTGCTTGAAACAGCTGCTGCTGTTCTTAAGTTTTTCTGTAATTGGGTTTTATAGGTATATTACAACTTGGTTTATGTAGTAATTATATTTTGTAAATTGCCTTAGGAGGGTTGTGTCCTGAAACGTAGAACATCCAAGTATTTTAAATTGAATCAATCTATTATCTATGCTCTGCCCTATCTAGTTGTCTGCTACCACATTAAAACAGGAAACACTTCCTGCTGTTGTTGTGTTTAGAGGCTTGGAGTTCTTAGAAATAAGAATCTGGACTCAGGTTCTGCTTGTTAAGACTTAAGAGGTTTATTTTAGAATTCTTTCCTAACATACAGGCTGGCATTTCCCTTACGTCAAATCATTCTTTAATTCAGATCTTGTGTGTGAGTCCTTTTATTGGGTACAAGGGGAGATAAAGAGTAATATACCGGTAATCATGCATTCAGACAATGCTTTGGGGTTTCCACTCCTCTCAGAAGGATGTGTTTAGATCCTAACATGGGCACACCTTTAATCCTGACATATGCTTCTTACCAGCTGAAGAGCCACAAGTTCCCCTTCCCTTAACTACACAGCTACTCCATTACTCAATGATATTTTCTCTCCCTAGCACAATAAGGTGCAATGCTTATCTCAGAGGAAGAACGAGTTGGAAAGTCAATGGGACTCTTACTTCATTTGTAAATATGCAAGAGACTGTGTTGTAGTTGAACATTTTGGAGATGGGATGCTTGGACCCGAAGATGAGGAAACATCCCCATCCCAACAACATACATCATACTGAGCCAACTGACTTAAAAATCACTTGTTCACCTGTATTCGACTGTTTCCCCAGTCTGCTACAATAATATTTCCATTAGAATCTACAGCTACTCCTGTTGGAGCGTTGAACTGTCCATTCCCTTCTCCATTAGATCCAAATTTCAACATGAATTCACCTTCCTGGTTAAATACCTGAATAAATTAAAAAAAAAAAAATCAAGACACAAATTATATAGTACTTGATGATGATGGTTAAGAGCCTAAAGCCGAAACTAAATAGTTATCATCCTCAGACGTATAAATCAAAACTTAATGGAAGACAAACATTCCCTTTCTGAGGCAACAGGAAGAAACCGTCATAGACAAAAGTACAGTTAAACCAACCAAAAATGACAGTACTGTCTGCAGAAGAAAATTATAGCAATCTGTGCAAGAAGGAACCAGCGAGTTGTTGTTTTGTAAAGCCTAAAATATTAAAGCCATCCTAAGCTGCTGACACACAATGGCTTAGCTGAACAAACAAGGGTCTTAAGTCTACTGTTGCTGTGCTACTGGGAGCTAAGCCATGGGGGCTTCGTGTTAAGTGTGAACCCGGACTCATTGCTTATCTCTCCCAAACAAAGCCTGTGTGGAAAGCCACAAACAAATCCTGGTTACAGTTCATTATTTGCTTGCAAGAAGAAATTATTCTCTCACACACAAAAACCATTTTTTGTTTTTCTGTAACAGGATCCTATTGCAAACACATATAGGATTGCACTGCACATCTCTGGATCAGGTCACATGTAGCAGCAAGCCATTGTTTGGTATTGCAGGCACAAGCTAGAATAAGCCATAGTGACTCAAGCTCATGCATTCTCCCCTCCTTCTGTGTGGCTGGGAGAGTGGGTTTCCATCAGAATTGACTTTCACTTTCTCCTATTCTTATCATTGCAAGCAAACCAAAGATGGTGATTCAATGAGGGTGGGGAGCACCCAGGTTAATTTAAGAAGCCAGCTTCAAAGGAGCAGAGTTTGTAGCTGGCTTGTTTTGAAACAGGCCAGAATTAGTTATCAACCACTATCTTTGGTTTGCACACAATGGCAACCCAATTTAGGGAAAGTAAAGCTGCCAAGTCCTCCTCCCAGCTGCATATCAGAGTTTTTAGGGGTTTTTGAATGTTTTATGTAGTTTTGTAGTAGTTTTATGTAGTTTTTCAATTTCATTGTTCTGCATGGGACAATAAAGATATCATATATCGTATATTGTATATCGTATATATATGAAGAGGGTGGGCATACAAGCCAAAGTCTCACTCATGCTCACTCCAACTCATGTCCATAGTGCTAAACCATGGTTAGCATTACACACTCATTTGTGCAATGCAGTTCCTTCTTATTCTTCTCTTCCCAACAGCCCTCTGTATGCTCCCAACATCTGTTCTGGAGGGTTGGGGTGTCCTCCAGAACAGATTTGTTGGGGAGGTGTTGGGGGGCCTGGAGGGTGGGAAGAGAAACTAGAAGTCCCATCATGCAAACATTTTTTTTTCAATTCCAAAAATTGAAAGATGCTCAGTATCACAGAATTAATGTCATGTATGCCCATTTTTAAACAAGAGCCCCAAATCCAATTTCCTAGTGCATTCTCCCTCCCAGGTGGGGATTTCCTTTCACTGTAATCAGTAACATTCCCACGCATGGAGAGCTGAGGGGGGGGGGATTTGCTTTCCTAGCAATTTAAAATTAAACTGTTTCTGTTAGCTAATTGTTTGTTTGTTTATATATATGTGAATATATATATATATATATATATATTTAACCAGAACCATAAGTATGCATGAAAGCTTGGCTTCATGACAACTTTATAATACAATCCATGCTTCTCAATAAAATTATATTTGCATGCTTCCATTTCCTTGTATTTTGGGTATGATACATAGTAGACTGTCCTGTGTAAATGAAATGTGGCAACATTTACATAGGAGTTAGCAGAAGGTCAAGGCCATTTTCTAGTTATACTACAAATCAGTGTGTCGAAAATATTCCCTGAGCTGCAAGGCCACAAAAATTACAGAGAAAGGTTTGGAAAGTTGCCCTTGCCCATTCCAGTATTGCTGGGGAAGCCAGAAGGAAGGGAGGATTTAGCTACAATCCTGGCCACAGTGTATTTTGAAAACCATGTGCTGGGCCGTACCTTTGGAACCAGGAGCTTAATCCAGATCGGCTTTGAGTTCCCTTCCATTTTATTAGCAGGATGGCAATGAAATTTATTCCCCATTTTCAGTCAGATTTCTAACATACTGTATTTTATTTCCTTGTTTGCCAGAGCCTGGCCATAGAACTGAAAACCTCTGTTGTCATTAAGAAATCCTGCATTGCTGAACAATTGCTGCTTCTCAGGGTGTATGTTTATTAAAATAGGAGCCCCCCCTGCTGCTAAACTCTGCCAACAATCTACTTAGGGTCTCCCCTGTGGTCTTGCTTCCTTAATTGTAATCCAAAACCACAGGAACAGTTATTTCCTGCCTAATTCCAGAAGCCTATGAAAAACAGTCTCAATTCAAAATTGCCCATTTAGCTCCAACTTAAGGGTTATACTTCTCAGCTGTATGTAGATTGAAAGAAGCCCTATAATAGCCCAAGCCACATTTCACTTGCCCACGTGGGACTTATGCCTTCCTGCTGCTCTTAGCTTTGTTCTACACATTACTTTTATCACAGAACCCACTTGGAAAGGTCTCTGTATGGCTTCTGTAGGGTGTAGCAATGGTCACTGAGTGCAGGGTGGGCAGAAGGCAGACTGAGATCTATTGGTAGATCTCTGGGTGATTTGCAGTCGATGGACCAGGGTCCATCAAATTCCTCATTCCAGCTTTGTATAATGTAGCTTCCTATGCAGTCAATGGCACATATGGCTTACTTCTATGTAGTAATTTTGCAATTATGTTAAGTGACCCAGAGTATCCTGAATACTTGGCACAAGAGTAACTTTCTCCAGGGGACAACTAGCATTTCAAAATGATGGTGTGAAAAGACTCCAAGAGCTCCTTTCTAGAGATCCAACTTCATACTTCTTGAATCAATTTAAAAGAACATACACAGCTTTATTTTAAAAGAGCAAAGCAAGAGACTTAATCCAAGTATTTCCCCACCTCTAAATGTAAACAATTATTTCTTGTTGGCTGATGCAGAACACCTGTGAATTTAACTACATATTGGGAGTAACGGCTTCAATGCATTATCAATGGGATTTTATATTTTATGAAGAAGTAACAGCATCATACCTTGACCGAGTGGTTGTGGAAATCGGTAATAATAATTTCATTATTGTGGTTGACGGCTGCAAAATGAGGCCCTGTGATAAGGGAAGGAAGGAAGTTCAATGCAGGAAGAAAGATAAATCATGACAACAATATTTCAATCCATGTGAAGCAGCAGTTTGTATGTGGGTTCTGATCAAAATGGTTGATGTGGACCAATGCGCTAGCAGCATGCCTGACTGGAGGTGGCTCTGGAAAAGGCAACACCAGGTGGTGCTTCAAGGTTCCATTTTGAACTCTACATGTTGCTGCGTTCACTGTCACACGTTAATAGCTGAAGAAGAACATAATCAGCTACAAACTCAAGAAAATTATGAACCTGGGCAACAGTACAAGTCCTCTAGAGAACAATAAATAAAAAGGGTTCTATCTGGCCAGCTTCAAAACCAGTTTGACTGGTTTCCACCCACTAAATGTTTAGTACAACTTTCAAGTTGAACAATAGACTACTTAAAATTTGTTTAACATCTGCAAGTGAGCATGCTTCTTGTTCTTGGTCATTCTGGCTCGGACTGATGGGAATTGGGGTCCAGCCAGATGTGGAGATCATCACATTGACTCCCTCTGTCTTAAAATGAGACATGATCAGCAAACCACAGGAGTCAGACCAGAGGAGTTTTGTTGTTCCTGAAAGACTGCTTCCCCTCACCCCAAAGGCCTAAGGAACAACTAGAGTGAAAATTACACCCACATTTCAGGGTTTTCACTGATTTTATATCTACTGCTTTTTGTATTTTTACTGTTGCTATGATAATTGCTTTTGTTGCTGATGTTTTTGATCTGTTTTATATTTGTTTTGAGGTTCTCCTTTGCAGGCCATCTTGAAAATCCAGATTAATAAAATGGGGTGGGGGGGGGAGAGAGAATTACAGTTCCCAAGACTGTTTGGGAAAAGCAGTTTACCCCGCACATAGCTACAATTCCCAGCATCCTTAATAAACTGCAGTTCCCATTATTAGTTAAGCAAAATAATGTACTTTAAATGTATGGTATGCACTCAACCCATGTGTTTACTGAGCCCCTGTAGTACATTTTTTATAAAAAGAAAAAGCAATTTTATGTCTCCTGTTTAGAAAAGCAAATACAACAGAGTCTCATGACAAACAAATTTATATACTATTTTTGTACTGTGTATTTTGGGTCTATGGACCACAATAAAGCTGTGTGTGTTTATTACTACATAATTGTTCATGGACTAGAGCAGTGGTGTCTAAAGAGGGCCAGATTTGATGAAGTAACAGGCTGTGAGGGCCAATTTAGGATTGAAATTCGAGGGTTTTTTTGGATTTTACCCCAGGAAATAGACTGCCACAGGAGCCGGATTAAACCGACCGGTGGGCTGGATTAGGATTTTGGACATGCCTGGACTAGAGGGTTGCCATATTTCAAAATGTTGTTGAGCTTTTGTCAAAGTTTTGGCGATGTCCAGAAAATTATGGATGCGTGAAAGCACTAATGGACTACAGTCTACTTATTGTGTCTTGCTTACTGTGGTGAAGTTAGAGTGATGCTTTTTCAGCATGCTCAAATACACACACACGATCTGGATAAAAGAAAATGCATATTAGACAGCAACTGATACCTGCAAACTGCTTATCTCCATTGCCTCGGCTTCCAAACCTGGTTACTATTTTTCCATTTGGCTGGAAGATAAACACACAACATGCTTTGTTGTCCACCACAATGATGTGCCCATTGCGATCCACAGAAACACCTTTTGGTCCCATGAGCTTTCCAGATCCAATTTTTGTCTATAGGAGCAAAGAAAGAGATTAAAGTTGCTTCAAACATACACACATTTGGACTGCTGTAATGTTTACTGGGTTTTTAGCTTTGCCACTATTCATACTTGGGAGAAGATTCTGTAGTAAATTAGTGCAAGAGATTGGTAGTAATGACTTTCATTGTGATCTCTGTTTGGCCCTCTGAAATCCCCTCAGGCCACAACACTCATTATCCCTGCTTTTGCACCCTTTTTGCCTGGCTAAAATGCAACCATTAACTCCGTTAATGACTCTTCTGGGCCTGGATGGAACCAGAGAGGGGTGTGAGAGTGTTGTAGAAAGTGGCCTAGTGTACAAAGGTAAAAATGTATATTTGTTACATTATCCACTTTTGCTTCTGGCACTCAGAAGGTTGCCCAGAACAGAATGAGACCCTCAGGCTGAAAAAAGGATTCCCACCCTGTATGATTTTAAGTCAATACCAGGGCAAATGTTTAGAGTCTTCACCCCCCCCCTTCCCTCCATCTCAGAACAAACAAAATAATTTCATCTGCATGAATTTGCCCATCCTTTCCCACATCACCAACTGTTAGTTCTTCAGTCAAGAAATACAGACTCAGTTCCCCAAGCCTTCAGAAAAATCGTTGGTTTACCAAACTATTACGTAATTTTAAAATGGCAGTGAGTTTCCTTATATTTTTTAATTTGTACTTACCTTAAATTTTCCATCAGAGGAGAATATGCTAACCCACTTATTGTCATAGTCGGCAATAATGATGTCACCACAAGGATGCACAGCCACTCCCGTAGGCCGCTGCAACTGACCAGGGGACCTTCCCCGGATACCAAAACGACTCTTGAACTGGCCATCAGTGGAAAATATCTGTAATTTTCAAAAATAATTTTTTCACAAAAGATGTATCCATGTATACACATCCATGAGATTAAAGGTGGGGTGCAGATTTAAATAAATGAATGAATTTTTAACTGGAAAGTGGCATTTGAGTCATTACGTGAACTTAATGTTCACGTGGCTTGAATTAATTAATTTTATAACGAATGATTTTAGACTGTTGTTTATGCTGTACTTTTGTACTGTTTTATTGTTGTTAGCCGCCCTGAGCCCGGCTTCGGCTGGGGAGGGCGGGATATAAATAAAATTTATTATTATTATTATTATTAATGCAGAATTATGAATCCTTCACTATCAAGATCTTATAATCTTGACACTTCAGAGAACATGTTTCTTTTCCGCATTTGATCAGTACTGTGTCTTTCCAAAACAATCCATTATGGGTAAAGAAAAGAAAAACGAGCATACCTGCACACACTGATTATTGCTGTCCGCTATTAATATTTTTCCATTTGTAGATGCAGCTACTCCCTGAAGATTTGTAAACTCCCCTTTGTTTCTCCCTTTGGTACCTAAAAGGAGATGTACATATAAAAACAATTAGGAAAGAAGTCAAGTACATGGCTGCAAAAACTCATTTCAACTCTGTAGGTCCAATCAGCAGTTTCATCATCAGGAGTCTAGTTGTATTGCACGGAAAGGGGCTTCACAATGGTTGGGGTAGAGAAAATAAACCATTATCATGAATATACAATATAAAGATCAAGAGGGGAAGGTCCACAGTCTCCAGAACAGGGGTGTCTGGGACTCTGGGGGAGCTGAGTGTGTTGCTCTCTCCTTTCTCCCCCACTATGGGCAGGGACTTCTGTGTCCAAGAGGGAATTCCAGCTGCCTTTCAAGATAATAAGGTTTTGGAATACGCCTTTGAGGGATGAGATAAACAAGCAGTCTTGTGACAGAAATATTGTTTTTGAATTATGAACTCCATAAGCAATACAGATGGGGTGATTCCCCCACCCAGAAGTGCATACAACAATTACTAAATACAATATTTTTGGCACAGAAAATTAGAGGGAGAGCCATCTAGTTAGGAAAGTCCAACTACAGTAGGACTAAGGCTCACTTACAACAAGCTTAACAATATTATGTGTGTTTTAACAAATTAAATAGAGTGAGATTATGATTTTGGGGGAACGTGAAGAGTGTGTGTATGAACTTAACAGTGCTTAGCTAACTTTTTGTTGCTATTTTTTAATGTTGTTAGTATTGTTTTACAGATTACAAAAGCCATACTGCCATACAAAAGCCATTATATGAATTTTGCTGTAATTTTGCTGTTCAGCTTCTTTTTTTAGCTGATGTTTTGTGAGTAGCGTTTTGTAGATTGCATCTGTTTTATATGATTCACACTGTATCTGTGATGTGCTATTATGTTTTATTGTCTTGTTGTTATTTATTGTTTGTAGGCCACTATGCATGTCTATGCCACTTTTGATTCAAATGAATATCCATCGATCAACCAACACCTCTGAGCTAGATAATGTCCTAGGGCAGGGATGGGAAACCAAGGACCCTCCAAAGGTTGCTGGACTACAGCTTCCATCATCTGGTCATGCTGGTTGCAGCTGATGGGAACCGGAGTCCAACAATTTGCTTGAGCACCACAGGTTCTTCTCTCCTGCTTAGTGTTGACACTTATCCCAAAACAATACAGTTTCACGCACTCTGTTTGCAGCTGGACATTGCAATCCAAATAATTTAGAAGGCAAAGCACTCCATACCTACTCTGAAGATCAGGTCATCTTCAATGGGGTTCTCTTTCCTTTTGCCAGTGCTGTACATGCTAGCTGGTCTTTTCACAGCTTTCTGCTTCACATGTCCACTGCCAGGAGACTTCACACGCCTCTTAACTCCTTCGGTGGTAGGGGACACATCGGCCGACCTGATTACCTTGAGTTTGAACGGGCTGCCCCTGATATGCTGATCATAGAGTCTCAAGGAAAGGGTAAAGTCCCCTTCTTTCTGGACAGTATACAAAAATTCGTAAGTGCCATTTTTATTGTCAAGTATTTCTCCGTCCGCCACACTCCCATCAGGCGTGCTGAGCTCAGCCGTGAGGTAAGCATTCCCAGATTTACAGAGCTCACCATCCTTGTCCTTGGTAGTGATGGTGACCGACATAGGCTGTCCTATCACCGTCTGCTTCAGTCCTTCACCCGTGGCCACTGTTTCAGAAGCGACAGCATTTGTGGTTAAAATAGTACCAAGATTATGAATGGACTTCTTCAGCCCATCCGTTTCCACTATGAAATCCAGTTGATCATTCTCACGAGGCTGCAGTGGGAAGTCACGGACAGCCAGCTCGTTCAGCTTATCGCTCATCTGCTTCTTAACAAGCAAGACTTCTGTCTCGGTTCCATGGTTGAGTGCTTGGGCTGTAAAGTTGCTACAACTCTTTATGTTTTCCTGACCTTCCAATAGGCTATCAAGCTGAGTCTGCAGGACCTGGATAGACAGAATGCTGTGGTTATATAGATTTGAGTTTTAAACCAAGTAGCCCAAAAAATAAATGAATGAATTCCCACCTATCATGGGAAATGTAGAGGTATGACCTTGAACAGAATAACGTTGCAGAAAATTTGTTGGGCTCTATTAAAACAAAACAAAACAAAACAAAACACCTGAATAGCATTGATCAAATAAGTGCTAAATTCTCTTGGATTATTATTATTATTTTTTAAAAAAGCTTCCAGTTTGGAGAGCTTTTGTTCATGGCATTATTTTGACATAAAACTAAACTGTTAGGTTTTTTTGTATTGCATGAACAAGCCTTGGGCCAAACTGAAGACAGATAAACGTTTTCATATGAGGATATATGGAAAAAATGCAGAACACTGTATTTCCTCCACTCCCCAAGATATGGACACTTAGGTTTTATAAGATTTTTACAACTATTTGACTAATATTATCCAGAAAAGAAAAGTAAAAAATGAAAATACAACCAATAACTATGAAACAACGATGCAATATAAAGTTGTTGTTGCCATTGTTTTTGTTATTTTAATAAAAAAAAAAACCCGTAACAATTAAAAATATAGCTCTGACTCAAGTGTTACATATCACTTCTGCATTTTTGTAAGGGAATTTTGTTGGATAAAATGAATTTGTTCAAGGATGTGCTGGATTAATTGTGTTCCCATGCCATTTCCTAGCCTCTCTCTCAGCTAAAGATTAGATTTCAGACATTGTTTCTCTCTTCACATACCCCACAAATGAAATAAATATGACTGAAAAGATAAAGGGTCTTACTTTATGTTTAAGGCCATAATTCACTTCCAATTCCATGAGCAACACACTCTTGCGGACATTTAAAGTCTTCTGGAGTTCATCAAAAGTGGAATGAATTTCATCTACAATGCTGGTCTTTTGGTTGGTCAGCTGATGTATAATTTCAGATAGGAAATGAAGTGCTGTATCTATCTCTGGAAGCCTGTTGGAAGCGTAAATCACAAGTGCTGTTTGAAATAGAATTGCCATAGTTCTTCCTTGTGACATCATGCAACAAGATTTTTATTCTTGGTGATCACAATGGGATAAAGATACAAATCAGATTTCAAGTGTTTCTTAGACGAATTCTGTTACAAAGACTTTATAGCACAAGGAAAAGGATGGAGAAAGAGGCAAGAGAAAGCAAGCTCAAGCACCCCTTTTGAAAGTTGTAGTTCTTTATATAACACAGTTATATAGTTCTCTCTACAGTGGTACCTCGGTTTTCAAACATAATCCGTTCTGGAAGACCGTTCGACTTCCAAAACATTCGAAAACCGAAAGCGGTCTGCAAATTTAATTGAGAAACACTCAGTGGAAGCCATTTGGCTTCTGAGGCGCATTCGGAAATGGATGCATTTACTTCTGGGTTTTTGGTAGTCGAAAACCAAAATGTTCAACTTTTGAGATGTTTGAAAACCAAGGTACCACTGTATTCTGCCTTGGAAAGCAGAGGCCCCTGGGAAGAACCCCTCCCTTGGAGATCTCGGAGCAGAGAGAGCAGGTGACAATGTCTGGGGTGTGAGGTCGGGGCTACTCCTACCACACTGTGTGTTAAAGCATGGACTTTGCAGAAGAGGTTCCATACCTTTTGTTGACAGCATCTAGCTGTGCTTGAAGCGAAGCCTTGTGTTGTTCTACTACATCTTTGAGAGGTACTGTGGGGTGCTCTGCATGCTCGCCTTCTGTACATTCCCGGCACATGGCTGTCTCACAAGACTGGCAGTAAAATTCCATCAGCTGATTACAGAGAGGGAGAGTGTGACTATCAGCAGAATACCAGTTTTTCCAAACAGAGACACACCATTTTGAATACTGAGCATGTCTACTCAGATACAAGCCCTATTGAATTCCCAGGTAAGCAGGGCAAGGATTGCAGCCTTAGTCCCACAGACTTCCATGGGCTTGCTTTTGAATAAATGTGCATTGGATTGTTCTGCTAATGCCCTGTGCTGGGGAAAAAATCTGCTACAAATCCTGCAAGCAAAAAAAGTCAACAGAATGGGATTTATGTGAAAAATAGCCATGTGAGCTGACGACTGGAGTTCAAACCTATTGCACCATCAAACAAAATGTTTGCTTGTGATTAAAATGTTAAAAAGCAGTGATTATGTTTAATGCCATGGATTTATAGCTGTGGTTTGTATGAACCATTATGTTGAATTTTTCCCTACTTTTAAGAATCACAAATAAATACATACACAATTTAGGGTACTTGAAATTCCAAAAGGTACACTTACGGCTGTCATGTTCTTTCTCATGGCTGTCATTTTCTCACTATTTGGTTTCAGATAAAACTGTCATGCCTTGTGCTTTAGCAGTATTAAGTTACTTCACAAATGCCTAAGGCATTAGTGATGCACTCTGAATCACAAAGCAGAATGGCATCAGGTTTGCATATTATGAGGGCCATATTTTTGGCAGCCAAAAGCTTAACAGAGAGTGATCATTGCTGCTTAGGGCTGGCATTTAAAAGTTTACCAGAGGGAGAGAGCATCAGTTATTTTTCAAACTAAGCAAGAGAACATTAAAAGGAATTATATAAAAAGGACTTGGTGAAATAGAAATAGAAGCTTTTCATCTAACAAAGGATAAAACATTTTCACATTCTTATTTCTAGTCTGCAACCTACAAAAGAAAAAGGACTGAATAAGTTTCCACAATCTGTGTAAGGTTGTTTTGAATGGCACTACTCTTACTTAGTGGAGTCTGGATACTTCAGAAAGATAAAGATACTTTGCATGTGCTCCCAAGATGGTTTGGATACCTCTTCAAGAAAGAAAGAAAAGAAAAGAAAAGAAAAGAAAAGAAAAGAAAAGAAAAGAAAAGAAAAGAAAAGAAAAGAAAGCAAACTCCATGCAATGAAGAACTGTCTCATTGAAGGAAAGCCTGGAACTTATTGCCTAAAACTAAGATGTTATGGTCCCAACAAGAATATATAGTTTGTAAGGAGTGGACCTTACTGATCATAAATCTCCTGATTTGCAGATGGAAACCAGGTACATATGCTACCAGCCTACCTACAAGAAAGGTGTATCTTTGTCTTGTAATACAGGATTTTTTAAAGTCATATTAATTTATTTAATCAATTCATAAATTTCATACACCCTTTAATTGTAAAAAGCGGTTTACAGAAAGAAAAAAATAAAATCAAGAAAAAATCACAATCCTGCTTTGAGTGACACATTAACAGAAGGGGGATTTTAGGAACAAAGGAGGACAATGATCATAATTGGAGGAGGGGAAGAGGAGAGAGCAGGGGAACATGGTGCTCTCCAGATTTCTGGCCTACAGTTCCCATCTTCCTTGACTGTAGGCCATGTTGGCTGAGGCTGATGGAAGCTGGAGGCCAATGACATCAGGAGGGCCATAAGTGTATAGCACTGTGTGTTACATCCAGGAGTCATGCTGCCAAGCACTTAATTGCATTTCAATTTTACGAAGAGCTTCCTAATCATGTGCAGCAATGCTTGCAATTCCGCTCACATTATATTGGCACCCTTTGAATGCAATATAGTGCTTCGTGATGCAACGACAAGGATGCCAACCCACCAGTTCAAGTGGAATAATGACATAATTCTGCCCATATGCTCCATTTATTCCCAAGGACCCTTTTTAGCATATGTGCCCTACGCAGATTTTTCATCTTTCAGTGCCACTGATTACCATAACTGGAAAACAATTGTGCCAGGTGGTGTAAAGCTGAATCTAATAATATTTCTCTTGAATGATTTTTGTCCACATGCAGGCTATGACCTGCTATCAGAAAGGAATACTCCCAAACCTTGTACCTAGGCCAGATTAGCTAAGAACTTGCTGGGAAAGGGATTGCTTTCCCTTCTGTTCAAGGGCAGACTTGGGGAATATTTTACAATATGAGCCCAAAATTGGCACCCCCCCAAATGGATCTTCTCAGTTATGGAGCTTATCAAGTTTGCATGCCCTGTACTGGTGAACAACCCACACCACCCTAAATCTGATGTTGTTCTGTTTTGTTTGCTTTGTTGCTCTGGAAATATTTGCTCTGTAGACACCTCCTGCAGTTCATTTGCTTCCTAATTTACCTATTATGATCTGGATTGCCTAAGTCAGCCTTCCACAGCAAAGTGTTTTCCAGATGCTTCTTAGGGTCCCACCTCCACCCACCCTGATGATTGGCAATGCTGGCTGGGGCTGATGGGGAGCTGCAATTCAACAACATCTGAAGTGCACCAGCTTGGTAAAGATTGAAAATAGACTGATGATAGGAAAGGACTCACAACAGTGGTGGTAACGGAGAAGGAAATGGAATTTCAACTCAATGAATACTTGATTTCATTTATGGATGAAAAGAAGAGCAAAAGTAGCAATACACCGTTTGAATTATAGACAGCTGCTTTCACTTAAAACTAAAATTGATGTACAAAATACAGCTTAAATGAATTATAGAACATTAACATCTCATCTTGATAGCCAGAAAGCACATTTACTAACCACCATGATCAATATCATGACATGTCAATGCAATGCCCTACAAAACAAAAACATAACCAAAACTATCAATATTGGGCTGACTGAGAGTTAATTTGATGCCACACACAAATTCATCCCAATTCACTCTCTCTAGTACAGTATCCAATGAAAGCATTCAATCGATTGAATAAAATCTATCAAGCAAATGATTTATGTTGTCATTGCAGAAATTAATAAATCATTTGCAAGTCCAATAGTCCCCAACTTTCATTTCAGGGTGAGCCACTGAAAATTGCCATTTCCCTGCCAAATAAATTGATGAAGCCTTATTTATAGGCACCTAATCCACTTACATTTCCTTCATGATTGGGGCAGGAGAGTGGCTTCCCTGCAGCAACAGCTGTGACAGTCTCCAAGATGGAAGACTCCTCAATGCTATTGTCTGGAGTTCGCTGCAGGACATCCATCAGGTTGGTGATGAAGAAGTTGTTCTGAAGAGCAGAAACCCCTTTCTCTGGCAAGATGGACGTTTGGCGGCACACTGGGCAAGAAAGGGTTAAGCTGTGGGCTGGAATGTAATTCTGTAGGCACCTAATGAGGATGGTAAAAAGATAAGCCAGTATCAAAAGCAAAAAGTAAACTGTGCTGTTTGCGATTTCCTAGTAGGAGAATAGAAGAGTAATCATGAACACAGCTTTACTTTTTCACATTTTGCAACTCATATCAAGAGGGAAGAACAAAACACTCTGACAGCCTTCCCAACATGTTGCCCTCCAGAAGTTATTGGATCCCAACTCCCATCAGGCCCAGCCAGCTTGGCCAATGGATTGGAGTTGTAGTACAGCAACATCTGGACAGCCACAGGTGGGAGTGAGCGCTAGGGGGTTCTACCTAAATAAAAAGGCAATGATGTAGTGAGATGACTGGAGACGGTCTAAACCATAGCTGTCAAGCGTCCCTTATTTGGCGGGACAGTCCCTTATCCCAGCGCCATGTCCCGCTGCTGTCCCTTATTGATGAGGCTTCATTTGGCTGCTGGCTGGGCTTTCTGCCTTTGGCTCAAAGGGGCTCAGAAGTTGAACATACCTGTGCCCGGAAAATCCCTTATTTTGGCTGCTGATCCCTTATTTTTGAGGCTGCTGATCCCTTATTTTCAAATCTGTAAGTTGACAGCTATGGTCTAAACCGCAGAAAAGATGGGAAGGATTTAGTACAAGAAGAAGAGACTGCCTCAAAACAGCAACTTTTTCCAGAGAGCAGATTTTGGTATGACAGAAGCTTTGTTTCTTGCGGTGTACCCACTCATTCTTATTAGGACACTGTCATCTGTGGCTTATATCTATACACCACCTAAATCTGCACAATCTGAGAACAGAGATAGTAGTAGATAAGCGTGCAGAAAACAAGCAATGCATTTTAAACGCTCCTTTAAAAAACACGAATAATTATGACTCCTGTGGACAGCCTTAGCTTCTGCTCACAGGAATTACTTCCTGACCCTACAGTCTTGCGCTGTGAAGAGTGCTCTTCTCCACAACCATTATAGGTTACAAGAGCATCTTTTCATCTGCTTGTTCTCATGCTCTGCTCCAAAGCTTGGGGGGAAACACTGCAACATATCACTTGCCATTTTCATCTTACATTAATAAAAGCAACAACAGCATTATGGCTATTCAAATTGTTTTCCAGGCTCCACGTCACAGGATGATGAACCATTCTGGAGGGTTATTCTTACAGTCACCTTAGCTTTTGTGAGGGAAAAGCCCAGCCTTTACTGACTTCTAAGTGCTGCAGCCCGTGGTGAGGCAATTATGTGCATCTGTCACCACAGGCTGTTTTAAGCCCAGGTTTGGCTTTGGGCCCATCACTCTGAGCATTTGCACTAGCGTGCCAAAAGATGAATCCAGACAAAAATCAGCCCATGGCGGCAAATGCATATGACTACCTTTCAGGCTGAAGCGGATTCTAATGTAATACACCAAGAAAACCTGAGCTCTTTTCTAAAATGTATAGAAAGATAAGGGTCATTAGCAGCGCTGCATTCGAAACATTAAAAAAGAACAAAGCAAATGCTTATGGAACATGGTAGACTAAGCAGTTTAACAAAATGAAAACAGACAAACCATGAAAAGCCAAAAGCAGAAATGGTGGAAATGTCGTTTCCACTTTCAGACAGCGCTGCAGCCTTTTTTTAAATGATAAGGCTTCTCTGCTTCTTTTCCTGTTAAGGAAACGCAATGTAGGGGAAAATGCCACCGGTTCAAGTCCTGCATATCTTCTAGCTGCAACCTGGTGCCCTCCATATGTTGTTGGATTACATTTTCCATCAGCCCCAGGCAGCAAGGCCATGCCAGCTGGGACTGATAGGAGTTGTAGGCCAAAGTCCTGAATCATCTAATCTCTGGCACTTTATGTTCAGATATTGCATCCTTCAGTTCTGAACGTGTTCCACTTGGAACCAAGCTCTACTCATGCTGAAGAAATCTACTTTTAAGCTAAATGGGCTAAGTTTCATTGCCTAAATTCAGATCAAATATCCCAGTAAGAAATTATTGCTACCACCCTTTTATGTGTAATTGTATTGCTGACATGGAAGGCCATACCTTAAAAATAAAAACAGGCTGAACATTCACAATAAAGACAGAACTGTTTACCAAAAGAGCACAGATTACTTTTGCAATACAGAAATATCTGAATCCTGTCTTTCTTCTTATAAATCAAAATGAGCCCAGGGGCATTTTACCTTCCTACTCATTAAGTTTTATATTTCAGGAGAACTTGTTGACTGGATTGAGGGGTTCATTGAATTAACAGTGTAACTCTAGACATCTGGGAACAGATCACTGTGGCAATCCAGACAGACAAGCCAGCTGTAATGCACTTTTGGTTGGGGGAAACAGAAACCATCCTCTTACCTCTCACAGAAAGTGTGCAGACAGGGGAGTACTTTGGGATTCTTGTAACGGTCCAGGCATATGCTGCAGATCAGAAATTGTTTGTCAATCTGACGCACCACAGGACTTGGGATGTTGGCGCCTTCACTGGCCATCCTAGACCACTGACATGTGGGTCCTGTTCTCTTTTGCCCTGCACGCTGCTGAAAGGTTCAAGCAAACAACAGCATTTTAGAAGCTGTGGGGAATTGACTTCCTGTTAACAATGGATCCCAGTGGGTTTCATCCCGATTCAAGATTTATAAGAAGGCAGTGCGTAGTGCTTGGAAATGCTACACTAGAAATACTTGCTTTAAAAGCATCTGGGCAGATTGCCAAGGCAAAAAAACTACTACAATGCATTAGCTTCTAAAATTCATTCTTTATATTTATATCCTGTTCCCACTATCTTCCCATCCAAGAACTGACAAGGCTAAAACCTGGCCATACTTTTGAGATATCGAGTATTAGAAAAAGGGTGCCCTAACCAACTGAACATGCTTTCAGATTGGATGGGTGTACATTTCTAATGCTATAGAATGAGCATAGGTCACTGGTGGAGCACATGAGTTGCATAGAGTAGGTTGGATTTCTGCCATCACCACTTGAAAGAATCGGATAACATGTGGTGCAAAATACACCTCTCTGTTTTTGACCTTCCCATATTTCTAAGACTCTCTCACCAATATAATATTGCATACATCATCGGCTACAGCTGTACACCAGTGGCTGGCCATGCTGTTAGACCTCATAGCCTGCAGTTAATAGGAAGAACATAGTAGTCGGACCATCTATATCAGTGCAGTCTAAATCTGAAGTAAGAAACCATTTTCATGCTGAAAATCACATTACTGCCGCTGTAGAATGTATTTGAGGGCCACATTCCATTAGCAGGAAGGTAAGACTCAGTCACACAGAGTTAAAACACAGATCTCTTTCTCACACAGCTTTTGCCCATGGAAACAAAGGCATATATTTGACTAAGTAACTCCATTCATATGCTATCTTTCATTTCCCCCATAAACCCTTCTTTTAGACAAAGCTAGTTAAAAATAAAGACAAAAGCTTTCCAACAGCCTTACTGCACAAAAGCCAAACAGGACACAGTAATACCAGCAGAAGAAGGTAAACATCATCTTTGCACATATGAACTGTAAGTTGTTCCTTGGATTTATGGAAAGCCTCAAACTTCAAAATGCAATTGCATCTCAAAAATTGCATGCCTGCAATTACAAAGCATCAATTGCAAACCACATAAATATTTCATTTCCATTCTACAGCAAGTGCAATTAAGCAAAATAGGCATAATACATATAGAACCTAACAAGATATATAATGCTTTTCAACAAAGACAACATAAATTCCCTATACCAGCTAGTGGTTAGCATGTTGAACTAGGAATGGAGAGAGAGATGGGTTCAAACCTCTACTCAGCCATCAAGCTGACTGGACAGCCGTTACCTCTTAGCCCCAGGGGTGGCTAACCTCTTGATGTTGTTGGACATGTTGTAAGTCCCATCAGACCCAGCCAGCATGGCCAATAATCGGGGATGATGGGAGTTGTAGTCCAAGAGCAGCTGGAGGATCACAGGTTAGCAAGGGGAAACCACATATGCCACTCTGAGCTATTGGAAGAGCAAGATAACAACAACAACAACAACAACAATAATAATTTATTATTTATTATTTATACCCCACACATCTGGCTGGGCTTCCCCAGCCACTCTGGGCGGCTTCCAAAAAAATATTAAAATACTATAATACATCAAACATTAAAAGCTTCCCTAAACAGGGCTGCCTTCAGATGTCTTCTAAAAGTCTGGTAGTTGTTGTTCATAGTCCTCAAATAGAGGACATATCAGATATTAAACTGATAAGAACAGATACTACACTTGATCTCATCCAAAAGGCCGAGAAGCGATAGAAATGGAATAAATATTTTTTTGCCTGTGCACAGAAACCAACACCTTTTACTATTTCCTTCTTCCTAAGTCACATTCAGGTTTTGTTTTAGCTGCAGTTGAAAAACTTGAGTAGGGAAATGAATGGATGCACATGCACCAGCCACACCCCCAAAGTCCCCATTGACTCAGCTTTTGACCTTTCCACAATCAGCTTCACCATACAGCGTAGGTTTTCATGCACATTCAACTGAATTACTTAGGAGCCTCCCTCCAGGGAACCCTGAGAACATAGAGCTACCGATTAGAAGGATGCTTTTAAGCACACGCACCCAAACATGCCCAGAATCCTCTTTCAGACTTGAATGGATTTGACTGGGTGGAGACGTTCAAACTGTTCAAGTCTAGTGACTAGGGTGTTTGTTAATGTCTTGTTCTTATTACACAAAGAGGATATTATACAGTATTAGGCCTCCTACTATGCTGCTGTTGGGGTCTGCGAATATTCTGATACCCAAGGTCCCAGTCCAGATAAGATTTATACATACTTAGTCATGTATGTAAAAGGAGGAAGATAAAAGACAAAAGAGTTACAAGTGTTGCTTTGTTCTCTGGGCAAGGAACTCTAAAAGGTTCCCACATCCCCACTTAAATTTCTACCGGATAGCCCCCTCCTAAGCATGTTTAACAAATAATAATAATAAGTTCAGCCTGGTTAATGGGGCTTACTCCCAAGTAAATAGGTGTAAGAATACAGAAAGCGAGTTGCTAATAGCTACACAATGGCTGCATCCTCCAAACAGGGTGTGTGAGAGAAGCCATGAGCTCAAACACTCCTTCCTGCCCTGACACATGTGGCTTAATAGGCAACTTCCAGGTCTAATCAAAACATAGTTGTGCATCTTATCAACACTACAAAAATATGGTTTGAGCAAGCTCTGGTTTGGAGGATCATCTGAATGCAGTGAGAGAGACCATGGATTGCACAAACTAGAACCCATGTCTCCTTGTCCCAATAAGTCTTTCTACTGTCTATAACAGATTGGTTCTGTTTGCTGAAACTCATCTTAATGAACTTCATATGATAAAGCAGGTAAGTTTTATGTTCAGAACACAATTTATTTTTCCGGATGTTGCACAGATTCACCTGAACAGCACATACTGTACATAATGTAGTATGTTGCAGAGGTGGAATAAATTTGGATTTAAAGGGCTCTGTAACAAGGAAGGTTTATAAACTGTGCTAAAAATTTAGTGCAAAGCTATAAAAAGACAAGCTGTTATCTTTAAGTTGGGAAGCAAGTTCTTTTCATCCATTTTTAAGACGGGCAGAAGGGGTGACACGTGCACTCTCTGGATGAACAAACCTACAAAAATTCTCACCACTGACTAAATAAATGCCTGCAGAGAAAACAAAAAACCAAATCCAGAGTTCAAGCTTTAAATACCTAGCAGCTTTTGATGAGAGATCAATCCTTGCATCAAGCAGCCTCTCATAAAAATGACATCATCATCATCATTCCTTCTTGCAGGTTTCTAATTATAAAAGATGTACAAAGCAGTGCCCAATTTCTAATCAAAATGGTCTTTAAGAAACACAGCATATGCGTGTGCACATATTGCAAGAACACTAATAGTAAATGTATATCAAGAGAGAAAGAAGGGAAGAAAGAAATCAGTAGTGTGCGCAGCCACACCCATCTGAAACAAAACTCCTAATAAAATAAACCATTTTGAGCTTTAAAGAGAAATATTTTATTGAGTTTTGATAAACATACTTATCTCAGAATTATGGCTTTACACAATGAAAGTATAAAGAAGATTAAGGGCAGCCTGTTCAATAGGTATAGGATTTTCAAATAAAGGCAGTGCTCCACCCAACCAGAGCTGTGATTAGACTCTGAAAGATCAGTCTGAATCGCCTACGACTTATCAATGGTGAGCACAACCCAGAGGGTCTAAGCCATGCATTATGAATGAATAGGTTTCCAGTAGCAACGTTTGCAATGGAACTCGCAAGCTCCAGAACTGCAGGCAAGGGTGGGACTCCTGCTATATAAATGCTGCTTCAAAGACAGGATAAGCTTTAGGTAGAATTACTCAAGCACAGCACGGCAAACCCAAACCAGAGAGACAAGGCTATAAAAACAGTCTGTTTCCTCTCAGAATCAATTATATATTCAAATGATTATTATTATTAATCATCATCATCATGAAGTAAGACTATCTTGTACATATGCACACGCCCCTCCACATTTTTGCTTTCTCTGCTTTCTCACATTGTTTTTAAAACCATCTTGCTCACATATGGTTTAAATAACTTTTCTAGCCTTAAAGCATGCATCATCACCATCATCATCATTATGTAAAGCAAGGAGCTGCAATGGGGGATGGGAGCAAAAAGGCATAGCGTTACTAGCCACCAGGCACAATACTGAACAAACAAATGTTCGAGACGTACCCATCTTCACGAAAAGGAGCTTAAATCAATGCACTGCCAAGTGAAAAAAGGAAAAAGCCTTTCCAGGATGGAGTTGTGTCCTGCAGTCGTCCAAATGAGCCAACCATAATTACAGTGATGTATCACATCTGAAAGCCTCACGTGTGGAACTGTTAGAGAATTCCTGTTAGCCGTTACTAGAGACGCAGCGTTATTTTCTTGCTTAAGCTAACAATGCTCCACCACTCCATGGAGAGAATCCTGGAAGTAATAAAAGGAGGCCCAGCCAAGCAGTCATTAATTTCCCTCCCCCTACTCTCCGGGTCACTGACAAAGTGGGAGACACCCCCCCCACCACACACCCCGTAAGGATTCCAGCCAATCAATCTTTATTTAGTACATCTTTCTCACTCAACCCGTAGCTGAAAGACTGCAGCAAACCGTGCAAGGGATTGTGGGATAGGGATGCAGCATAGAGCTGCAATGAGATTTGCCGGGTGGATTTTTTCCTTCTTCCTCTTTTCTAGTCAGCAATCAGCTGTTTCAGGGCTCAGATGCTGGATATGGTCTATACAGAATGCTATTACAGGATTAGCAGGCAGGGAAAGCTACCATTCTGGTTCGGCAGCAAAAAACACACGTAAGTATTTTTCTCTCAACACTGAAGTATAGATCCAGTACTGATGCTCTGATTCAACACACATTTATTTGGAAGGAAGTGTTATTGGTTTTTAATGAAATGTAATCAATGAAAATGAGAGAAGGAGAAATCTCTAATTGGTGTCTTCCTGCTGCTCATATTTTTATGTCATCACCCTCATGTTTAATGCGATAATCCTTTTGTATCTGCTTAATGTGTAATGTGCAGAATGAGATGAGGTCGCCATCTGCCCCAAAGTGTACTAAGTTTCTAAGTACCAGAACCATCCCCTGAAATCACCTAATATTTCTCAACTCAGAGAAAGCGAATAAGACTTGAGTCTATTCAACTTCATCATAAAGTTGTTGTTGTTGTTGTTGTTGTTGTTGTTGTTGTTGTTATTAATATTAATATTATTAAGTTATGCACAGGTTGCCTCGTCTCAGGACCCCAAATTTAAGTAGCCTAATTTGAACACAAAATATTTGCCAATTATAAAAAAAGCATTTTTTAAAGTTCCTTTTGGCAAGTACTCAACCAAATTGAGCAAGGAAAACAGAAACAGTGAGTTGTATCCAAGGCTATATGAAATTTCAAGAATGAAGTGGGACTTTCATTTCCTCACCTACTTTTGTGCATCTCAGATTTGCTTCCCCAATTTCTAGCCTGTGGGTCTAATGAGGCAGTTTTCCAAATTACTGAAACCTGTGGCACTAGGTGTGAGGGTGGTTAGGAGATGGCTACAAAGTTGGGAGATTAAAATGAGCTCCCAATTGTTCTCTTGCAAGGTGCACTCACTGACAGCAAGTTCCAATGGGAACTCCCTAATGCATGAGTGGGCAAACTAAGGTGCGGGGCTGGATCTGGCCCAATTGCCTTCTAAATCCGACCCATGGACAGTCCGGGAATCAGCGTGTTTTTTACAGGAGTAGAATGTGTCCTTGGTTAAAGCTTGGTTTCTTGGAGGCCTTTTGAAACCAGTAACTATATTTGCCTTTCAAGTATAAGCATTTTGTTACAAAATAATTAAAATTTGGTCCTTAAATACATAGAATCTCTCTCTCTCACACACACACAATTAATCTTGGTTGGGCCACACATTCTTTCATTTATTTAGCAGGCACAATTAGAATTATTCACACAATATTAGTGACTATGTTCTAGCTCCAAAGAAAAAAGAAATGAAACCACACACCCCACAACCACCAATACATATACACTGATTGTTTAGGCATGCTTTTCTCAAGTTCAGGGATTTGCCTTCCTGCAGGAGGACTCTGCTGGAATACTGAATGTGCTTTGCATCCCACACAACTAGAAGGGATTCCAGAAGCATATGGCTAGTGAGAACTAATCCCATTTAGGGTTACACCATCAACTTGGGTGATGAGCTGGGTGCACAGATCAGGAAAGAAAGTTGCTATGTAAGGATTGAACAGACCATTCACAATAAGTGTTTCTATTCCTAAAGCTGGGGGAGAGGAAGAGGGATATTCAAAAATCTCCCTCCTGCCCTATTCCTTCCAGCAATATTCAGCAATCTTCCTAGCTCTGTGAATTATTTGTGGACATACCAAACAGTGAAGCATCCCGCTAGGCAGAAAATCATTGCATAAAGTTTGAAACACCAAGTTTTGGCATGGTAGCAAGACTTGCGTGGCCTTCTGAAAATGCTTGTTTGTAAAGCATTTTGAGTTGCCTAATGACATATGCTTTGACCCAAAATACCTAGAATGCTAGGTAATACAGTCACTTGATAGTACTGAGAGTTCAAAGAACAGTTCCTTGAGTAGCATACTACCAAGTGGAAAATAAGGGTTGGGAAAATTCTTCTTCTCTGGCGATCACTCGTAGCCGAGTAAGATTGTCTTCCATAAACACGGTTTTAACAAGGAGTCTGTAAGTGACTGTGGAGGCCAATTCTGGATCCACACGTCCTTCCACAATGGGGACATTGGTTTCTGGGTGGGAGTTGATCACAGTGTGGATTTGCCAAGCGTGCCTTCCTCTTAGCATGTTTCTCCCTTGCTTCCTGAGTTCAAGTGTCTTCAAAGCCCATGACACCTTTGCTAAAGGCTGTTCTCCAACTGGAGCGCTCACAGGCAATCTTAATTTGGACCCATGTCAAAGACCAAATAATTTTCATTACATGTTACATTAGTGCTCTGGAACTTTCAAAAACAGCAAGGCACAATGAACTAGTTAAGGCAACCCAGATTCCAACGTTACGGCAAAAGGCCAACAGCAGTCATTAAAAATAGGACTCTTCAACTCCACTCCACATGAATGAGAGCCAACCCACCTCCCAGATGAAAACTGATACCATTAGCAAACAAGCAGCCCGAAGCTATACTACATGTCACAATTCTAAGGTTAGGCACACACTTTCTGTTTTTGTTTACTGGGTCTGTAAATTACTTCAGAGGCTAGGTCAGCAAGCAACGTAAAAGCAACAACTATTTAGTTTCTCAGTAAAGCAAAATCTAACTAGTTCTCGCTATACGTATCTTATGTATGGATATAAAATAACCAGAAGAGGTAGTCATGCCAATTATATAGGCTCCAATTCAGAGTCCAAAGTGAGATGAGAAATAAATCAGGAGGTAATTATATCTGCATCTTAAAAAGCAGAGACATCACCTTGCCAACAAAGGTCCATATAGTTAAAGCCATGGTTTTCCCAGTACTGATGTATGGAAGTGAGAGCTGGACCATAAAGAAGGCTGATCACTGAAGAATTGATGCTTTTGAATTATGGTGCTAGAGGAGACTCTTGAGAGTCCCATGGACTGCAAGAAGATCAAACCTATCCATTCTTAAGGAAATCAGCCCTGAGTGCTCACTGGAAGGACAGATCCTGAAGCTGAGGCTCCAATACTTTGGCTACCTCATGAGAAGAGAAGACTCCTGGAAAAGACCCTGATGTTGGGAAAGATGGAGGGCACAAGGAGAAGGGGATGACAGAGGACGAGATGGTTGGACAGTGTTCTCGAAGCTACAAACATGAGTCTGACCAAACTGTGGGAGGCAGTGGAAGACAGGAGTGCCTGGCGTGCTCTGGTTCATGGGGTCACGAAGAGTCGGACATGACTAAACGACTAAACCACAACAAATTATATATATTTTATGCTCTGTCATTGTGATACATGATAGTATAACATTGACAAACAATGGCATTCATTCTTGGAACAGGAGACTATTTTAATAGCAGAAAGGACGCACGGGATAATTTGTCTACAACTGGTATATTGCTCACAAACCATCACCACTATGAAGCTGACAGGCAGGATGATGGGGCAGGAAATTCAAAGTGAATTCCATGCTGCAGGTTGGAATTAAAAGGTGACTCCTGAAAAGGCAGGTGATTTACTTGACATTCAGGTAGCTTCCAACTCTACATTTCTCCAATTTGTTTTCCTGTCATGGAAAACCAGGGCAGACTATGAGCCTTTTGTCATCTGATGCCTCCCATGACATTAGAGCATCAAAGAAAGCATCATGCCTGCTTGTTTATAAACTCACCCAAGTAATACAACCAGCAGCTGGGACAGGAAGTTCTAGATACATCCTGCATATTTTGCATGTCCTGAGATTAGCCCTCGTCTTAATTTAGCTATGCTTAAAGACAACACACTGCAATAGATACACAAAAATACAGTGCTCACTCACCCAGTGTAACAATTTCTAACGCAATGCCAAGTACTATTCAGAAGGCTTTGGCAGTTTTCTTCCCTTTAGATGGCTTAGCATTAGAGCCAGAGGATTCCAGGCTTAAATTAAGACATTTGCTTTTTATTTGCCTTCACATCCATTGGGTTATTCATCATAACCACCTAGGACTCTGAATCTAACAGGTTCGGTTTACTTATTCCAGAAACCACTGTGTGCTTGGGACTGACAGTGTGAATGCACTCCAACCTCCTCTGTGCCCAAGTGTGTGCAAATGTCAATGACAGGATACAATTTCTGTACTACCTTAAGTTCTTGAAAGACAAAATAGGCTTAATCTCTGTATTTATGCCACCATATTGCTTGATTTTTCATAAAGTTTGTTGCCAAAATGTAAACCTGGCCAATAATTTTGTGAATGCTGCATTGTTCTTGTATCAGTTATTATGCCAGCTCTTCCAATCACATTTGGAAGCATTTCACTAGTAAGTGAAATGGAGATGAATTGGGCTAAAAAGGAGATAATGTGGGAAAATCTCAGGTTTAATAGTGCAACACTAACCTAGTACAGAGGTACCTCAGGTTAAGAACTTAATTCGTTCTGGAGGTCCGTTCTTAACCTGAGGTACCACTTTAGCTAATGGGGCCTCCAGCTGCCGCTGCATGATTTCTGTTCTCATCCTGAAGCAAAGTTCTTAACCTGAGGTACTATTTCTGGGTTAGCAGAGTCTGTAACCTGAAGCGTTTGTAACCTGAAGCGTCTGTAACCCGAGGTAGCACTGCATTGTATACAGTGATACCCCGGGTTAAGAACTTAATTCGTTCCAGAGGTCCGTTCTTAACCTGAAAGGGTTCTTAACCTGAGACGTGCTTTCGCTAATGGGGCCTCCTGCAGCTGCTGTGCCGCTGGCATGCAATTTCCGTTCTTATCCTTGGGCAAAGTTCTTAACCTGGAGCAACCACTTCCTGGTTAGTGGAGTTTGTAACCCGAACCATCTGTAACCCGAGGTACCACTGTACTGAAAAGGACTAGTAAGTTTAATGCAACTTGCAGCAATTGGGAATAGTGTGACTCACTTCTGAGCAAGCATGCAAAGTATAGCACAGACAGGCCCAGTTCACACACATTACTTGGTGTGGAGACGGCTGCAATGTCACTATTCCCAATCACACAAGGCGGCTGAACATGATTTCAATTTTTGTCTCTACCAATGCAAAGTAATCTCTACTCCCCACTTGCCTTTCCCAGCCAGGCAACAAGAAGAATATACCAACATGGATGCAGTGCCATAGCTACCTGGGGGAGGGGAACTAGTGGGGTTCTTTGCCCTGAGTGAATCCTCCAGAGGGACGTCATTGAGGCTCCCAGCCAGTGTGTGTGCGCAAATATGTGGGGTGTGTGCCAAACTGGGTGAAAAAGGGGTGAATTGCCCCGATGGATGCCACTGCTTGAAGGCATGCTAATCCTATGGCCAGTGCTCTTTGCCTTGCCATAAAACTCCCAGTTTTCCTTCAATCTTAGGAGCTGGGAAGGTTGTGGAGATCACCACACAACTGCCAGTGCAGCTTCCACCTACTTCTGCACCTTCAAAATTGGGGGGGGGGGGAGCTGCAGATTTACTGAAGCCTGATCATTAGACTTGACCATTAAGTTAACCCCATTCATGTGACACATGATCTTCAGTGGGAGGGGAAAAGCCAGGGGTGTCGTAAGGGGGTGGTAGCACAGTCCGCCCCAGATTTTTGCGATTGGTGTGATCGTTGTTGTGACAATCTGCTCGCTGATCACGCAAATACGCCCAGCGATCGGCCTGGCACTACCACCCCAGCAGGTGGTGCTCACATCCCCGGCGGTAGTTTTATGCGATCAGTGGTCGGATTTTTGCAATCGGTGGGCGTCACTGGCATCCCCAGCGGTCAGTGCTTGTACCCATGGCTGGTGGCACTGACACGGTTTTATGTGATCGTTGGTCAGATTTGTGCAATCTGCGGGCATATCTGTTTCGCGACCAACGCTCCCTAAAAAAAGGTCAACAGCTTTGGGACACCCTCCCTTTAAAAAGCCCAAAAATTGCAATTGGGGGGACACAAAAAAAAAAATTCACACTGGGTACCACCTGACCTTGCTACGCCTCTGGGAGAAGCAGCCATGATACAGCTGAAAACAGTATCTGGACTAGGCCTCACTCCCTATTAAATGTACATAAATAGACCTTCCTGAAACCATCCAACCCCACCCCATGTTTCATTCTCTTCTAGTAACTTGGGCTTTCATTGTGTGCACTGAAAGTAAGAAACCAAAAGTGATTTCCAAAGTTGTGTAAACAGGAGAAGCAGACTGTGATAAGCATATCCACCTCCTAGTTTGGCTCCCAAGGATGGGTAATTATTTGGCTTGATAAAAGGAAGCATTCCTGTGATAAGCAATTGCATAGCAATGCACCACAGTAGTTTCACACATTCTTTATAGCAAGCAATAATGACACTCGTCATAACAATCGCTTAACCTTTACATCTGGCCGGATAAGACAGCTCCACCCCCCACTGCAATCTCAAATGAGCCTAAGTTTTCTAAAGGCCTAGTCTTTGTAAGTTGCTTATAAGGTTACATTTTGGCTAAACAAAAAAACTGCACAGTTGTTGTTTTTTAAAAAAACCCTCACAGGTCCCTAGTACATTACAAATTATATTAACTGTTAACTGTGAATATCAGAAACTTGGGGATTCTCACCCACTGACTTCCCCTGATTCAAGTATTGTCAACATTCAGCGAATGCCAACAGTTTCCAGTTGCCATCTGCAATAATATTACCGCCTGTACAATAAGGTTAACACAAGCAATTAATTTACAAATGTCATTAAGACTATGTAATGTGATCACAGATTTTTTTTAAAAAAACCTCTGATCCAAACACATGAGAACACCAAAACCTTCTTTCCCCACCTCTCTGTTATTTCCATCATGTATGCCTATAATCCTATTATGTGCTTATCATTTGAGATCCAAACACCTAGCCTAAGTAATAAGGTGTTATTGAATAACTGTACAAAGACAAAAGCAGATCAAACACCTTTAAATAAAGTCACTACTTCCACACTCAGCAGACAAGGAACCATTTCCTAACATTTAAAATGCAATAAACATTTTTTAAAAAAATAAAAATAAAAAACCTTGCACTTCCAGTTTGCTGACTTACCTTATCTGTTGAACATCTTCTTTCCACCAAAAGAAATAGAAGGGGGGTTACCACGCTTGGGTTTGGTTTAAAAACACGCACAACAGGAAACAAGAAATGATGAACAAACTTTAAAAGAGTTGTTTAAAAGCAATAATGTTTTTTCTCCTGGAAAATCTGAGTACATTCTCTTTTAATAAGGACACTTTTCCACATTTCACAAGCAAGAAGCCTGGCATTGAGCCAGGATTTTTAAAAATAAAAATAAAAATAAATCAGGAAATATTTGTTTTCTTTCTCATGGCTCTTCCAGCTTACAGAGCATCCCACAATCTCTTCCGGCAGCCAGACAACTCCTGACATACAGAACTGGGCAAAAGTCCTTTTTCCTTTTTGTAATTGTCAAGCTGGTATTCTGTTCTCTCAAGCTGCAATGACTGAAATTCTAAAATAGATGTTCTGAAGGCAAAAAGCTATCAAAATGCCAGCTGTTGACCTCACACACGGCCAACACCCTCTCCTCTCAAAACAAACTTGGGGGGAGGGGCACTGTGCTCCCTCCCTCCCTCCCTCCCTCTCCCTCCCTCCATCTCTCATCTTTCACACTTCTGCATCAACACAGCAGAATTGCTGTTAAGAACACAATTCTGCTGAGATTTCTAACACTTCAACAGAAGCTTCGTAATGAAAATTAATGCAAGGAGTTGTAGTAAAACTTAACCAGTAAAAAAAAAAACCCAGTAAGAACTTCCTTCCAAATACCATTGCTCCACTATTCCATGGTGGATATACGGAATGTTGCGACATTATCTCAAAATTCTACAAATTAAAAGGCTGCCACCACTTTCGACGTGCACCAGTGATGTAGTGAAAATGGAAAAGGAGAAAAAGCAAACAATATGGGTAAAATTTATTTACTCAGAGTTCTTCTAGCGGTAGAATTTATTGCGTTAAGCATCCAGACCATTCACACACCAGTTCTTCGTGAACTATCAGGAACACAAAGGCACATTCTATCCGGTTGTCAGTAGAATTTCACAAGTTTAAGTACATGTCCGTTTCAAACCTGCATTTCTTTAAAAAGAAAACCACATTGTTTCGAAAGAAGACTGCATGTTTAGCTGACTGCCAGGGAAATATATCTTAGAATTTCAGCAGTGCACCTTGAAAGCAGCATTAGATCTCACCAGTGCCAATGAATATATTCCTACAACCAGACCCAATACAGATTCACAGCCTGTCTCCAGTTTTGTATCAGTATGCAAGTCTCTATGCCTGGCAAACCATGCTTGGGGAGGGGCAGGAGGGAACTGGAAGAACAAATGAAATTCATGCTGAGAGGGATCAAGTGCATGGCCTACACACCACGTTTCAAACTGGTCAAAATGCCAGGATGACAGAAGCTTACTCAGAAAGCTAAATCCCGCACACCCTCCAGCCCGGCTCCAGCTGACCTGATTCATAGTCTGATGTAATCACAGAGGAGAGAGTGAAGCTTGCAAACACCACATCCCCTTAGCTGCAGATCATACAATTCACTGCAATGACACCAGCTGACCCAGGTGGGGCGTTAGGACTGTCACAGGCAGCCCTGTCACAATATTATTCCTTCCAGCTGGCCTGGCACATGCAGACCCAACATAATTGTACAGAATTTTGACACAGTTCAGTCAGTTTCTACGTGGAGATTTGCATGCAGATGTGTAGAAAGCGACCAAACAAGACACACACACACAGAAAGTGAAGCATGTCCACTTTCTAACCAGACAGGGGCTTCGTGCAGATCTTTGTGCTGCCATCTGCTAGTCCAAACCGCAGATCATGGACTGGCAGAATAAACACAGGTGGCCCGGCTCAAATCAGCAACTGTAGCTCAAAGCCCATCAGATTAGTTTGCATTCCAACCCCTCCCGATTTAACTCTACAGCACCAAATTAGCGCATTATCTGTCATCTGAGTGCAGTAGTGAAACTGGAAGCAAACAATGGCTTTGCAATCTCAGTTTATTCCTTGCACACACCCTCAGTGCGGTTCTGAATGAGCCCAGGATTAGCTTTTCCTAACTTTATATACTCATACCAGGAGTCATAAGAGTTATCCTTGTTATTTGCCATGCTTTCCTATTTTTCATCTGAAGAGCCCAATTCACACATGCACATAAACAGCACCCCATCACACCATTACTCTTACAGCACCATCCACTAGACATTTACTCAAAAGTAAGCCATTTAGTTCTATGAGTCTTCCACCTAAGAACCTGGGTACAGAATTGCAGCTTCATTGTCTCAACACAGGAAGTGCTTTCATTGAAAAGTACTGTCTTCAAGATATTATGAGGCAATATGGATGCCCTCCAATATGGTGTCTGATTTATGAGAGTCTTATCACACATCATCAGTTGATAGTCAATGAAGACTGGGTAGGCACGTTCTTAACTATGTGCCCAGACATAATCAAGTTTTTTAAAATTATTTTTAAGCTATACTCTTTTATGCCTTGAACACTATTCTAAATATAGCTCACACAACTGCAGATTATTCTAGTGAAAGAAAATCTCTCTTGCCAATCCTAAATATCACCAAGGAGCAGAGAAAAGGACAGGAGAAGATATAAAGAGGAAGGAAGGGTAAGGATAAAGGCATTCCTCCCTGGGCTGCCAACTCATCCTTGACAGGGTAGCGATAATTTAGAAGCCGGGTTATAGGTCGTTCACATATATAAGGCCATCCAGAGTTCTGTTTGGATACCTGGAAGATGTCAAACTACAGATGTTAGGTTGGATCAGAGGATCACTCTTAGTACATCCTATTTTAAGGAATGAAATGAAATGAAATGAAATGAAATGAAATGTGTGTGTGTGTGTGTGTGTGTGTGTGTGTGTGGTTATATGAGCCACTAGCAGTTTCTGATTACTGTATGTACAACAAAAGCTTGCTGAAAGCAGCCATAACTTCAGTAAAAGGATATAAAGGAAATGGGCTTGCTTTTCTGACCTCCATCTGGGCATGATGCAGCAGCTTCGGTGGCTAATATAGGAAGGATTTTCATCCCAACTCGTCATCATCATCATTTTATTAGTATGCCACCTTTCCATAGTTAAAACCACACATGTCTCCACAGGCCAAAAGGATTGTAATCAAGATAACAGTGAAAGCAGCATTAAGGGGCAAATCCACTTGGCTGACCTACTCCTGAAAGACACTGCAGAGAACATCTTTAGAAGGGAACTCCTTTTGACTAAGGAAAGTATTTTCCACCCAGCACACCCTCACACTGACACTGGGAACCCAGAAAAGTAGACAACACTTTGGTGCCAGTGCTGCAGAGGTGACACAGAGAATTGCAGGAGATGGAAAAGTTGACATTTTCCTCCAAAGCTTCAGGACAGGGGTGCCTCGGTGCCCTTCAGATACTTTGGACCCCAACTCCCGTCAGCCTCTGCCCTTGTGGCCAAAAGTCAGCAAAGGTGGGAACTGTTGTCCAAAACATCTAGAAGGCATCACATTGCCTACCCCTGCTTTAGGGCTTTCTATCAGATTAGCAGAGAGAGAGAGGTGTGCTTTAGGCAAATTTCCCAGGTGATATGTAGACCCATTTTTGCATTTCCCACATGTACTAAATTGTGATAGTAAAGGTAAAGGGACCCCTGACCATTAGGTCCAGTTGTGGCCGACTCTGGGGTTGCGGCTCTCATCTCACTTTATTGGCCGAAGGAGCCGGCATACAGCTTCCGGGTCATATGGCCAGCATGACTAAGCCGCTTCTGGAGAACCAGAGCAGCACACGGAAAAGCCGTTTACCTTCCCGCCAGAGCAGTACCTATTTATCTACTTGCGCTTTGATGTGCTTTCGAACTGCTAGGTTGGCAGGAGCAGGGACCGAGCAACGGGAGCTCACCCCGTTGCAGGGATTCGAACCGCCGACCTTCTGATCAGCAAGTCCTAGGCTCTGTGGTTTAACCCACAGTGCCATCCACGTCCCACTAAATTGTGATAGCCACTTTCTATTAACAATGTTGACATTCCAGGCTAAAAGATACTAAAAAAGGATGTTCATTTATTTAAGAACAGAAAAGTGTACAGGTTTATTTGCTGGTGTGCTAACAAATAGGACTGCTGCCAATGAATTTTGAAACGATCCTTATCAGATTCTCTTTCCCTAGGTCTGTCTCCATTCTTGTCAGTATAAATGTTTAAATATATGTTGTAGTAGCTGCCGCAGTTACAGATGGCAGAGACAGAGAAAGCTCCGGTTCAACTGGCAAAGACAGCAGGACTAGATTAGGGTCAGAAACATGTGGCTCTACAGCTGTTGTTGGACCCCAGCTCCCATCAGCCTACGGTGGTCAAGCATAATGAGAATCGAGTCCAGCAACATCTGGAGGGCTGCAGAACGCCCATTCTGGCTCCAGAGGGAAAGCAACCTGGGAAATATATGTAACTTATGGTAATATGTTTTTTGGAGGAAAAATATTGTAACATGTATTAAATATTCCAACAGCTATTCCAAAATATTCCAACAAATATTGGACTAATATTACCATACATAAGTAAGTTACACCCAGAGCCTTCTTTTGGGAGATATCTCAAAACATAAGCAAAAGTTATTATAGTGGTACCTCAGGTTAAGTGCTTAATTTGTTCCGGAGGTCTGTTCTTAACCTGAAACTGTTCTTAGCCTGAAGCACCAGTTTAGCTAATGGGGCATTCTGCTTCCGCCGCACCGCTGGAGTACAATTTCTGTTCTCATCCTGAAGCAAAGTTCTTAACCCGAGGTACTATTTCTGGGTTAGCGGAGTCTGTTACCTGAAGCGTCTGTAACCTGAAGCATCTGTAACCCGAGGTACCACTGTAGTGTGTTTTCAATAAGGACTTTCTCTTTCTAAGTATCATCTGACATATTAGATACTACATAAAATATTATGAAATTGAAATGCAAGGATATTATGAAATTGAAATGCAAAGATTTCTCTGGAGAGCTCTTCCGTTTCTTTTCCTAGCAAGACTATTGTTATTCTAACACCTTCGGTGGCTGATGGAAATTCAACAGGTGATGTTTCACTCATCACTTGGAAAGCTGCAGCTATTAAATGTTAGCCTGTAAAGCAGCTGTTAAAAGCGCAGGGAACTGCCAGAACAAAAAGAGTCTGCTTTCTTGGTGGCTTCACCTGATATTTTGCATGTCTGATCGCTTTATGAAGTTTGGGTAGTTCTTTTAACCAAAGCAAACTCCCTCAGGAAATTTACTCCTTATTAGAAGAGACTGTTGGGAGGAATTTTGCAATTAAACGAAAGGCAAGGCAAGATATCAGTTGTTGAAGTTATAAAAGTTAATTACATCCCTTGCAGCCTAGGAGACGTTGTTTACCTGCTATCTCTTTATCTTCTCTATTTAGAAAACGGGGTCTTTATGATTCAGGAATTGAGTGACACTGTGCTAAAATCAGCTCCCACAACTGATACTGGTGGTAATATAGTGAAGTTTACCATTCCATCATTGGGTTTTGAGGATCCTCTTTAGAAGTACTTCATGCCTATACAATAACTTATTTAAAGTTTTCTATTAATTCTACCATTTTATCTAGAGGCTAAAATTTGTTCCATAACTTGTCCATGGAGGCTGGGGTGTTTAATTCGTTCTTCCATTCTGTGAGCCTGAAAATGCTTCAGCTGAATAGACAGACCAGTTATTCAGACACCGCAGAGCACAACCTATTTATTCCTAGAAATACATCTTGGAGAACCAACAGCACTTTTCTGAAGCATTGTATTCTACCCTACAGCATGCCTCTTTCTAAAAACATTGTTTGCAAAGAAGGGTGTTCAATATCCCACCCCCCACCTCGCATCTTGTCTTCTTTCAGATGAATTTCTGCAGCTTAATATATGTTTTAATAAGAAGCACTTAGAGGAGTATCAAGTCACAGTTATGCTTCTTAAAAAAATGTCTTAAAAGATCTTCTTCAACAAGTTTGTCTGGTTAACCTTATCCCGCAAGTTGTTCCATCTGTTTCTGTTCCTCCCCAGGATGATCTCACTCTCATTCGAGGTATGAATAGAGGAGTCCTCAGAAGCATGTCGCTGAATACAAAGTAGCTGCTGTTCAAAAGATTCAACCTTCCTTCCCAAATACACACACACACACACACACACACACACACTACTTTTTTGAATCATAAACACAAGAACTGTACTAAATAAGGATTTTCTGTAATCCTAGGATATATATATATATATTTCCTCTAAAAGGTGGGACAGTTAGGAGCTTACTTACAGGCGTTCCATTATGTCCTTCCAGGCACTGAAATTCAGCCTCTTTCGAAGAGAGGAGCCTGCTCCCTGCAGCATTCAGACAATTGGTCCCATTATAACCACCAGGAGGCTGAGTTAAAGGGCGGCCTTGCAAAAACATAAACAGCTTGTCAGCACAACCAAAGAGGCGGGACCCGTGCTATCGGGGGACAGTGCCAGCCAATGATGAGCCTCTTCGGTATCTGTTTGGTTAAGATATTGTGTTTCATTCTTAAAGAGGAGAGTGGAGCAGTGAGAAAAGCTGACAAGGAAAAACTAACTGTGCTGGGAGTGCTCACAGCTGAACAGGGCAGGGGGGAAGGAATGCTTAGACCAGGGGGAAATATGTATCAATAAGGCACTCCAGGAAAAAGCACATTTGCTGTGTGTGCCAAAAGCTCACAAGCCACCACATATTGTTTTGTTTGGTCCTGCTTTTATGTTAAATAAACACACACACACACACAGAGCAAAATTTTGGATAAATTTATCTTGCACTAAAAGCAGCATGATATAGGACCACCAAGACGATCTTGGGTTCATTTCTCTACAAAAGTCATAACCTTTCAGCTTGTCATTATTTCTCAGCCTGTTGTTGTTGTTTAGTCGTTTAGTCGTGTCCGACTCTTTGTGACTCCATGGACCAGAGCACGCCAGGCACACCAGCTTAGCCTACCTCAAAGGGCTGTTGTGGGAATAAAAAGGGGGTGAAAATGGACCCTTAATCTCAGGGTTGTGGGTTTGAGCTCCACTTTGGGTGACTGATTTCTGCACTGCAGGGGGTTAGACTAGATGTGGCCCCTTCCGACTCTACAGTTCTGTGATTCTATAAAAAGGTAAAGGTAAAGGACCCCTGGACAGCTAAGTCCAGTCAAAGGCAACTATGAGGTGGCAGCACTCATCTCGCTTTCAGGCCGAGGGAGCTGGTGTTTGTACACAGACAGCTTTCCGAGTCATGTGGCCAGCATGACTAAACCGCTTCTGGCGCAACAGAACACTGTGAAGGAAACCAGAGCGCACAGAAACGTTGTTTACCTTCCCACCACAGCGGTACCTACTTATCTACTCGCACTGGTGTGCTTTTGAACTGCTAAGTTGGCAGGAGCTGAGACAGAGCAATGGGAGCTCACTCCGTCGTAGGGATTCAAACCACCAACCTTCTGATAGGCAAGCCCAAGAGGTTCAGTGGTTTAGACCACAGTGCCACCCGCATCTGTGATTCTATACCAGGCTGAGGTCCTTGTGAAAAGGGGTGAAAATAAGTGTCTTAAATACATGGCGAGAGCTGAGGGCAAGGAGCAAGTAGAGAACCAGCCTTGAAATCTGTATAGGAGCCTTCTACACAGCTGCTTTCAGTGAAGTGGATAAGAATGAACTGTGATCCAGGGGGCTGCAGGTTCAGATTTAATGTCGTATCACAAATTCACAAGGTGGCCTTAAGCTATATGGAAGTCATATTCCTGACCTGCCTCTCAGGACTGTTGTAGTATGCATGTGAAGCAATTTGAACACTGAAGTGATGCATATTATTTTAATGGACATGGTCCTAATAATATTTTCCTGGTCAGAATGCCTTAACGAAGCAAGTATGCCATCTTGATTTCTGGCAAGGATCCCTATACCACAAGGCAAGCGGAAACTTCAGGAGCTACTGTTTTCCTTGGCATGTGGTTCCTGTATTTTTGCAGAGCATTTTAAATAATGCTAATACTAATTTCTATACCATTTACAAAGGACACAGCATACATTTGATTATGAAAGCCACGACAATCCATAGGGTTGTCCATGCATGTAACTTCAAGGGCCATTAAGAGCCAATATTTTGCTGTAGATACTGTTTACTCATATTTCTTTGTGATAAAACTGCTAAGGATATAACAGTTGCTGTTACGCTGAAATATTTTGTCCAATCAAGTTTTTAGATCATCGAAATGAGTATTCTTTAATTTCCAGATTCTCCACATGCTGTCCTCTAGTCTTTCTGTTCATACAGAACTATACATCTTCAATACTAGTCTGCTACAGAACAGCAGCAGCAGGAGGAGGAGGATTATAGGAATCTGGACCCCTTGCCAGGATTGAGTGGATACTTGGTCAGTTGCCCAGTTGCTAGCATCAGGTCTGCTACTACATTAATACTGCATACAATGGTTTAACCTGAAGCTTTACTGCAATGCAAACTAGTAAACTACAGTATTGCCTTTGACTTATAAGGTATTAAGAAGATGATGGCATTAGTCTAAGTGAAAGTACAATGGTACCTCGGGTTACAGATGCTTCAGGTTACCCAGAAATAGTACCTCAGGTTAAGAATTTGCTTCAGGATGAGAACAGAAATTGTGCAGTGGCAGCGCGGCGGCAGCAGGTGGCCCCATTAGCTAAAGTGGTGCTTCAGATTACGAACAGTTTCAGGTTAAGAACGGACCTCCGGAACTAATTAAGTTCTTAACCCGAGGTACCACTGTATTATTCAATGGCAGAAACATGGGTGTGGGAATATCTATGGCTGTGCTGGGGGGGCGGGGCGGGGGAGGCCATATGGTCCCCAGTTGGGAAACACTGCTTTAGACTGCACACTTACTCATGTAGGTAAGTCACATTGAACATAATGGTACCTACTTCCAAGAAAGTTCAGTGTCACTATGCAGGAAATGCTACAATCATTCTTAAACTACCATGTAGCACAGGGGTTAACAACGTTTTTTGAGGCCAGGCCAGTCCACTGCCTGGCAGACCTCTCGGTAGGCCAGAGCATGTGCACCTATGTGTGCCCATGCGTGCACTCAAGCTATTTTCGGCGCTCTTCCATGAGGAGCTCCCATACACATATGCACACGCTATTTCCGGCACACTTCCGGGACGGAGGAGCGCCCGTGCACACACGCTATTTCTGGCGCTCTTCCAACCCGGAAGTCGGTCCCTGCGGCGAGGGAAAAAAAAGCAGGGCATCCCCACGCCAATCCACAGAATGGCCGTGGGCCGGTTCCAGGAAGCTCATGGGCTGGAACCGGCCCATGGGCCTTAGGCTGCCGACCTCTAATGTAGCACCACAGAAATCCTGGACTGATGATGAACTATAAAAATACCATACTGCTATATGGAACAACTGTTTGGAAAAGGTGGCCTTCAGATCTAACAAACAATAATTGGGTCAAAATCCTATGAAAGACCTTGTTCTGAATGTTAAAGGGGCTTTGCTGGTGCTGTCATGCTATTAACAGAGATCACTAGTAATACAAGCTCTTGGGGGCTGACAAACAAGATCTATTTCTTCATCCAGAATATCAATACTAAAATTTAAAAGAAGCCTTTCCTTTTCCTAGGCTAACTTTCTCATACTTATATGCACTTCTCATATTCTTGAAACATGCCTATCAAATTATAAATCAAAAGTATTATCAATGATCAGCCAAACACCACCAACTATTAGGGGAGAAGGGAAGAGATCTTTCACATGTTTAATTTAGAAACATGTTCCTTTGAAGTGTTTATAATGTTTAAGCAGCGGCTACCAGTATATATTCAGAGCTTAACTGGGAAAGAAGAGGTGCACAGATATTTGCATTTGGCAAATATTTGCCATTATTCTAAAATTGCGTCAGTAACGTGGGTTTTCTGGGAAATTCTCCAGTGCAAATTGGAGTAATTTGCAGAGAGTAATTTGCATTAGGAAAAAAAATAGAATTTTTTTTATGCCCTAGAGAGCGATCTTATCTTGCATGCTTATTTTACTTGTAGTTAATAAAGATAAAAACTTTGGAACTGCCAAGCTTGCCTAACACTGTATTTGTAACATGCATCTATTCACTGTTGCCAGTAAAGATATGAAGTGGGATATTTTCTGTGGAAAATACATATCAGTGGTGGGTGGGCAGAGGCAACAGGCAGTGGAGCAACAAACATAAAATCTACCTTTGTACAGCAGGTGAGTTTCTACATCTGCCCCTTTCTATCCTTCATCCAGACAATCAGGAGAAACTATCAGATTTCAAGGATGCATTCCAGTCATGCAAAAATGGGGCGTGGACCCATTAAAGGGTGTTTGGCCTGGTGAGTGTTTTGGGGACCTGACAGAGAAGTCTGGAGGGCCACATTTGGTCCCTGGGTCTGAGGTTCTACATCTCTGAGCTAGCAAGGTAAAAACCAGAGTTTCTGAAAGTGATTTGGTGCAATCAGTTGGCGGCACTCAAACATTTCAGTAGCTGCTCTATAGCTGGGCTGTATGGTTTGTGCACATCAGATGTCCTTTCATCACTCAACCCAATTCCCATAAATTCCCAGTGCTGATAGGAGCCTGATGCTCCAGGCAGGCTTCTAATTCAACAGGTTTAACTACATAAGCAATTCGAGTTTCCCTGTATACTATACTGCAAATGTGCTACATCTTATCCCCAAGACTCAAACTTTTGTCAGATTTTATGTCTCTCCCCCGCCCCCCACTCCCTACAGAAAGGCTGTTATGCCCAACACAGAGGCAGAGCTATTATTCTGCATTTCATTCTGTCTGCTGGTGGGTGTTCTGCTTGATTATAATTGCTAAATTGATTGAAAACAAATGGTGTCCATGGAAAAGACTGGACACACCAAGTGTGGGAAAAGAGAGACTCCACTGTGTATCATTGCTTGGCGTGTCTAAGGACCAGCAATTGTTAACCACAACAATAAAACCTTTCAGCAAATATTTTGCAAAATGTCATCTGGAGTTTCTGGTACCATCCACGTGCCGTTTGTGCTCTTTATCAATTTCTCCTCAGCTGAGATTTTATTACTGCAGTGTTTGTTTGGTGGAAGCAGGCAAGCCAACAACACCAGAATGTGTTTGCATATATGCTTTGCACACACGGTAACAAAAATGGAAAACACGCTTCAAATGCTCCCTTGAAAACGCAAATAAACTGAAATAACTAGGGGCTGTTTCAAAAATTATGCTTGGGGTTTTTCCCATTTTACATCCCACCTTTCTTTCGAAGAGATAAAAATAGTGTATATAGCTCTCCCTCCCTCTCCGTATTATCCTCACAAAAATACTGTGAGGTAGGTCAGTCTGAAATATGGTGACCCAATGAGCTTCATCGTTGAGTGGGGATTTGAACCCTGGTCTCTCCCAGGAGGTCCTAGTCCAACACCTTAACCACTACACTATGATTGGATCTTCCCATGTCATTTCCTTCTCCTAAAGCAGCTGGTGGTGGGTAAGAGAGAAGAGAGAAGGCCTCTCCTCCTCCTCCTCCTCCATCATCCATAAACAGCTGATATTAGCTGTGGGCAGGAAAGCACATAGGGAAAGAGACTCAAACTTTAGAAGTTGCAAAGGGTTAAACTCTCCTTCCTATCCAAATCAGGCCCCTCTCCATGGCTTTAGGAGAACCAGGATGATCTAAGTAGGAATGTCCCACATAAAAATCTAGTTTGATGACTTGCACAGCTGAATTACAGAGGTTTTTGGAGGCAAACAGAATGGATATCTGCTGGCCAAGCCAAGAACAAATCATGACTTGCTGAACTTCAGAAGGAAAAAACCACAATTTCAGATTCAGACAAAAAAACAAACAAACCAAGTCTTCAAGGTTTGTGCTGGTCCGGGGTTGAGAGGAGAAGGGATCAAAGCAGGAATGATCAGACAGTGCGCAGTAGCATGTTATTCAAACCCAAAGAGCTATTAAACATGGCTTGTTGCTATGTAAGAACTGAGCCATGGCCTCCTTTTCGAGATATGCTCTCTCCCATCATCAGCATAGCAGATCAGGTAGCGGAAGCTGCTCTAGAAATGAAACCTGGGAGGAAGAATGAAGATCCACATTAGAACCTAACTTGCCAGGCCAATTTTCTCAGGTGCAGAGTGTTAGGAAACTCTAGCTCAGTTGAGCAGGTCACCAAACTATGTTACATGGGACACCAGTAGCTGGCTCACCCCACATCAATTCTTCTCATAATACAGCCAATTGGAATTGGGGCTGTGGGAGAGGAAGGACTAACCTCAGCCTTCCCCAAACAGGGGCCCTCAATACATTTTGGAGTACCAGTATGTTGAATGATCAACGATGATGGGGACTGAGATCCAAACCATCTGGAAGGCCTAAAGGTCCCCATCCCTGTTAGGAACATAGGAAGCTGCCTTATGCTAACTCAAGCCAATGGTCCATCTAGCCCAGTACTGTCTGCACTGAACGGCAGCAGCTCTCTGAGGTTTTCTCCCAGCCCTACCTGGAGAGTCAACATGGGACCTACCACCATGCACAACAGATACCCTACTACTGAGCTATGATTTTTCTTCTAATCCCTATTCCAGAGGCTTAAACAGTGTGAGAGTTTTTGAAAACAGGTTTAGGCCCTTTGGGGATGTTATGAAGTAAACAAAGCGTAAAACAAAGAAAAACTGTGCATTCCTGTTTGCCTCAAGGGTGCTCGCCTAGGGTGCATTGAGACATGGGGTTATTGCATTTTTCTTCCTGATTATAATGCAAACAGTTCTATGTTCCTTTTACACTGCATTATCTGTTGTATTATGGAACTGTGGCTTTTGATCGACATGCCACCACATTGCGCTAAATTTTAAAATGGCAGGGAAGACATGTATTCCACGTACACCCAAAATTTTGTTAGGTGAAATTACAATGCAAAACTCTTGCAATTTTCCGCAAGCAAATAACACAGAAATTAGTGCTAAACTTCAGATAGATTCTGCCAGTTTCCCAGAAGTGGCGTTTGTGTTATGTGAAAGAGCATGTTAAACGTGGAAATTATCACATAAAGAAACATTGTGAAAAAGGAATAAAGTGCTGCTTGAACGCAGCCATCATCAACCCCAATAGCAGACTTGAATGGCAGTGCAATTTGCACAATATACAGAGTGAACAAAAGATACCATACTTAGGTCAAACACCACAAGAATAGCTGTACTTGGTGAAGAAAGGGGGGGTAAATGTTCAATTTTATTTAAAACATTGATGCAATGCAATTTCTTTCTGTTCACATTTTCATGTCCAACATTTTACCTCCTTCCTAAAAAAAAGAAGCTCAACAACTTTTACCCGAACCCCCAAAAAGGGGTAGATCACTGCCAGTTTTTAACTCTGTGAATAGATTGCAGTCTCTTGGGAGTTGGCCACCCCTGAATTAGAGGCAATTATTTATTTTCCTCCATGCCCAAAATGTCAAGGTCAGCACTAAACGGAACTACCACCAGCATCTCTGTAATTACGCTGTAAATAATTGCTTCTTTTCTCATCAATACTTATTGATTCCTAAGTACTGTGTTTCATGGCTGATAAAGCCCATGTAGTGGTGTTCACAGCTGGCCTTACACAAGGAAGCTATGTTACATGCCTTACCCTGCTGCTTTAAAATGGCCTTTTGATCATCTTGACTTTTATTAATAGACTTTAAAGCATATTTTTAAAAATCTATCTTCAAACTGCAACAGCGGTTATTTACTAAATGACATTGCCCACCTCAGCAAATAAATAGGATGAGCTGGAAAGTATAAGACGGCAAATTTTGCTTTAGAAGAAACCATTTTCTGTACCCAAAGGCAGAAATTTGCTTGCAGTTCAAGAATATGTTACAGAAGGAATCTGTCCATGTGAATCCATATTGGGCATTGTTTCATTTAAGTCCTTAACCAGTTTTAAGCATCACTGGTTAGCTTTTGCATACTAATTACCTAGTGCCTGGACAGTAACTGATTACTAATTTAAATTTTATCTGTAGGCTGAAGTATTGTCTGAAATCCATGGCCACCTAGGGCTTTCCAGTTTTCACAATTCATTCTGACATAGCATTTTTCATTCCTACTTCTCAGTATAATCTTCTGTGAAATATAACTGTTTGGGTTTTTTTGTTTTGTTTCAAGCTGGTTCAATTGCAGAGGAACAGATACTCCCAGCCCTTTTGCACTGGTCTACAGACCACCACTACTGTGATATTAAAAAACAACAACCAGAACACAGCTCAGTCAGTAGAGCATCTTTGGGTCATGAGTTCGAGTGGGTGAAATATTCCTGAATTGCAGGGGGTTGGACTAGATGACCCAAATGGTCCCTTCCAATTCAACAATTCTATGAATCTATGTGCATAATGGAACATACCAAGGAGTATAGTGAAAGTGCAGCAAACAATCAGATTTTGGGTATCATGAAAGTGCAACAAATTATTACTGTATTATTTATTACTGTACTGACTGCCAGGATGGGACAGGGAGGTGCTTATGGGATTTGCTGTCTCAGGTAAACGTAGGATGAACATTGGTTCAACTAGCACAGTATCCTCAAGACTGACTGGTAGCAGCAGGTGGCAGAGAGGGTTTTATCCCGTGCAAAATGTCCCCAGTTCAATTTCTGGTGTCTCCAGGTAGAGATGTAAAAGACTCACACTTGAACCCCTGGAGAATCACTGCCAGTCAGTGATGACAATACTGACGTAGCTGTACCAAACGTCCAACTCAGTAGATGATCACTTCCTGTGTTCCCAACACTGTGTTCCCTTGGACACTGTTGCACACCTTGACTGGAGGGGGCCTGTTTCCTCCTCCCCCTCATGTTCTTGGCCAACCCTTAGCTTAACTGATAGCATTTGGACAATGACGTCTGAATCAAACAGCTCACTCCATGAGACAAAAAGCAAAGCCCTGTCTCAGAGAAGCATTTTAAAAACAGGACATCTCATTTCATGCATTCAGCAAAAAATAAATAAAACAGAATCACAGCCCAGATTTTGTAGCACTTTTCACTAAGCTTTTGCCAGGGATGGGCAACCTTTTTGAACTCGAGGACCATATCCAGCAGTGAATGGGTGTTTGGATGCCACAGACATGTGGATATCACCAATAGTGGTGACGAGTGCTGCCATCACACCTCTCTCTCACACCCAGACACCCACACACACACAACCTTCCCACCCACACCCACCTTTCCCCATTGCCCACTGATTTTGGCAGGATTGGAATCAAAAGCTTCCCACAATGTGTTAAAAAGATGGCTGATTAGCAGCATGAGAACAGCTATCCTGTCCCCTGATGATGGCTGATCATAGCTGGGCAAAGGTGGAATGTGGATGGGGTTCCCCAGGCTACAAAGAGCAAGTGAGCAGCCAAGGACCCTATTAGGGTCAATTTGCAGCCAGGACTCTGAGCCTGACATTTGCTTAAATGGAACTAGTGAACTAACAACAGATTGCATCTGGACATGCACAAAGTGCCATTTTTACATATTTAAGTAACCAAAGGAAGTCAGTGAGCTACGCAAATTATGGACCAGATTTTCTTAAGAGAGAACATTGCTTCCATGCAGATTGCCTTTCTTTATGAAGCATAGTTGAAAAGGCAGCACAAGCCATCACGTATTTGGAATCTTAAATGTCAACTTTTAGCCATTTTTCAAAACCACCCCATGCAACAACATTAAAGTCAAATTCATTATAGCTTAATGATAATCCTTTTGATTTAAAAAATGCCGTCATATTTCTAAATGCGAGACTTTAATCCAGCCTGATCCTGGATTAGACATTTTCCACCAGGCACCTTTCCCAGCTGGGAAATCTCCTTCCTTCACCATGCACACATGGTGCCCAATGGCATCATATTCCATTTTATTTTATTTTTTTGCGATGGATACTGCCCTTGAAACCACTTGTCTCAGCAGTTGGTTTGTTAACAAAGCACCCTGGGGGAAACTGAAACCCGTCAGTTGTCACCAAATAAAATCATTTTCACAGATAGTGAAACAGGGTGTGGCTATTTCAGGAAAAAGGAAAAAGCAGAGCATTTCCAAACTGCATTTAGCTTGTTGGGTTGCCAAGCTATATTTTTATACAGAACACAGCTTTCCAGGTTACACAGAAACAAATGCACAGCATTCCAATTTCACTGCAGTAAAACAGGGAATGCATGTGTGCTTTTGCCTGGAACAGCAGAACAGGCTCAATTTCAGTGATACAGAACATTGAATCCATCCCTCATTTTCTATGCAGTTTCTCTTCTCCATTTCTGTACTTGTAATAAACCAGGTTGCCAAGACATTAGGATTCAGTAAACTATAGTTAGTGCTAAGCAGTCCAACCCATGGTTTTAAGTGTGTTTGCAAACCATGGTTTGGAAGTTAACAGTAACCACAGTTGCCTATAGAGTAATTGTCTATTTCTGAGGTTACATAAAACTATGATTATTACAACTTGGAAAAAGGAGATGGGAAGGTAGCATGTAAACCATTTCCCAAGCCATTTAAAGGAACACCCAAATTGAGACATAAGCAGCCTTTTAGTCTCTTCACGCTTCCCTCCTATAACAAGCATGTGAAAGAATTGCAGTAACAAAATTGCTACATAGATAGAAATGGGATACCGTGACTGAATCTCTAGTAAATAACACATCCTGGAAATAAACAAACGAGACGTGACAACTCAGACAGACTGGAAACAGCAGGCATTTCTCATGCAATTATCTGATTTGAGTATGCATAATACCAGTTGCACCTTTTTTTTCTTATGCAAGTTTTATTTATATCAGAATGAGAGTTGGAAAGTTATATTCCCAAAGCCCACATTTCTGCAGTCTTATATATTAAAAGGAAAAAGTGAAATAACTTGATTAGGTATGAAATGCATATTTTAAAGAATGGGAAAAGAATGTCAGGAAAAAAATCTAAACCTTCAGCACTGAGAAAACCCTGAAGCTTAAAAATTTTCAGTATTTTATGCTTCAAAGGCAATAAAAGATCATCTTTCTACATTACAAAAGGCTATTTTTTAAAAAAAGAAGAAGAAAGGTGTTTCTCAGCATTTTGCTGGTATTGCTGTTTTCCTTTTTAGCAGGTTTAACACACCCTGCTCCAGCTATTCCAAACAGATACAGTACCTGCAAAATTTCTCAGCTACAGGTTTGGGTGTATTTCTAAAAAAATTAACCAGGTATGCCAGATTAACAAAAAAACAAACCTTTGTTTCGAGGAATAAGTAGTTCCTTACATCTCTCTAGATGTAACACTTTAAAGCAAGCATGGTAGAAAAAATAAATGCTTAAGGTTCTGATTTTACCTCTCACAGAAAACCTGCAGTCACTAGCAACTGCAAAACAGTACTTCCCTAGCCACCAATCTTTCTCTCCCCACGTCCTTTAACCATTCAATGTAAAGTCACTTCATTCCTACAAAGAAACATTCCTGCCCGATTTGGTCTTTGGCTTTCATCTTGTTGCTCTTTCAACTAGAACACTGCAGTAAAAACAAAACCAACCAACCCCCCCGAAACCCCTACCCTTAATTGGCAACCTGAAAGCAGCAAACAAGCCAAGCCAAGAATACTTACATTTGCAATTGTTTGCGAATACTTGTGCAGTGATCCACCGATTAGTAATTACAAAGAAGAGAAAGAGCCTTTTGAACCGTCTCTCAAGCCCAGGAGCAGCGAAAAACAGAGGCTGCTCTCTGAAAGCCACTCATTCTCTTACATGCTCTGCGTGCACAACCCAGCTGCCAGATTTAATAACCATGTCAGGCTGTTTTCCCCATAAAGAGGAAAAGAGGTGACAGCAGAAGATGAAACAGGCTGCATGTTAATCTGCAGTTATGCCAGCACTAAGACTCCCATGAATGCCACAGTATAACCCTCCCCGCCTCCTTCTTAACTATAGCTATAAAACGGTGCTATGCTTTTTTTTTAATGAAAGGGTTATCATCGTCATATCTCTTGGAATCGTTATTTCACGCCCTGTTATTTTAAGACAGATTAACTCCCTGGATTCACCAGGGCCAAAAAACACACACAAATGCACCTCGTATTTCTTAGCCCATTAATTTAAATGGAACTAGGATCGCTGAGCAAAAGAATAATCCGGAGAACGGGCTTCCCCACCCCACCCCCTTCCTCTGTTTTCCAGCTTTTTAAAGAAAAGGAAGTAAAAAAAAGAGAGAGAGAGTTTTCATTTACCAGTGAAATGTTCCCATGCAAAGTGACTCTGGAAAGGCTGGACCTGAAAGGCTGAAGTGCCCGGATTCAGTGTCCGCGGGGCGAGTGGCATTTCCAAATCAGGACCACCTCCATATAGGCCCAAGGTCTTGTGATCAAGAGATGTGCATTACAGGATGCAGGGGGCGGGAGACCTCCCCACCCAAGATCCTTGCAAGGGAGAGAGGTGAGGAAGGAGGAGGAGGAGGAGGGAGGAAGCGCACCGTTGCATCTGCTACAGCGCCTGTATGCTGCAGAGGTCACGTGGTCCTTCTCATTCCACTTCCCTTCCCTTCCCTCCGAGGCACCTGTCTCAGCAGGGAGCAGTTTCTGTGGAAACTGCAGACAGCTAGGTTTCCCCTCAGAGAAACTGTTGCCATGGAAACCTTACATAATGTATATGGCCCAGATTATGAGTGGCCTCCAAAATGGATGTGACATTTACATCCGAATAGTATTTTAAAAACACACACACAGAGGAAGAGAGAAAAAACTGACCTTGCTCTGGCAGACTGGCTGAATAAATTTAATTTCGGTCTTTAAACCATGGCAGAAATCCACATTCGAAGAGATTTTCAAAATGACACTACCAGTATAATGAGGCTGCCTGATACTTTGCTCAGATTGAAGGCTTAGGAGCAATACTTGCCAGTCCGATTTTATTAATGAAGGATATTTTCCCCGTATCCACCCCCCACCCCCTTTGCTTCTATAAAGGAAATTAATTTCATTCTCTGGTTAAATATTCCATTGCAAAACCATTCATAAACCCTGAGAGCTTTACACCCAAGTGTTATATTACTGTCCACACAGCAACTTTGCGAGATGCCTTCTGCCCTTAACAAATTCTGAAAGTGAATAACAACTCCACCCCACTGGCTGATGGGACCTGTAGTCCAAAACATATGAAAGGCATCAGTTTGATGGGGGGGGGGGGAGAATACCTTGAAAAGCGTATTGTTGAGAAACGGTTCAGAAAACAACAACCGTAAAGATCAAGGGGATGGAGCAAGTCCTGTATGAGTAAAGGCTACATTTGGGGCTTCATATATTTTTTGGAGAGCCACTGGTGGCTACCTCTGCCTTAGGTCAGGGGTAAGTGTGGTGTAGTGGTGGACTCCTAATCTGGGGAACCGGGTTCACGTCTCCGCTCCTCCACATGCAGCTGCTGGGTGACCTTGGGCCAGTCACACTTCTCTGAAGTCTCTCAGCCCCACTCACCTCACAGAGTGTTTGTTGTGGGGGAGGAAGGGAAAGGAGAATGTTAGCCGCTTTGAGACTCCTTCGGGAAGTGATAAAGCGGGATATCAAATCCAAACTCTTCTTCTTCTTCTTTTTCTTCTTCTTCTTCTTCTTCTTCTTCTGCACCAGAATTGGATACAGAAGGTACAAGGTTCAGTCCCCATCATCTCCAGATAGCACTTGGAGAGACCCCAGCCTTGAAACCCTGAGGAGCTGCTGCCAGTCAGTATGGACAATATTGTGCTAGATGGACCCAATGGTCTGATTCAGTCATCATAAGGCAGCTCCCTATGTTAAGCTCACCTGTCCGTGGGCCCTGGCTGGGCTTATGTGATAGCAACGGCAGCACTCTAATCTGAGCAGTGCCAGGTGGCTTTGTCTAGCCACCCTTTGAATTTCCCACAATGCCCCGGAACAATGTTATTTTGCAGATACATACAAGATACCAGGTGAAGACAAGCCTCTGACAGAAAATAATTTACAGTGGTACCTCGGGTTACATACGCTTCAGGTTGCAGACTCCGCTAACCCAGAAATAGTACCTCGGGTTAAGAACTTTGCTTCAGGACGAGAACAGAAATCGTGCAGCAGCGGCACAGAGGCAGCAGGAGGCCCATTAGCTAAAGTGGTGCTTCAGGTTAAGAAGAGTTTCAGGTTAAGAACAGACCTCCGGAACGAATTAAGTACTTAACCCGAGGTATCACTGTACAAAATATAGAGCACGTCAGTAGATTTGAAAATGAAAAAAAATAAATCATTTAGCAAACAATGACAACCACACCATAATCTAGGCTTAAGTACAGTGGTACCTCGGGTTAAGAACTTAATTTGTTCTGGAGGTCCATTCTTAACCTGAAACTGTTCTTAACCTGAGGTACCACTTTAGCTAATGGGACCTCCCACCATCACCGCGTGATTTCTGTTCTCATCCTGAAGCAAAGTTCTTAACCCGAGGTACTATTTCTGGGTTAGTGGAGTCTGTAACCTGAAGCGTCTGTAACCTGAGGTACCACTGTACACAGATGCACACTCCTACACATCTGGCTTAAATTCAGTTCAGTTCTTACCAGGCTAGATGACATACAGCTGGCTCCCATATCCTTTACTCCAGAGGAGACCGGCAGAAGCAAAAGGCAAATGTTGGGGAGAGCAATGATGGCCAGTCTCTTCCCCCAGCCTCTTGGAAGTGCCAACTGCTGGTGCTGGTCTTGTTGCACATTTTCTTTCTTTTAAAAAAATTCCCCCACATGAGCAAAAACAGTTGGGGAAGTGGGTTTGATTGTGGGCAGAGGACCCTGAGAAAGGGTTAAGCAGCCCCTCCCCTGTTGCTCTTCCATTGTGATCACAGTCTTCTATGGCTTTTTTTGCTTTTTTTTGCGGGGGTGGGGAGGAAATCCACATGAAACTCTTCTGCCTACCTACATGTAAAATTCAATTGGACCCTCCAGGTAGATTATAGAGCTGCTCCGTATGTGCTCTTTTCTGTAATTTGACACTGTGAGAAATGAAACTTATAGCTTCATTGAACATTCACAGCCTCTGGGCCATGTGCACATTAGATTTCATGCAACACTCGGAATGTAAAAAAAAAAAAGGAGCTAAGCTTTGACTGCCCAAAATCCTGAAGTTAAAAATATTGGCTGTGTTCACATTCCAGTTTCCAGTGGTGGGATTTTAATCCATGTTCACATGACATATCCTGTACTTTGTTGTGTATCCTGTACTTCATATGGATTGAATAGACAAATTAGGAATGATTTAAGCACTTGAGAGTGAACATTTTTCTACATAGGATAAAGACTTCTCTGTCCTGATTTGAACAGCTGAGAAGAAAGGGAAGAGCTGCAAAATGCACCAAGAAGCAACAACTTCACTGCACTCTAAGGTGGTAATGTGAACACATCCTAAAATAGTTGCTGGGTCCAAATGCCTGGCAATGCTCAGGATGCTGGCCTAGAAAAAGTACAGTGGTACCTCAGGTTACATACGCTTCAGGTTACAGACTCCGCTAACCCGGAAGTAGTACATCGGGTTAAGAACTTTACCTCAGGATGAGAACAGAAATCGCGCAGTGGTGGCATGGCGGCAACGGGAGGCCCCATTAGCTAAAGTGGTACCTTAAGTTAAGAACAGTTTCAGGTTAAGAACGGACCTCCAGAACAAATTCAGTTCTTAACCCGAGGTACCATTGTATTATGAGGTGAGCAGCTCTCAGCTGTGGGCCCTGTTTGTTGCTGTAGACAGTGTGTGTGTTAAATTTATGTAACACCCTTCACCCCAAGATCACAGGACAGTTTACAGCCCATACGACCATTTTGTGCTGGGGTTTCCTTTCCTGCCCCCTGCCCATGCATTGCAGGAGCATATCTAAGAGCGCCATGCACTGCCCTTACCCAATCTGGTACAATGAGAAAATTGTACTTAAAAAATGAATAAAAATAAGTGTGCATACACTTCACCAAATTTCTGTAGACATGCACACAACAGATTGCAGGTTTCCTGACTTGGAACGATAAAGACATTCATCATCATCATCATCATCATTATTATTATTAACTGCTCTTTAGTGCAAATTTAAAAACTTGTACTTCAAAAGAAATAAACAGGTAAACAAAAATTTGCACACAGGTTTCCAGCTTCAGGTTTCCAGAACTTATGGTGGGTGAGGAAATATTAATTAAAGGGAGGAAACAACAACACACAGTGCGAATACAGTGGTACCTCGGGTTACACACGCTTCAGGTTACATACACTTCAGGTTACAGACTCCGCTAACCCAGAAATAGTGTTTCAGGTTAAGAACTTTGCTTCAGGATGAGAACAGAAATCGTGCTCCAGCGGCACGGCAGCAGCAGGAGGCCCCATTAGCTAAAGTGGTGCTTCAGGTTAAGAACAGTTTCAGGTTAAGTATGGACCTCTGGAATGAATTAAGTACTTAACCTGAGGTACCACTGTACATCCCACCAAGGGCTGCCCATTGGTGTAGAGAGGAAACGTTAAGATAGGTTTCAGTGGCATAAGATGGAAAGTGCTCATGAGTGCACCCACATACAAATTAACACCTGCTTGTGGACCCAGCCATGTTATTTTATTTTATATTGCAGTCATTGTTTGCGTTTGTTGTGTATATGGCGTTGAGGATTGCATTTGAGAAGCAGGCTATGCGTTAGGTTTGCTTATAAATAATTTTGTGTCCAACTAACTCAAATGACAATATAGCCAAGCTTGTCTGGTTTCCGCAAGGTCAGTTTTACTATAAAAGAATCCCGAAAATATGCTGAAGACATTGTGCAACAAAGTAAGAATATCAGAACACCGTTCCAGAATCAGAAACAGAAACAGTGTTGTCGACGCGCCTTTAGTGCAACATTTTATTCAAGCGTCACATTCAGATGAGGATTTAACATTCTTTGTGATCTGGGCGTATCAAGGACCTGTAGAACAAGCCAAAAACATCCTTATGCAGAAACAAACCAGATTTATTTTTCTGCTCGATTCTTTGCATCCTTCATGTTTAAATACAGAAATAGAGTATAGTTGTTTTCTATGAGTTATTATTAATATCTTGATATACCATTGATAACCTTAAAAAATTTACGTTGAACATGGTGGTTTCATGGGGGTCACATTAAGAGAAAAAAACTTTGCTGTAGATTGCTGCCACCTGTAATTAGAACATTGTCTCTCTCTAAAAAAGCAAACATAGTAGTAAAGGTAAAGGTAAAGGGACCCCTGACCATTAGGTCCAATTGTGGCCGACTCTGGGGTTGCGGTGCTCATCTCGCTTTATTGGCCGAGGGAGCCGGCATACAGCTTCCGGGTCATGTGGCCAGCATGACTAAGCCACTTCTGGTGAACCAGAGCAGCGCAGGGAAACGCTGTTTACCTTCCCGCCGGAGCGGTACCTATTGATCTACTTGCACGTTGACATGCTTTCAAACTGCTAGGTTGGCAGGAGCAGGGATCGAACAACGGGAGCTCACCCCGTCACGGGGATTCAAACCACCAAACTTCTGATCGGCAAGTCCTAGGCTCTGTGGTTTAACCCACAGCGCCACCCGTGTCCTGTGCAACATAGTACTACTGGTTGTTTAATGCGGTATCCGCCATGTCACTCATTCCATGTCTCTGATACACAAAATACGGTATGTAGAGCCATTATTCAATATCTGTGTTATATGTTTTATTTTTAAGTTTGTAAAAAACCTACATTATTATGTTTATCTGCATTATTTAGAGTATGCTCGGCTGACGAAGCCCAGCAGGGCGAAACAAGGTAATATTCCGGGAATCCTTGTCACGTTTAAGTTCTTTCGTCTGATACCAGCATACAACAACTATATGTTGCAAAGGCACATGTTAAGATCTTTTGTATCCTTCGTCCAATACCTGCATACAGCAGCTGCATACAACAACCATACTTTGCAAAGGCAGATGTGGAACATTACAAGGAAAAGTTCATCTTTTGCAAGTACTGCTTCTTAAAGTTGTTACATTTGGAACACAAAAGCTTCTATTTGGACATTACGTATATAAGAACTGATCTGTTTGTATTTCCTGTTCTAAATGTTGGTCCTTAATTGCTTCTACTCAACTAGATAATGTGAAAAGAGTTATGTTTACATTATGTATAAAAAAATTATGTAGTTAAACGCTGCCAGTTACGTTGTGGGTATATTTGTTAGTTGAATTTACGTAACTATCGGTTTGATAGTGTTGTGTAAGAAGATATTGTGCAAGCAAGTGAGCCATGCAATGCAGTGGGCGTAAACCATCCAAATAACATTACACTATTCCCCCAATTCCAACCTCTCATCAAATTAAGAAATATTTTATATTTCCTAAATACAGGGAAGAGGAGATGGTGAGATTTTAAAAAAATCAAGTATCCACATTTTCCATGTTTGTGTATTTTAAAGGTGGGAACTGATAATGATTCGGTTCATTGACCAAGATCATTCATCTTTGAAGCAACACAAGTAGGTCATATTCTAGCCCAAGGTGGTTGAAGCATAAAGTAACACTAGCAACCATCTGACAGATGTTCAGTGACCTATGTATGCAAAGCCTATATAAGCTGTCTTTTCCTTGGAGACAGGAATGCACTACGTGAAAAGAACATATAACCATAATTATGTCTTATTTTCATTTTCTTTGTTGAAACTAAGGATAGAAAAAGACACTTTCCCATAGAGGATACCTCATATAAATAAAACTACCCACAACAGGGTAATTTCTTATAGGAAATGGGTGTGATTTACCGTATAATATTGTTATGAGTTTGGGGTGTGTGTGTCAGTCTGGATAATATCCTGGGCCCCTTCCAAAACCTGTGATCATATAGCTGTGAGGGAAAAATGTGTATAAGAACATATAAGAACTGCCAAACCAGTTCCTTTGTCAAAGTAATGACTTTGGCTAGCTAGCTAAGTACCACAATTTAGCATATCCAAAGAAGTTGCTGTGAGCCATAGCAGCAAATGGTGGACCTTTCCCCTCCCTCCCTCACCTACCTGGTACCAAGAGTATGTACAGTATGTAGTCATTAATTTGGATCATACTGTGGTATGATTCTGCCCTGTTCTGTAGCAGCCATCTTTTAGTGGGCTGAGGTACCATTCATCCTTAGTGTTGGAAGAGCACTTTTAAGAATTTTGTTTTAATGTATTTAGTTTTTCATTTTTTATTGTGTTGTGTTTTACAGATTTGTAAATCATGTTGAGACACCTTGTAGAAAGTGGTTAAAAATGTAATATATGCCACCTTTTTATTCTAGTCCCATAGTTATCAGTGCATATTTGAATCCTTGCTCCGTGTATAAAATTGATTTGAAAGATTGGGGGTGTGAGAAAGACTGTGAATGTGTACCTTTTCTTCATCTTCCCCCCACCCCATCCTGATTGTGATTTAATTATGTTAAGGCATAAATAATCTGTTTTAGAAAAGATTAGGAATTTTTCCAGGGAGACAATAATAACCTACTACGTTTCATTGCTGCCAATGTCATTTTACCTACTTTTCCTAGATATGAGCAAGCTGTATCAAATTAGCCCATAAAATTGTTGCTTGGTTTTGGGCCTGAAAACCTAGATATTTTCAAAGGCAAAAGGAGGGGGGGAGATGAGAGAGATCCCCTGAGAGGGTTAGGAAGAGTTGAACTGCCACTTCAGTCCTGAAGCTTTGGCAGATTTACAGCGTAACGCCTTGAACTTCAAAGGCACATTGCTCAAAGGGAGCAAGGAGAACAAATTGAAAAATGAATATTGTATATAATACAAGGCTTTCTTAAGAAGGCAGGAACACTGTTGCCTAGTGTGTGTGATATTTCAGTGCTTTTAAACATCTACTGCAGCTTCCCCAAAAAGTACTTAAAAATGAAGCGTAATATCCATTGTGAAAGACCAATCTCTGGCTTTTCCAATTAGGATACAGTGGTACCTTGGTTTGCAACTGTTTTGGATTACAACCACGTCAAACCTGGAAGTGTGTGTCCCCTTTTTTGGATTACAATCCATTTTTTCTTTTTGGATTACAACCCATTTTTGGGGGGGGAGGCCATTTTTGGATTACAACCCATTTTGGTTGGCGAAAGCATGCCTTGGGTTACAACCTGTTTTGGTTTACAACCGGACCTCTGGAACAGATTATGGTTATGGAGCCAGTGTGGTGTAGTGGTTAAGAGCAGTAGTCTCGTAATCTGGGGAACCGGGTTTGAGTCTCCGCTCCTCCACATGCAACTGCTGGGTGACCTTGGGCCAGTCACACTTCTTTGAAGTCTCTCAGCCCCACTCACCTCACAGAGTGTTTGTTGTGGGGGAGGAAGGGAAAGGAGAATGTTAGCCGCTTTGAGACTCCTTAAAGGGAGTGAAAGGCGGGATATCAAATCCAAACTCTTCTTCTTCTAAACCAAGGTACCACCGTAAAGTTAAACTGATGGCAATAGATTGCTATCTTGGAAGATACGGTAGTATCCATGTACTGTGATATGAAAGAACATAATGAGCTTTTTTCTCTAGTGCAAAAATTAACTGAGGCTGGTGGATGGATGGGCAGCGAATGGTACATTTGAGGTTGCATTGTGTTAGCCAATTAATAATTTATTAAGCAGTTTCTTGTGAAAGCTGCACATGCCTAGCAACTGAGAGGAGAGGAGAGGAAGCAGAGGAGATTAGCTGAAGGAGACAACAGAAGTGAAAAGCATGCTTGCCAGCAGTATCCCCCTTCCTTTTTAATTCAGCCTTTGAGCACAGCCCTGCACCTTTCCCAACTAGTGAGAAGGAAACCTCAAGACTTGGGGCAGTCAAAGGCCACGCAGCACTCACCATGTAAAAGGAAGCTGAAATCTAATGTGTACATAACCCAGAGGCTGTGAATGTTGAACAAATCGATGAGCTTCATTTCCCACAATGACAAATGACAGAAAAGAGCACATATTGAGCAGGTCTGCAGTCTTTACAGAGGGCAAAACTGGATTTTTTGTGTATGCAGATAGATAGGTGGAAGAGGCTCCTGTGAGGGTGGGGGGTTTATTTGGTGGGTGGAGTCCAATGAAAAACAGGCATAGACAACTGATCAGAATGGAAGAGCAGCAGGGGACGGGCACCATTTTACCACTCAAGCCCACCTTCCCAGTTGCGTTTCATGCAGGTGGAAATTATAAAGAAGGAACCTTTGTGAGGGTGTTAAGCAGAAAACAGAAAGAGTTGTTCTTTCCTGCTGCTCTTCTCTTCCAGATCTCAATCTCCTGTATGTATCTACATAATTACATCTAGTTGGCCCTGTCCGTCATACAGTCCCCTGTGCATCCTCTGATCTCTTCACTCATTCAGTCTCCACCTAGGTCATCACCATTTACCTGCCCTGCCCTTCTTAATGCCAGCTAGCCTAGCAGCTTTGTCCTGCCCAGAGAGCCACTTCTGGGTGCTCTTTGCAGTGGCAGTCATTTGTGCCACCAATGGAAGTGGTGGATCCAGGAGCAGCCGTAAATGACACAGCCACTCCTTTAGAGGGAATGCAACCCCATCCAAAATGGACAAGCAGGTCCAATTCCTGGCCCCAAGAATTACTTATCCACAGTGCTTCAATCAGGATTCAGCTTCGGTTTTGTCTTTCTCCAGCTCCCCATTTTTCTCTGGAACCTGCACAACCTCTTCTACTCAGATGATAAGGAAAAAAGAGCTGGGTGTCATCAGCATACCCGTGACACTTCGCTCCTAATCTCCTAAGGACCACTTCCAATGGTTGTTAAACAGCACTTTGGACTAGATGAAGCTCTGCAGAACCCTACAGTTCAGCTTCCATGGGGTCATGGAGGAGTCTACCAATGCTACTTCATGGAGAGGAGCCTGAAGGCAGAAGTGGAAGCATCATAACATGCTACCTTTGTCACAAGAGACTAGGGCCCTGCGGGACTTGACATCTTTCCTCAGGACCTGCAAGACAGAGCTGTTCCGCCTGGCCTTTGGTTTGGACTCAGTCTGACCCTTATGTTTCCCTCCCCTTATGGTTTTGATCTATGGGCTATTATTAGGCTGCATTTTAAATTGTATTTTTAACATGTATTTTAAATTGTTTTTTCCCCTTCCCTATTATGTTTTTATTTTATTTTACTGGTGTTAGCCGCCCTGAGCCTGGCTCTGGCCAGGGAGGGTTGGGTATAAGTAAAAATTTATTATTATTATTATTTATTATTACCTCCAGCTCCCAGCCCACAGAGCTGATCGAGCTGGAGACCATGGTCAAAAATATCAAATGCCACTGAAATATCAAGAATGAGCAGAGACACACTCATCATGCCCCTCATCTGATAACAAGTCATCCATCAAGACAACCAAGCCTGATTTTGTTCTGAAACCAGGCCTAAACCCAGAATGGAAGGGCCCAGATTATCAGTATAGGGTGCTGAGCTGCCACTACCTTCTTGAGCACCTTTTCATAACCTGCACATAGCACTTCCTGGTCCAATATGGGTTTCTTGAGGAATGGGCACCCTGCCGCCTTCTTAAGAGCTGTAGGTACCTATCTCTCAAGGATGCATTTACCACACACTGGACCAACTTGGTAACTCTCCCCCGCCATTCCAGCAACTTCTAAGCAACCATGATGGACAAGGGTTGAGAGGGGGGAGGGCCGGGCTCAGTGGTGCAGAGTGTAATGTTACCTAATTGAATCACTTTTATTTTTTAAAATGAAAGCAGACACCTGATGTTCATTATTTATATATGTACTAATAGAAATACCCCGCTAATTTTGTGATCCTGTAGACCACAGGATCAAGCTTCAGAGCTCAGTTTCAATTTCCCTGCAACCTCTTCAGCACAAGGAGTTAAAGAAAATGAACAAAGCGATTGACAGTCCCAAATCACTCTAATTCAGCATTTGGTTAGACTCCGTTGTGATTTAACCTTCTAAGAATAAGTAAACCACTGTTCTGAAAGGCCAAGAGTGATTGGAAAAGATGAAAAACCTTATTTAAAAAGCCCACTATTACCACTATTTTCCAGTTCAAACTAGCTATTTTAGATAGTCTAATCACAGGCTCTTTCCAAGGAGGGCATTAAACTAGCACAAATATGAAGCAGAGTAGTCCATTTTTCGTCTCCCCTGGAATCCTTCTCTATATATTTTAGCCAAGGGGAGGGGAGACAAATGGCAAGTCATATCAGACTTTTGAAAAGCATATATAAATTACCTTTGGCTAAAATGTTTAGCTGAGCACATTATATATAAGCTCTAGGTGATAATAGAGACAGAAATGAGGTGGCAGAGAGAGAGAGAGAGAGAGAGAGAGAGAGAGAGATGGGGTGGCAAGAAAACACACACACACACACACACACAACTGTGCAGTGCTGCAAATACCAGCCCACTTACGGCTCTGGACCTGTTCACCACCAAGTTTACCTCAGGTAAATGTTATACTTAATAGAAAAACAAAAGGTTCCCTACTGATGTGTTAGAGAAATCTTCAGTGGCTGAACCCACCCCTTTCTCATTCCTTCACCAAAAATGTTATCTTTTGGATCTTGGGGTTATGGCTCAAGACATTTTTCTCCCTGAAGCAAAGGGCAAGATGGAACATACCTACAGAAGCCAACTGGACTGGTAGAGAATCCTCCATCACACCTGAGGGCAGCAGGCTAGCTTCGAGAATGCAAGGCAGCACAGCTTATGGGGCAGAGGGCAGCCCGTGTGCCACAACAGGGAAAAATAGCTGGAGAGGGCTGCAGCCGCCTACCAATCTCCTAGCATCTGCTTTCTGAGGTGGCTGCCTCATTCTGCCTAATGGTAGGACCAGCCCTGCTTGGTCACCATTGACAGCTCAAACTATGAGTCTGCTGAATATGGTAGGAATTTCTAACTTCCTTTGTTACAAAGATTACTATTTGGATGAGAAAATTGTGGGTGGTGCAAATTGTGACACTTACTAGGAATGCTGGTGAAATCTGCTTCAACCAGATACTTCTCTAAATTGTTCCATATTTTCAAGATTGATTCCAAATGGGAAGTGAGCCAGGCAGACTCTAATTTCAATTCAGAAACTCCAGGCATGTTTTAGGATTGATTTTTTATTTTTTATTTGTGAAATTGAAGTATCCCACCTTTTTTACGTTTTAATAACAAATTGACAGTGTAGCTTTTTCCAGGCTGTAGCCACTTCTGACATGGAACAATTGGGGGGAAATGACTAAGGATCCCAGCAGATTTCACCAGGCTTCAGTTTGGAAATGGACCAGAGCCAAAGGAGAGACAGATTAACCAGAACCCAAATTTACCTTGGGCATGGATAAAATCTAACCCCTAAGAGAATGCCTGGATTGCTATTTCCTACCCACCCTTTCAAGAAGATGCCATTGTCAATGTTTCACTGCACATGTGATTATGCCCCAGGAGTACACAATCTCTAGCCATCTAAAGAGTTATGCAAACTGAGTGACTGCAGTTATCAACAATCAAATGGGCTATGCCTGCCAAGGACACAAACCTTTGTGTGTTGGAAATTGTGACTCTTTGGCCTGCACCGATAACACTGCTGTAATAGTGAAGTTATAAGGTATTTAAAAAGAACATAACTGAAAGAAGTGCTCTCAGTACGTGCTGCCTTTTTGCATTTCAAGGTCAGTTCAGTTTGTCATTTAACCCTTGTAAAGACTGCAAACCTATAGCATCAGAATCAGTAATTATACTTACATTCACAGAAATTCTGAAGACCGCACAGGAATTCTAAACGCTTAAAATTTATCTGAAATTTTTACATTAGCAATTTTGGATCAGCACCAAAGCCACTTCATTTCTGCATTAGTTCCTCTACATTTTCCACTCTGACTCAAGTCTTTGTTGGCACTTTACCACACTTTTAAACTGAGCAACATAAAGTTGTTGTGGAACTGCTTTAAATGCCAGAAGCATGTGCCAGAATATTACAGAGACAGAGAACAATTATGGAGAAAAGTCTCTTTTTCAGCACTGTCTGTTAACTGTTAACCCTTCCTTGACTGGACATCAGTACTTCTTTGTCAAGGACTGCTTTGTCACAACTCTCCTACTTGACCATTACCATATTCATGTGCACTCAGGGTCCTTCTCACTGATTTCCATAGAACTTGCTTCAAGATAGGCAGCCCCTTGAGGCAGGAGCCATTTAAATTCTACACAATGCTTAGTTTGGGCTTCTAGTAACCATTTAATTGTTGCAATAAAAATAATATTAATGGAAAAGAGCCAGTCATTACTTGTATTATCCTTTTCGTAAACCTCACAGCCATGTTGTTATTACCCCATTTAAAAAAGATACAGTAACCTTCAGATATTTTCATATGATGCGAAAGTGGGCTGGAGAAGGGAGGTTGCTCATGAAGGAATAATAATTCATTCTATAACAACAGCAACAACTTATTATTTATACCCTGCCCATCTGGCTGGGTTTCCCCAGCCACTCTGGGCGGCTTCCAACAAAATATTAAAATACAATAGTACAATTCTAAGTTATTATAACTGGGGTGTGTGGTGTGGAGCATTCATGTTCAGTATTCCATACCACAAATACTATACACCATTCCACCTTCCCAACCAACTTTCCATTTCTTATTCCCCACCAACACACACTCAGCATTCTGTGGTTACTAAGCATCATCAGTTCTCATTGAGTTGTTTTGGAACCCCAGCCCCTGCCCTGGTTAGTTCCTCTCCTTCTAAAGATCTTTTGTAGCTCTGCAAACCTTGGGATACCTTCAGTCTTGTTGATGCCACCTATTTTTGCAATGTAAGGTGTGTGTGTGTATTATAGTCAGCTAGCCCGTAACATGCACAATATGAAAACACAGCCCCAGTAACACTCATTATACTGGAAGTTTTTGTGCTTTTAAAATATTGTTCTGATGCTTCATTAAAGCAATTCTTAAGAACAGATGAAGATTTCGGTTTTTGTAAAAGCAAGAGTTTGTTTTACAAAACCTGACAAGAAAGAGCAAAAAATATATTTCTGTCTCGTATATCGCTGGAAGTCTGTCAGTCTTGATAAGGTTCTTCTCTAACCAAAACCAATTTCCTTTGCTGCAGTTTTGTAAGCAGTTTCCTGTCAAGCAATATTTATATAAATCCTATAATCCATCTAAGAAGCACTCAGCTATGTGAATTTTACCAAGCC